CCACTATTTTCTCTAGGACTTTGGATAAAAATGGAAGGTTAGACATTGGTCTATAATTCATTGGGTCATCTGGATCCAGAGAAGGCTTCTTAACTGAAGGTTTGATGACCGCAATCTTAAAATCCTGTGGTACATATCCATTTACTAAGGATAGATTGATTATATCTGGAATGGGGGCAGTAACCAAAGGAAATGCATCTTTAAATAATTTGGTTGGGATTGGATCTAAAATGCATGTGGAAGGTTTAGAACTCAGTTATAAAAAACTCAAAGGTTATCAGAAAGTGGTCCGAGAGGGCTGGATTATGTGGTAAGATTGTTATTTCCTCACACTCTATGCCATAAGTCAAAACAAGGTCCAATGTATGATGGCAGGAGTGGGTGGAGCTATGTAATCTTTGAGTAAAACCAATTGAGTCTAGGGTATTACTAAAGGCTACATTGACGCTATCATTTTCAATGTCCACATGAATCTTAAAGTCCCCCACTACAATGACCTTAGTATTTAGCACCAAATCAGATAAAAAATCAGAAATCTGATCCAAAAACTCAGAGTAAGGGCCTGGTGGATGATATAAAACTACAAACAAGAGTGGTTTTACAGTTTTGCAATCTGGATTAGGAAAACTAAAGATAAGATGTTCGAACGAACTGTAGCTATTAATTGGTAAGGGATTGATTAATAAGTCCGAATGAAAAATGGTTGCTACTCCTCCTCACCTTGTACTTCGAGCAATATGATCATTTAAATAATTAAAAGGAGTCGATTCGTTTAAACTAACATAGTCCTCTTGCTGCAGCCAGGATTCTGTGAGAGAGAGCAAATAAATCTGATTATCACAAATCAAGTCATTAACTAACAAAGTCTTAGAAAAAATAGATCTAATGTTCAATAACCCACATTTACTTTTCTAATTTTCTTCTCAGTTGAATTTGCTCCAATATTTATGATATTTCCCTGATTTGCTTTATTAAGCCTGATATTTAATCTGTGTGATTTTGGCCATGGGCAGGACACTATCTCTATGGGGTAGTGGGTGGGTAACAGTATAGAAGCTGCAAGGGGGTGTGTTAAACTACGACTCTGCTTCCTGGTCTGGACCCCGGGTTGTCATGGAGGACTAATAAAACTGGCCATGTTCCTAGAAAAAAGAGCTGCTCCATCCAAAGAGGGATGGATGCCGTCTCTTCGCATCAGACCAGGTTTACCCCAAAAAGTTTTCCAATTATCAATGTAGCCCATGTTGTTTTCAGGACACCACCTTGACAACCAGCGGTTGAAGGACAGCATGCAGCTAAACATGTCGTCACTGGTCCGATCAGGCAGGGGGGCCAGAGAAAATTACGGAATCCGACATTGTTTTGGCAAACTTACACACCGAAGCAACATTAATTTTAGTGACCTCCGATTGGCGTAACCGGGTGTTGTTACCGCCAGCGTGAATTACAATCTTATATTTACGCTTATCCTTAGCCAGCAGTTTCAGGTAAGATTTAATGTCGCCCGCTCTGGCCCCAGGTAAACATTTAACTATGGTTGCTGGAGTCTCTAATGCCACGTTTCCGACTATGGAGCTGCCAATGATCAGAGTCTGCTTGTCAGTGGGTGTGTCACTGAGCGGGGAAAATCTGTTAGAAACGTGGACGGGTTGGTGGTGGCCCACAGGCTGGGTTCTATGCTTCCTGCGTACCATCACCCAGCCGGTCTGAGGTCCCGGCTGCTCGGGTTTTGCTGGAGGGTCGCTACGGGGTGGTTCTGAGCTAGTTAGCCCCACGCTAGCTAAGTAGCTACGGCTGTTTACGGGCTTTTCAACAGTGCGGAGCCGGGCCTCCAATTCCGACACCCTCGCCTCCAAAGGGTTCATTTCAAGATCCTGGTTCTGGTCTATAGGGCCTTACATGGACAAGCACCATCTTACATTGGTGATCTTCTTAGTCCCTACACCCCCAGCAGGTCCCTGAGGTCCAGTGAACAAAGCCTACTGGTTGTGCAGCGCACCAGGTTAAAGACCAAAGGTGACAGATCATTTGCTGCTGTGGCCCCAAGACTCTGGAACTTTCTCCCCTGAGCCTGAGATCAGTGGACTCAGTGGTCTCCTTTAAAAAGCAGCTGAAGACTCACTTGTTCAAGCTGGCTTTTGTATGACCTTCTTCAACCCCTCTCTCTTTATTCTGCTCTCCCCACCTATTCCACCTTCCTCAGGATCCACTGATTTCCCTCTTTCACTCTCTCTCTTTCTTAACATTTTTTCTTTTGAATCCCAATTGCCTATTTTTGCTCATTTTAAATATATTTTTAAACATTTTCTAAAGGCTTTTTGTTTATATTTTTACTTTTTTTTGTTTTTGTGAAGCCTATAGTTAAAATCTGATGTTAGCCTGAATCTGGACAACTGGGGGAGTACAGGGAGGTGGAGTGTACAGTCGGTAAAGACGGCTCTCCCTTGCCCTGCCTCCAACATGCCTACATCTAAATAGGATAGATTATCCAGAGTTATCTCTGTAGTTATGCTGCTATAGGCTTAGACTGTTGGAGGACACACTGACCACTTTTCACACTCTACTGCTTTCTTCTACAGTCTGCTCTTTAACTGTACTATTTTGTGCAATTTCAGCTGTTAACTTTATTTTCTCTGTAAGTGTTTTTCTCCCCAGAAGAAGCTACAATGACGTTCTGCTGAGCTGTAGTGGCCTCATGGAGGGGGCCATCGACTAGCACACTGCTGCTAACCACTAATACATTCTCTCTCTCCTGATAATAACTTTTTGTTTTCATTGACTTTTGATGTGCTAATACTAGTTTGTCCGTTTAATTATAGATCCATTAGGATAAATACAATAAAGTTTATCTTTCACCAAATACAATATTTACTAAGACATCACAATATAACTATAGACACATTACTTGTCCGCGCGTGTGTGTGTGTGTGTGTGCGTGCATGCGTGCGTGCGTGTGTGTGTGTGTGTGTGTGTGTGTGTGTGTGTGTGTGTGTGTGTGTGTGTGTGTGTGTGTGTGCGTGTGTGTGTCTGCCTGCTCTGTCTTCTCGATCCCCAGTGAGTCGTGGAGGATGGCTGCTTATACTGAGCCAGGATTCTCTGGAGGTTTCTTCCTGTTAAAAGGGAGTTTTCCTCTCCACTGTCGCTGCATGCTTGCTTAGTATGAGGATTGCTGTATAGTCACTGACACTAGTCAGTGACTTGATGCAATTTGCTGGGTTCCTTATATAGGAAACATTATTTCTGATTGGCTTAATGAACTGTGAATTGGAATGTTTATTATGTGAAGTGCCTTGAGACGACTCTTGTCGTGATTTGGCGCTATATAAATAAACTTGAATTGAATTGAATTGAAGCGCCTCATGATTTTTATCTTGAGAGGCGCTATTGAAATTATATTTTCTTCTTCTTCTTCAAAGCTACAAAAATGCTACATTTATTACAAGTACCATTATCACTAAAGGAGGCAGAGGAGTAACTAAACATCTGACACAGAGTGTAAGAGACAGGAGACAGAGAAGCAGAGACAGAAGTAACCATAGCCATGCTGAGGCTAAGCTAACTGGACGAGCAAACTGTTCAACGCCAAATAAACTGCGTGCGAACTCAAATGGTTCCCTAAAAGCTAGGTGGAACAACATAAAATGTGTGTTTTAGCGTGCTTACGTGCTACAATAACTCAGATATCCTAGAACAGAGAAATTAAATCAGTTTTAGAAAGCCACAAACACCAAACAGCTACACGTAGTGCAACACTGAAAACAGGAAACGCCTTACCGCAAGGGAATAAGTAGGGATGTCCCACTAATCTCCACCAGTGGTTTGGTGAAGATTGTGGGTGCGTCCTGTGCTCCAAGCCTGCCTCCCTCCGGCACATACTGACTGGGTGTAAAACCAGCCTTACCCAAGGATGATACATTTGGTGGCACAACCAAGTTTTGAAATGCCTTGCTGCTACATTGGAGGAAAAACGATCCAGCATCAACGCCCTTTCAGTACCTAACATCTCAACACCACCATGGGCAACTGCCTTCGTCCGTGAAGGCACAGCAGCAACTAAGAGCAGATCATCAGAGAGAAGCCAGCTGTGCCTAGCACGTGACTGGAAGATGCTGGCAGACATTGGCAAACAACTAGTGTTTCCCTCAGAGATAGCTACCACCACCGTTAGATCTGACCTGGTGCTATGGTCCTCCTCCATAAAGAAGATTTACATAATCAAACTCACCGTACCCTGGGAGGATTCCATGGAGGAGGCTTTTGAGCGGAAGCATCTGCAGTATGCTGACCTAGCCGCCAAAGCAAAACATCGTGGCTGGAATGCAGAGGTCCATCCAGTGGAGGTTGGGTGCAGAGGGTTTGTGGAAACATCTACCACAAAACTATTAAGGGACATAGGAATCATGGGCCAGAAACAGTGCAGAGCCATCAAAGCTACATCAAAGGCAGCAGAAAGAAGCAGCCAGTGGCTCTGGCTGAAGAGGAATGACCCCATTTGGGTCCCCAAGTTGTGTGCCAGGTTGCACACTTTAACGGCTAATTGGACCTGGGAAGCAAGCTGAGGTCTGATCAACCTACAGCTGGCCGCCTCTGAGCAGGGTGTATAGTGTTAAAGGCCGAAACACCCCATGATCCAGAGGAACACTACTGAGGATGCGTCCCAGAAACTTTTCCTGCAGTTCTACCATCCACCATTAAGTAGGCCAAGCACTCGTATGTTCTTGCACAAGGAAATACCATCTGATCCTGTGTTTTCTGGAATCAGCTTCACAAAGGTCAGTGACCCCTGGACTACACATCATCATAACAAAAGGAAAGTTGTGTAACTAAATTCTTATTTATAATCCAATGGTAAAACTCTTAAAAAGTGTGTGTGTGTGTGTGTGTGTGTGTGTGTGTGTGTGTGTGTGTGTGTGTGTGTGTGTGTGTGTGTGTGTGTGTATACACACACACACACACACACACACACACACACATTTAGGAACAGCAAAAATAAAATTAAATATGTTAATATATCACTTTATTATTTTAACATCCTGTACATAAATAAGCTAAAGCCTTTATTTTACAACAACAAAACAAGCAGCCACAGCCCCCTCTGATAATTCAAATATAAAACATGATGGTGGGAAAAGCAAATATATACCTATTAGCATGCTTCAGATCCCAGACAGACTTATGGGCTGTCAACCACATGATGATGATTTCTGATCAGAGTTTAATGTTTGCTGTCTGGTTTGTTATGGAAGACAGCAGGTTTCATTGTCATTGTTTGAATAAGTCATTTCTTGGTCTTCAGCTGTAGGATCTGTGGACTTGATCTTGGTAGCTCTGTTAACTTGTGCGTACACCGTCTCTGGGTGGGAGGAGTTTAAGAGTTTGCTTTGTTGCTCAGGATGACTGACAAACTGTACTAAAGCATAAGTTGTTGTTGGAGACTGAGAGGTATCCTCATCATTGTTGTATGGATTCTCCACTTGATTCATGTTCTAGAAAGAAAACCAGAAAGATCACAGGAAAGGCTTTAAAATGAAAAAAAAGCACAGATAATTATATTAAAGTTGATTCAATTTGAACAGACTGCATGAAGTGGTTTAGCTACTGGGATTAATTTAGAGAGATTACTCATCCGCGTTTGTATGCAGCTACAGTCTGACGTCTACCCTTCTGTTCAGTTTGATAGGGAGAGTTTTCTGCTTACCTGAGGAAGGTCATACACTGATTTTTCCTGGCCCTTTCTTTTACCTGTCAGCCATAAAGGATAAAAATGTTTTTTTTGTTTGTTTGTTTACTTGATTGTTTATGTTTTTAAAATGAAGTTGTAAACAGAATGAGCTTTAAAAAAAATGGAACTTTAACCAAGGGAAGGTAGTTGCACCAGAATGTTTTGGTCTTGGTGTGTGTGTGTGTGTGTGTGTGTGTGTGTGTGTGTGTGTGTGTGTGTGTGTGTGTGCGTGCGTGCGTGCGTGCGTGCGTGCGTGCGTGCGTGCGTGTGTGTGTGTGTGCGTGTGTACGTGTGTGTGTGTGTGTGTCTGTGTTTTTCATTTTCAAAATTCTTAAAAAATCTGTGGCCACGCACACTATATATATATATATATATATATATATATATATATATATATACAGCACCAGCCAAAAGTTTGGACACACCTTCTCATTAAATGTGTTTTCTTTAACGAGGCCAAAAAGTGCTAAACACCTTTGGGAACTCCTTCAAGACTGTTGGAAAACCAATTCAGGTGACTTCCTCTTGAAGCTCATCAAGAGAATGTCATGAGTGTACAAAGCAGTAATCAGAGCAAAGGGAGGCTATTTTGAAGAAAATAGAATATAAAATGTGTTTTCAGTTATTTCACCTTTTTTGGTTAAGTACATAATTCCACATGTGTTCATTCATAGTGTTGATACCTTCAGTGAGAATCTACCATTGTAAAAAGTCATTGTAGCTGCCGTCAAAGGCAACTCTCGCATTTAAGTTCATTTTATTGGATTTAATGTTGAAACAATTAGTAGTTCAAAGATTGAGAAATAATATTTCAATAGTAATTCATATTCTGTTCATTAGATTTATGTTTAAATGTGTATTTGTCAGAATACACATGTCAGAAATGTTACATCCGAACCGAATAATCAGTTTGCACATTTGCAACTTAATGCAAATGCAGAGCCGTTTGATATGCCACAAGCCAACTCAAGGGCACAAACAAGAGAAAGCAAACATGAAGATAGTACCATAACATTGGCCCAAGCTCTAGCTGAGTCCATTCACATAAGTCGCCTGCCAGTACCAGAGCCTACAGTCTTCAACGGAGATCCTCTCAAGTACAAGGATTGGAAATTGTCGTTTCAAATGCTGATAGACAGAAAGAACATCCCAGTGAATGAAAAGATTTACTATCTTCGCAAGTATGTTGGAGGACCGGCGCAAAAGGCTGTTGAGAGTTATTTTCTGTTGGGAACAGAGCGTGCTTATTGCTCAGCATGGAATATTTTGGAGGAAAGATACGGAAGTTCATTTGTAATCACCAAAGCTTTCAGAGATAAGTTGACATCATGGCCAAGGATTGGTAACAAGGATAGCATTGAACTTCGAGAATTTTCAGATTTTCTCAGAGGATGTGAAGCGGCCATGCTTCAGGTTAAAGGTCTTGAAGTTTTGAACGACTGCCATGAGAACCAGAGGATGCTAAGCAAGCTACCTGATTGGTTGTCAGCAAGATGGAATCGAAAGGTCATAGAAATTGAAGAGCAAGATGGTTCTTTTCCAACATTTAGCCACTTTGTTGACTTCATTGCGAGAGAGGCCAAGATTGCGTGCAATCCAGTAACATCGCTTCATGCACTCAAAGCAGGTGACTCAGAGAAAATGAAATCATCCAAGACAAGAAGTGTTGGAGTAAAGGTGCTAGTGAGTGCTGCAGAAGAGACGTCCAACACAAAAAAATGTGTGTTTTGTGAAAACTCAAATCATAGCATTCACACATGTAGGAAGTTTATGGACAAGGTCTTGAGTGAAAGAGTCAAATTTGTGCAAACCAGGGGACTGTGCTTTGGATGTCTAGGCTTTGGACACCAATCCAAGAAATGTGAAAAGAGAAAGATGTGTGACACATGTAAAGGGAAACACCCGACATGTTTGCATGAAGAACGAGACAAATCCTCAAGGAAAAGGAAAGAGGAAGAAAGTGACAAGGAACCACAAATGAAAGAGAGTAGAGAAACCAAACCCAAGGAAGCACCAAGTGAAGCAATATCAAACCGTGTGATTCAAAGTGACAGAAGTAATCTCACATCTACAATCATTCCAGTTTGGTTATCCACAATAAGCAATCCTGAACATGAGATTCTTCTCTATGCTCTTCTTGACAGCCAAAGTGACACGACATTCGTCTTGGAAGAAAAGGCAGATGCTCTAGATGCAGAGAAGACATGTGTGCAGTTAAAGCTCTCGACAATGTCTTCTAAAGATACTTTAGTACCAAGTCAAAGGTTGTTTGGATTACAGGTCAGAGGTTTCTATTCTTCAAGAAGAATTCCTCTTCCTGTGACATACACAAGAGAGTTTATTCCTGCGAATTTGAGTCATATTCCCACACAAAGGACAGCAAGAGCGTGGCCACACTTAGAGCACCTGGCTGAAGAAATCGCTCCACTGATTGAATGTGAAGTAGGCCTGCTCATTGGTTACAATTGCTCACAAGTGTTGGTACCCAGAGAAGTTGTGGCAGGAGAAGATAATGAACCTTTTGCCCAAAGAACAGACCTTGGCTGGACAATAGTTGGAGGAACTAATCCATGTGTTGACTATGGGGATGCCATAGGATGTAGCCACAAAATCATTGTCAAGGAAGTGACACCTAATCAGTCAGCTAAGCAGTTGGTCAAAGAAGTGCAATACATTTGTCACACACAAGTCAAAGAGGTGGTCACATCCGCAGATGTAATTAAGGTGCTCGAGTCTGACTTCAATGAAAGAAAGGTGGAAGACTCGCACTTCTCTCAAGAAGATTTAAGGTTCATCTCCATATTGGAAGAAGGAGTGAAGATGAAAGCAGATGGACACTGTGAGTTACCTTTGCCTTTTAAGCAAGACAGACCAAGTCTGGCAAACAACTGGAGTTGTGCCGAACACAGACTCAAATATTTGAAAAGAAGATTTGAGAAGGACAAGCAATACCACAAAGACTACACAGAGTTCATGAGAGAGACTATAGAGCGTGGTGATGCTGAAAGAGTTCCCTTTGTAGACCTGGACAAAAGCCCTGCCTGGTACATTCCACACCATGGAGTGTATCATCCACAAAAGCCTGGCAAGATAAGGGTGGTGTTTGATTGTTCAGCAAAGTACGAGGGAGCTTCCTTGAACGACTACTTGCTTACAGGGCCAGAGTTAACCAACTCTCTGGTGGGGGTCCTGTGTCGATTTCGGAAAGGTCCAGTTGCAGTGATGTGCGACATTGAGCGCATGTTCCATCAATTCAGAGTCAGAGAAGAAGATCAAGATTACTTTCGCTTCTTGTGGTGGGACAATGGAGACTTCAACTCTACTCCATCTGTTTATCGCATGTGCGTACACCTGTTTGGAGCTGCTTCTTCCCCTGCCTGTGCGAACTTTGGTCTCAAGTATATTGCTGCACAAGGTCAAGGCAAGTTCAGTGAAGCTACCATAAGGTTCATTGAGCGAAATTTTTATGTGGACGATGGTTTTATCAGTTTCCACTCAGAAGATGAGGCAATTCGTTTGGTGAAGGAAGCAAAGGAACTTTGCAGCACAGGAGGCTTGCGACTTCACAAGTTCGTTTCAAACAGTAAGCAAGTACTTCATTCGCTGCCGGAAGAAGATTGTGCAGATACAGTAAGAAAAGACTTGTCACTGGGCGAGCAACAAATTGAAAGAGCCCTAGGTGTCAAATGGTGCATTGACTCGGATCATTTCCAGTTTCGAGTAGTTGTGAACGAGCAGCCACTTTCCAGAAGAGGAGTGTTGTCCACAGTAGCCTCTATTTACGATCCACTTTGCTTTGTGGCACCTTTTGTTCTACTTGGGAAGCAGATACTACAGCAGATGTGTTGTGAGAAAGCAGATTAGGACGAACCACTCGCAAGCGATCTGAAGTCACGGTGGGAGTGCTGGTTGTTGGATCTAAAAAATCTAGCAGATGTCAAGATTGACAGATGTTACCTGCCCAGAGATTTTCAAACAGTTCAGAAGTACGAGCTTCACCATTTCTCAGACGCAAGTGTTTCAGGGTATGGTGTTTGTACGTACCTGAGAGCTGTCAGTGAAGCAGGACAAGTCCACTGCTCTCTTGTCTTTGCCAAGTACAGAGTAACAGTGATCGTACAAGATGACCAAGCATCGAGAAACGACTGGAAGTTGGCCAAAGTTGTTGCCATACACCCGAGTGAAGATGGATGTATACGCAAAGTACAACTGTTAATGAGTGACTCATTGTTAGATGATCATGGAAAGAGACTGAGTAAACCAGTTCTACTTGACAGACCTATACACAAGACTGTGACATTGTTAGAAGCAGATTAGTGTACATTTCATAAGTTCATGGGTAAAAATCACAAGTGATTGGTGGGAGTGTAGCTGCCGTCAAAGGCAACTCTCGCATTTAAGTTCATTTTATTGGATTTAATGTTGAAACAATTAGTAGTTCAAAGATTGAGAAATAATATTTCAATAGTAATTCATATTCTGTTCATTAGATTTATGTTTAAATGTGTATTTGTGTTAACTGTGCAATTAGATGGGAACCTTTTCTATAGTTCCATCCGTTGTTGCTAAGGGGGCATTTTTCTTGGCGCACTCAGCAAGCAATTAAGAGACGAGCCACGAGGTTGTACGTCTGCAGTAAGTTAAATAAAAGAGTGCCTTTTTTGGACTACCTCACGGCGTAAGGATTAAAGTTTATTCCCTTTGAGTGAGGCCAATGAGGTAAATGTTTTCTTTTGTTTATTATCGTTGTATATGTAAATTATGTAAATTTGCATGATATTCTAGTGCAGTTACCGCAGTGTTAAGTGTAACGTGTATTTTATTGATCGATTTGTTGACATGTTCGTCATATAATGCTTAAGGACTTTATTAAGAATATTCATTTAAGTTTGTATTTCTTTTTAGTTCTGACGGCATTGTATCGGCTGTGGTTGGACATCATTACATGTTAAGACATGTCGAAGAATCCTCCTGTCCGAAATAAATGTCAGTAAAAACCAAAGAACAAGTTGAGCTTTATTAAGACTCGAGGGGAGTGACAGTCATGGAGATAAAGAAAGCACATAAAATGAAAAGGTGTAGCGATACATATAGATTCATATCTATAGTTCAAATGTGGCGTAGATTTAGCTTGTTTATGATCTTATATTAATTAATTGGGGCATCACCCAGTTTTGTCTGTGTGAACTGGGATACTGGACTTAATATTTATAACTTCTCAAAGTTAACACCACATTTTAATCTGAAGCGGAGTTCTTGTCAGAATGTGCCGGCTATTCTCGAGATCCCTAGGCAATAATCAGACATGATTTAAGTTTTGTAAATTTATTACAAACATCAGTTGAGACACTTGACAAAGAGAACCAAACACAGCTTATTGTTTCATGCATGAGAATAAGTAAGTGCATAAGCACAAGGCTTTAAGGCAGTGCTATGACATAACTAGTCTGTAATAAAAGTGGAACTCTGGTGACGGATAGGATTATAGTAATGTGAGGAGAACAAGTGAGTGTGTGTGTGTGTGTGTGTGTGTGTGTGTGTGTGTGTGTGTGTGTGTGTGTGTGTGTGTGTGTGTGTGTGTGTTTTTCATTTTCAAAATTCTTAAAAAATCTGTGGCCACGCACACTATATATATATATATATATATATATATATATATATACATATATATATAATATATACAGCACCAGCCAAAAGTTTGGACACACCTTCTCATTAAATGTGTTTTCTTTAACGAGGCCAAAAAGTGCTAAACACCTTTGGGAACTCCTTCAAGACTGTTGGAAAACCAATTCAGGTGACTTCCTCTTGAAGCTCATCAAGAGAATGTCATGAGTGTACAAAGCAGTAATCAGAGCAAAGGGAGGCTATTTTGAAGAAAATAGAATATAAAATGTGTTTTCAGTTATTTCACCTTTTTTGGTTAAGTACATAATTCCACATGTGTTCATTCATAGTGTTGATACCTTCAGTGAGAATCTACCAATGTAAATCGTCATGGAGATAAAGAAAGCACATAAAATGAAAAGGTGTAGTGATACATATAGATTCATATCTATAGTTCAAATGTGGCGTAGATTTAGCTTGTTTATGATCTTATATTAATTAATTGGGGCATCACCCAGTTTTGTCTGTGTGAACTGGGACACTGGACTTAATATTTATATCTTCTCAAAGTTAACACCACATTTTAATCTGACGCGGAGTTCTTGTCAGAATGTGCCGGCTATTCTCGAGATCCCTAGGCAATAATCAGACATGATTTAAGTTTTGTCAATTTATTACAAACATCATTTGAGACACTTGACAAAGAGAACCAAACACAGCTTATTGTTTCATGCATGAGAATAAGTAAGTGCATAAACACAAGGCTTTATGGCAGTGCTATGACATAACTAGTCTGTAATAAAAGTGGAACTCTGGTGACGGATAGGATTATAGTAATTATTAGGAATAACTTCTGTGAGGAGAACAAGTGAGTGTGTGTGTGTGTGTGTGTGTGTGTGTGTGTGTGTGTGTGTGTGTGTGTGTGTGTGTGTGTGTGTGTGTGTGTGTGTGTGTGTGTGTGTGTGTGTGTGTGTGTGTGTGTGTGCGTGTGTGTGTGTGTGTGTGTGTGTCTGTGTGCGTGTGTGTGTGTGTGTGTGTGTGTGTGTGTGTGTGTGTGTGTGTGTGTGTGTGTGTGTGTGTGTGTGTGTGTGAATAAGGATTCATGTGCAGCAGAGAAGGAAGATAAATCTTGAGAGATAAATAAGAATTTGGATCGAAAATAACAAGCCATAAAAGTTTAAGTCTGAATTCACTAATCGGGCTTAGCAGGAAAAGTCAGCCAGATGAAAATGATTCACAGACCTTTTCTCCGTCGCCAAAGAGGTGTCCTATGGACTGGAATTCAGCCGGTCCAGAAGCTTGAATGCGGCCTTCAGGGGCCATAGGACTTTTTGGCACCTCAGCTTAGGTCAACCGTGTCTGGGGTTCAGGAGAATCTCGTTCCCTGGGTGTGGCTGGACTTTAGGTTCCTTCACTTCAGCGGCCCCGAAACGTGGAATTCAGATCACGGGCCCAAATTATTCCAAACGGAGCCAAATCATCAAACTGTTCCAAATTGTTCTTACTCTTAATGTGAAAACTTGACGAAAACGCAGACTTCTGGTTTCACGTAGGAAGTCAAAACTAAACAACGGAGTTGCTTCTAAGTTTTTACCGTAACTTTTGAGAGCTACCAAAATTACTTTAAAGTGCCGGGTTCTGCTGGGCCAGATGGAAAACAGCCCGCAGGGCATGAGCCTAACCCCGGGTTTCCACGGGAGCCGTCAGCAGCACGTTACTGCAGCAGCACGTCTAGCTGCTGCTTGGCCCTTCCCACGAGACGCGACGCAGCAGAGGAGCAGCTGTCACCGACAGGGCACGAAGTCACACGAGTGACTTCGTCAGTAAACACAACAACAAGCAGGAGAAAACTACAACATGGCTCCAAAATGTTTGTGTTTTTATATTCTGTCAGTTTTATAATCGCCAATACGGACCTGAAAAACAAAGGAGACCGCTAGCTAGGTGATAACTTCTCACGGGGCCGCACAGTTAGTAACCTTTTTTAAAGTAAAGCGACCGGAAGGCAGTACGTTCTTTATTCTGAAAATCTCGGGAGCTTCTCTCCATTTCCGCGTCCGATTTCCTGTCTTTCCTTCCCCAAAAATGTCGAACTTGACCCGTTTCAGAGGCGTCGCGCGTAGGAAATAGAACCGGCGCGTAAAGGCCGCGACATGCTGCTCCTGAGACGCGGCCGACTCGCGCTGCTGACGGCTGCTGACGGCTCCTGTGGAAAAGGTTTTGTTGACCACAGCCGTTCCTATCAGCAGCTATGACGTGCTGCTGCAGTAACGTGCTGCTGACGGCTGCTGTGGAAAGCCGGGGTAAGGCGTCCTTTGTTCTTAAACTGCCGCTACGAGGTTCGGATGGGTGCTTATATAACCTTTTGGGCATGCCCACCTGTATCTTACTCAAAAACCACTGGAAGGCACTGTGGATCTTCCAAATAAACTGTACCTTCTCCAAGATGAAAATCCATGATCAAATTTTAACACAGTTATTCATATAAATCCTCAGAAGTATTACTTTAGCATCAAAGTATTACTTTCAACGGGAAAGAATAAAATTCATGTCTTAAAACTGAACAGTTTTACCATTGGCATGAATTTTAACTGGAGAAACACCAAATGACAGAGGTTTAATATAAAAGAAAACTCAAAACAAACAGTTTAGGTCTGTGGATGATACGATTTTAACTTAGAGCACCTTGATTTCTATTTTAAGGGTGAACAACCTAAACACCTTCTTTGATTATAGATAAACAGAAAAATACCAGGGTTTTGATAAAAGCGAGATCCTGGAATCTTCCAGAATGAACCTTGAGAAGTTTTACGAGCACCCGTCCTGGGGGGGAAGAGTCAGTTATTGGCAGGTTGAGGTGAGACAGACCAAGTCCTGAGAATGTCCGGCTTAACAAGTCACTTGGTAAAATTTACGTTCCTGGGAGAAAAATGTAGGAGATAACCAGAATGCCCAACTGTGGGCCAGTTTCAAATTCCTCTCTTTATTTTCTTCTGCTGAATGTGAAAGAACCGTTTGTGTGACAATTTTATTGTTCTTTTCCGTGTAAATCCATACAAAGTTAACCTGAGGATATAAAATGTGGATTTCCGCTACAAAGGTGTGTCCAAACTTTTGGCTGGTGCTGTATATATAATTTTAAATATGACCTACTTCAGACAGAAAACTTTATTAAAACCTTTTGTATCAGAGCAGACACTTTGGCGCTTTTTAAAGAACGCATCCCTTTTTGCAGTCAAAATGATTTTGTGTGCTTTTTTAGGCAGAAACAACCATGTATAATTTAAATTTGTTCTAAAATTAAAATAAACAACTTTTACAGTCTGAGTAAATATTCTAGATTCTAGCATTTGAATAATACATTTAACTATTTAACTTAATTTTTTCTTTGAAATGAATCTAATATTTGGGATGGATGGATGGATGGATGGATGGATGGATGCACGCATGCATGGTTGGATGGATGGATGGATGGATGGACGGACGCACGCACGCATGGACGGAAGGATGGATGTTTGAATGGACGGATGGATTGCTACTTACACTTTAAACAGATGATAGCTATTATGCCAGCCACCACAGCAACAGCTGTAAATACTGATGAAGTTGTGATCGTTGCACTTGAAACTGTACTGGGACCTGCAGAATCAACAAAAATAAAACAAGTTTAATTAGAAAGGTTGACAATGTGAGAATTTTTCTAAAATGGCTTAACAAAGACAGGTTTTGTTTAAATCATACTTAGGAGTTTGTATGGAATGCCATTTGAAAAGTCAGTCATCCTTTAACAGCAGTTTTTTGTTTTTGTTGTTTTTTAAATCATTGTTGTCATCTTCCTCCGCTTATCCGGGTCCGGGTCGCAGGGACAGCATCCCAACTAGGGAGCTCCAGACCGATCCCTCCCCAGCCACCTCCACCAGCTCCTCCGGCAGGACCCCAAGGCGTTGCCGGACCAGATTGGAGATGTACCTCTCCAACGTGTCCTGGGTCAACTCGGGGGCCTCCTGCCGGCAGGACATGCCCGAAACGCCTCCCCAGGGAGGCGTCCAGGAGGCATCCTGGCCAGATGCCCAAACCACCTCAACTGACTCCTTTCGATCCGGAGGAGCAGCGGTTCTATTCCGAGTCCCTCCCGAATGTTCGAGCTCCTCACCCTATCTCTAAGGCTGAGCCCGGCCACCCTACGCAGGAAACTCATTTCAGCCGCATGTATCCGCAATCTCGTTCTTTCGGTCATTACCCAAAGCTCATGACCATAGGTGAGGATTGGGCCGTAGATTGACCGGTAAATCGAGAGCCTGGCTTTTTGGCTCAGCTCCCTCTTCACCACGACAGATCGGCTCAGCGTCCGCATCACTGCAGACGCTGAACCAATCCGCCTGTCGATCTCCCGATCCCTCCTACCCTCACTCGTGAACAAGACCCCAAGATGCTTAAACACCACCACTTGAGGTAGGACCTCTCTCCCGACCCGGAGTTGGCAAGCCACCCTTTTCCGGTCGAGAACCATGGTCTCAGATTTGGAGGTGCTGATCCTCATCCCAGCCGCTTCACACTCGGCCATGAACCTACCCAGCAAGAGCTGAAGGTCAGAGCTGGATGAAGCTAGGAGGACCACATCATCCAAAAAAGCAGAGACGAGATTCTCCTGCCACAAAACTCGACACACTCAACACCACGGCTGCGCCTAGAAATTCTGTCCAAAAAGGTAATGAACAGAACCGGTGACAAAGAGCAGCCCTGGCAGAGTCCAACCCTCACCGGGAACAGGTCCGACTTACTACCGGCTATGCGGTCCAAACTCACCCTCCTCTGGTAAAGGGACTGAATGGCCCTTAACAGAAAGCCACCCACCCCATACTCCTAGAGCGTCCCCCACAGGGTGCCCCTGGGGAAATGGTCATAAGCCTTCTCCAAATCCACAAAACACATGTGGATTGGTTGGGCAAACCCCCATGCCCCCTCCATCACCCTTGCAAGGGTATAAAGCTGGTCCACAGTTCCACGGCAAGGACTAAAACCACATTGCTCCTCCTCAATCTGAGATTCAACTATTGATTGGACTCTCCTCTCCAGTACCTTGGAGTAGACCTTTCCAGGGAGGCTGAGGAGTGTGAACCCCCTAAAGTTGGAACACACCCTCAGGTCACCCTTCTTAAAGATGGGGACCACCACCCCGGTCTCCCACTCCACAGGAACTGCCCTCGATGGCCACGCAATGTTGCATAGATGTGTCAACCACAACAGCCCTACAACATCCATAGCCTTGAGATGCCCAGGACGAATCTCATCCGCCCCCGGGGCTCCGATGCTGTGCAGTTGTTTGACTACTTCAGCAACTTCTGCCCCTGAGATTGGACAGTCAATCCCCAGGTCTCCCAGCTCTGGTTCCTCCTCAGAATGCGCATAGGTGGGATTGAGGAGCTCCTCAAAGTATTCCTTCCACCGTCCGACTATAGCCCCATTTGACGTCAGCAGTTCCCCATCCCCACTGCAAACAGTGTGAGCGAGTTGCTGCCTTCCTCTCCTGAGGCGCCAAATAGTTTGCCAGAACCTCTTTGGAGCCGATCGATAGTGTTTCTCCATGGCCTCACCAAACTTCTCCCACGCCCGAGATTTTGCCTCTGCAACTGCCACTGCTGCACCCCGCTTCCTGTACCTGTCTGCTGCCTCCGGAGACCCACAGACCAGCCACGCCCTGTAGGCCTCCTTCTTCAGCCTGACGGCTCCCCGAACCTCTGGTGTCCACCAGCGGGTTTGGGGGTTGCCACCACAACTGGCACTGGCCACCTTGCGACCACAGCTAGCAACATCCACCTCAACAATCGCAGAGTGGAACAAGGCCCACTCGGAGTCAATGTCCCCCACTGCTCTCGGGAGGCGGTCAAAGCTCTGCCGGAGGTGGGAGTTGAAGTCCGTCTTGACAGGTTCTTCTGCCAGGCGTTCCCAGCAGACCCTCACTATACGTTTGGGTCTGCCAGGTCTACATGGCATCTTCCCCTGCCATCTGATCCAAATCACCACCAGGTGGTGATCAGTTGACAGCTCCGCTCCTCTCTTCACTCGGGTGTCCAAAACGTACGGCCGCAGGTCAGATGATACGACTACAAAGTCTATCATCAACCTGCAACCTAGGCTGCCCTGGTACCAAGTGTACCGATGGGCATCCTTATCTTCGAACATGGGGTTCGTTATGGCCAAACTGCGGCTTGCACAGAAGTCCAATAACGAAACACCACTCGAGTTCAGATCAGGCGGGCCGTTCCTCCCAATCACACCCCTCCAGGTCATGCTGTCATTGCCCACGTGAGCATTGAAGTTCCCCAGCAGGACAATGGAGTCCCCTGAAGGAGCACTATCTACCACTCGTCCCAGGGACTCCAAAAAGGATGGGTACTCTGAACTGATATTTGGCCCATAAGCACAAACAACAGTTGGGACCCATTCCCCGACCTGAAGGCCCAAGGAAGCTACCCTCTCGTCCCCCGGGGTAAACCCCAACACACAGGCAGAGAGTCTTGGGGCTAACAAAAAGCCAACCCCAGCCCTCCGCCTCCCACCCAGAGCAACTCCAGCAAAGGAGAGTGTCCAACCCCTCTCAAGGACTTGGGTTCCAGAGCCAATGCTATGTGTCGAGGTGAGTCCGACTATATCTAGCCGGTACCGCTCAACCTCTGCCAAAAGCTCCTGCTCCTTCCCTGCCAGCGAGGTGACGTTCCATGTCCCAAAAACCAGTTTCCTTGTACGGGGATCGGACCGCCAAGGCTCCCGCCTCGGTCTGCCACCCGATCCACACTGCACCGGACCCTTCATGTTCCTCCTGCGGGTGGTGGGTCCACAGTTAGATGAGCCCATGTATCTTGTGCGGGCTGGGCCCGGCCAGGCCCCATGGGCGAAAGCCCGGCCACCAGACACTTGCTCACGGGCTCCAACCCCAGGCCTGGCTCCAGGGTGAGACCCCGGTAACCCTCCGGGCCGGGTAATCCGACTCCTTGACTGTATATCCATGAAAGACCAATTTGTCATGGGAGACCCTACCAGGGGCACAAAGTGCCCCAGACAAAATAGCTCCTAGGATCATTAGGGCACTCAAACTCCTCCGCCACGATAAGGTGACGGTTCAAGGAGGAGTGCTTTTTTATCATTTGAGAAAAATATCATAGTTCATTTTTCTAACATATTTTCGCCATGTTATTCATATATTTAAAAATGGTAAAGTTCCCAACTAAATATTTAGTTAGCAAGCTTTATATATATTTTATACTGAAATATTTATTTGATGAATTAAATATTTAAGACCTAAATATTTAGTTTGTAAAAATAAACATTTAATGTACTAACTAAAAATATTTCATTTGGAGCAAATTATTTAGTTTACAAACTAAATATTTAGCTCCAAATTAAATAAATATTTAGATCCCAGCTAAATATTTATTTTGGAGCTAAGCATTGAGTTTGTAAAATCAATATTTAGATTTAGCCCCAAAATTAATATTTAGCTGGGATCTAAATAATTTGGTAAATAAAACATTGAATTGGAGCTATTTTTTAAAGTGGAAAATAATAATTTTGCTCCTAAATATTTAGTTAAATTATTTATTTTACAAACTAAATATTTAGGTCTGACCAATTTTTTTAGTTTGTAAAATAAAATTTTACCTCTAAATTCAATATTTAGCTTGCTAACTAACTACTTTAACATTTATAAATGTATGTATAACATTGTTAATAATGAATACAATTCAATTCAATTCAAAAATACTTTATTAATCCCAAAGGGAAATTGATTAATTCAGGCTGACCAGGCCTGACGAAGTTTGCAGCCGCAAATGAAATGTTGCAGGTAAATAAAACCTTTCTGTGTTTATAAAGAACTAAAAGATGGGATTAGAATTTCAACACAGCAAGAACACACCAAAGATGTTAACTGAATATGTTTTAACATTTCGTTGACATTTAAAGACTAGGAGTAAGAGCCACTACTCCTAGACGTGGAGAGGAGCCAGCGGAAGTGATCTGGGAATGTATTAGTTTTTAATGCTGCGTAGATGTAACCCTGGGAGTTGTTTTGGGTGTGTCCCGCCAACTGGAACTCGGCCTGAGAGCACTTTAAGATCCCACTGGTGATGCTGAAGTTAAAGGGAAGATGATGACTTGGGCCCTGTTGCTAAGGCTGCTTATATTAAAGACAACAAGCTAAAGAAAGGATAGCCAAACAACAAAATTGTTCTGCATATTAAAGTTTTGCTGTTGTGGTTTTGCTTGATCCTTATATGTCTGCTGTAAATAAAGTTCAGATTATAAAGTAAACTGCCTGTCCCTTCCAGCTATAATACATAACAAGAAAATCATCATATCTCTAAATCTCACCTGCTTTTTTCTGACAGTAAACTTTGATGTTTTTCGAGTCCTGATTCCAGCTCACTTGGTTACTATGGTTACAGATGATGTTATCTTGCTGCAGGAAGACAGTGAAAGAGACTGGAGCTCCTTCTTGTAGATGGCAGGATGATTTGTTGCACTGAAAAGTTCTGTTAAGGTTAGAATCCTCTGTTCTGCAGGTCACGGTGAGGTTACAGGCACTGGAGTTGGACTCAGTTACTGTTAACTTTACTGGAGACACTGGTTCTGAAAAACAACAGAAGATGTATAAAAGCTGTAAAACATGATGTTGTAGAAGCACTTGGAAATGATGCCAGAAGCAGATGGCTACCAAAATATACACACCTTGGACAGTAATGTTATACTCAACTAGGATTTTGTCTTCACTTCCACTCAGCTCTGCTTTATAAACGCCACTGTTGTTATGTTGCACATTCTTTAACAGCAGAGAGTAGTTTTGCTTGAAAAACTCAATGCTAGTTTTATCAAAGAAAATTCTGAGATCTCCTTTGAATCCCAGTTTTACCACATTCAATGTTTTATCACTCTTAATACATTTCCAGGAAAAGTCTGCTACACTGGGGAGTGTAGTCACTTTTGCATCCAGCAGTAAGTCTGTTCCTTTTTTCGCTACCTGATGTTCCAAACCTGAAACATAAAACATAACTTTGCTTAATGAACAACACAACAATCATGGAAAAATGACAAATCTAGCAACATTTCTGACGACCCATAACTACTTTCTGTAGGATTCACACCAATATTCTCTAGAGATATGCAAAGGGTTATCTTGTGTGTGAAAAGTACGTCTCATGCTCCCTGAACCACTCTTTCACAATTTGAGCCCAATTTTCATTGTCATCTTGGAATAAGGCCGTGCCATCAGGGAAGATGGAATAACCTGGTCATTCAGGTAGTCAGCTGACCTCATCCTTGGAGCCCATCCTATTGCTGAACCTAGACCTGACCAGCTGCAGCAAGCCCAGATCATAGCTCTGCCCCCACAGGCTTGTACAGTAGGCACTAGGCAGGATGGGTGCATCACTTCATCTGCCTCTCTTCTTACCCTGATGCACCATCACTCTGGAACAGGGTCCATCTGGACTCATCAGACCAGTTTTAATAACGCATTGGACAGTTCTTAACCCAGTTTTAGTCGTTTCTGCATCTCCTTAGATGTTTTCTCTGCTTGATGCCAGTGATCTGACCCTTCTCACACAGACTAACATCTTTTTCACGACCACCAGATGTGTCATGGTTGTTTAAGAAATGAGAAGCAGCTCATTTTACTAATTGGGTTAAATAACTTGTTGCAGCTGAAAGATAATCCCCCTGCAGTAATTATCCAATAGGACGCTCCTACCTGTATGCTTAGTTAAACCCAGGTGGTGACTTTTTTTGGCCGGGCAGTGTATGTACTGTATGTGTGTGCAAGTGTGAACTTACTCTTTAATGATGAAAGATAACAAATATAAACACACACCCTACTAGAACTGACAAACTGAGGTTTCATTTGCTCAAGTGTAAGTTTCATCCTCATGGGAAATGTTTCTTCATGCAAAATAAATCTAGTTGACTTTGTTCAAACGGCTGCAACTTTTTTGAATTAAAGAGTTATTTTTACCACCTTTCATACAAAATATACTGGAACTAATTTTAGTTTGCTGGTAAATTTGGAGGGAAAATGCTGTGTATGTCAACAAAAGTAGGAAGTGATCTAAAAATAACAGTTACCTAAACAGTTTTAAGCCAGTCCCTGTCCTCAAACAACAGGGAACCCACTTGCTTAAATCATTTGTGTCTTTCTAATGTGAAATGACAAAAAAAAAGATAAACCTCTCATTTTTAAATGTCATCTTAAATATAAATAATACTCAGATTAATGTCATTCTTGGTCAAGGTGACTAAAAGCTGCTTCAGGGGGGCTGAAGAGCCACTCCAGAGCTGAAGATTACAGACCCCTGCACACAGAAGTCATTCTAAAAAACAATATTTTTATATAACTTAATTAACTTTCTTACTCCTTGAGCCAACAGAAAATCGTGTTTTTACTCTAATTTCAGATATAATAGAAGTGCTATGATGCAAAAATCCCTCCCATTGAACTAGCTAGCCAGCTATAGTAATGTAAAATACTCACAATAAGAACTTAACTGTTAGCATTTTCTTCAATGTATTGCTGTACTGGATTATAAAGTCTTGGATAAATACATTTGATTAACATTCTTTTATATTAAGCAGAATTTCTAAAGCTCAGTCTGTATCTTGTCACAAGTTCACAACAGAACAATAAGTCCGTTTTTATAGGAGTTAATGAACGGTTTTACCTTTAGCTGAATCCAACAGAGAGACGACAAGCAGAAGAATTGAAATCATAATTTCGGTCATCTGTCACATGAGGAAGTAGAACTGGCTGTTTTTGTTAAGACCCAACCGTAGCCACGGCTTCCTGTTCCTAGTTGAAAACGCTGTCAAACACAAATCCACATAAGCTCTATGGCTATAACATTCTTCTCAAGGTACATATTTGAAATGCTGATTGTCTCAACTGAATGTTGATTTGGCAGGAATTGACATTTTGATGCATTTATAGCCATTTATTTCTTTTTAGGGAGATGTTTTAAAACGATAAGAGGCTAAAACCTTTACGTTAGACCACAACTATCTGAGAGTTTTAACCAAACTCACTTTCATTCAATACGTTTAAGTGAGACACAAGTCAAAATGTAATAATAAACTTTATTAAGTCAGTTTTTATCAGGTTGTCCCTTTGAGGCGTTCTACTCAAACACCACGAAAAGCCCAAGGTTTCATGTAAATATGACAAAAAGTTTTTACTCTTTTAAAAATCACATCTTTTCTTCTCATTTCTAACATCAAGGTCTTGTTTGAAGGTCTCACAACTCGTTGTCATGTTAAAACTAAGCAGGATCTGATAAAGTGTTAGTGACTCAAAAGACTTGAACTGATCACCTCTGCCTCTAAAAAAAGACTTTGAACATTCCCTCATCACCAGATGGTCTTTTCATTGAGGCATACTGGTGTTTCTGAACATCTGGGAACTTAGTGTCATCAGTTTAGCTCAGAGCCTAAAAGCGGATTTTATTTACATTTTTTGATTTTATTTTTGCTTTTAGTAGTTTTTCATGTTTTTACTCAAATAACATTCAACATGTAGCCAACAGACTGTCAGAAGGTGCAAATGTACATCATGTGTCTAAAGTGCTATAGTATTTAAGAATGATCACAACCATACAGAAAAATCTCCTCTGTCGTGCAGCTAAACAGGACTTTAGCAGACATTCTGAGCTGTCTACAGAGCTTTTTCAACAGGAAATGTAAAAATACTCTTGAAATGCTGAAGAGGAAGTTGGGGGTGAAATTCGTCAACTTTTTTTTAACCATAAAAACTCAAGAGACATCTGATTTTCTGCCAGAACACATATTTCTGTTTGCATAAAGTTTCCCTTCGGGGATTATTTAATGTCTGATATAGTACCCACACATTTACATAGACCCTGGAGGAGGATTCAAGTAATCTTCCTTTGAAACAGGTGGGTGTTTCTTCTTCCTGCCTCCTAGTCTCGTTTTACACATTTACCCATGAAACGTTAAAAAGAAACTATCAACCCGTCTCACTTTTGGACGATAAAGTCCCTCATGGGGTAATTTGTCATTTGGACCAAACCCACCAAGGTTTCCATTCCATCTTGTTTTTTTTTTTTTTTAAGAATAAGTGGGGATAATCTCATAAAAACTAGTCTATTCTTGCAGCAACTTTCCAACTTTCCATAAGTGTTATCCTCATTTTAAAAAGTCTCAGAGATATTTATCTCACGAGCTACTGATTTATAGTCTCTCTTAAAATCCAGCTGATCTGCTCACACGTTGCTGATGCGAACACTCAGAGGTCCATCTCTGACCCGAACACGGTCCTCTCCTCGCTGCTCCCTGTAAACTTGCTCCAGTCTGATCTTCTCTGGGTCCGACACCTCGGACACGGGCCCTCCTCCGTTGCTCTGGTACCCCTGCAGGGGACTCGATTTGAAGATGGGGGTGGTCTTGGTTTTGGCCACTTTATCGAAAAAGGAAAAGTCTGCTACATATTTACCCGACATGGAGAGGGAGACTACAGGTGGGAACTCATATCCCCACAGGATCTCGTCTGGCAAGTAGGAGGTGCGGACCTGGCAGGTGGCAGAGGTTGGCTCCACTGTGGCGCTCATGATAACCAGCAGTTCAAAATCAGCCAAATCTGGATCGGTCCAGCCACCACCTGGTGGAAAATGGTTAAAAAATAAACAATCAATGATGAACAAGAGTCTGCTTCTAGACCTGCAGAAAAGGGGCACACAACAATACAACAGGAGCAAGCTATCACTGCGTCAACTTGATAAGGAAATATAAAATCAACACTGTTTTGCTGAACAATCACAATAATAAATCACAGTGCATTAAGTGCCAACCACAGCCTTAAGACCTGTGTTGAACGTGCCCAAGTCCATACTTATGAGAGCACCATGTGAGCACCTGTGTGTGTACATGCGCTTGTTTATGTAAGGTTTCTCTATAGGAGCATCCAATAGAGAGTGTGAGGGGCCACAGATCTGCCCCCCAAAGATGTGTGGGAGATGGAGGGAGCTCCAAGTCCCAGAGATCCAGGAGCTGCCCCAGAGCGCAGGGACCCCAGGGAGACTGCGACCAGAAAAGCCCCCGCCCCCCTCGAGAGACGCAGAGGATCGCCCCGGGGGGCCACAACCAGTAGCCGGTAGATTACCAGGAGATATAAGCAGCAAGCACACAGGCCCGCCCGCAGCCTCCCACCCCCCAGCCGGCCGAGCCCGGAACCCAGCGACCCGGGACCCAGGGGCGACCACCCCCGCTGGGGACCCAACAGAACCCAGAAACCCAGATCCCACCAGGCAGCCACCGGGATTGATCAGGCAGACGCCAAAAATCTTAAACCCTCGACCTGGGAGCTATGAACACTCAGGCAGACCAAGGCACCGCACTCCACACCAAGTGTGACAGGGGGAGGGGAGACGAAGATGTATAACATTAAAAGAAGTCCCAGCAGAGAGGAGGAGTCAAAGGCCCCACCTGACATTTACAGTCATTTCAGCCTTTCTGCTGGGGTGCTGATGAGCAGGCTCCCCCTCCCAACGCTGAGCAAAGCAACCCACCACCCCAGACCCCAGCCAGATGGCCAGCTCCCCCTCCTAGCCTCCAGCCCCAGGAAGCCAAGCGACATCAGAGGTGTGCAAACACCCCTAGTCTCCCTCCTCCTGCTCCAATATGGTGTTAGTGAGTGTTGATGAGGTGTATTCCATGGCTGTGGTGAGCGGGCAGTGCAGGCATCGTCTGGCCTACGCCAGCTGATGCCACCACACCACCCCACTTGAGACAGTAATTTTAATAAAACATACTAAAAGGTCCTCCCATTTAGCAAACGCAATAAGATTTTAGGACATTGTGGTTTCAGACAAAATCTCTATGGTAAATTACTTTAATGAGCATTTTATCAAGTTGGGCAAAGCTTTTGCTTTTGCCATTTTACACTTAGCAATTCCTCTTATTTCTGAGGTCACTGCAATAGATCATTTACTCATTCTGCAAAACACACCCTGCTCAAAGTGGCAGTCCTCCCCATTTTAGATTTCTGTGACAATATTTGGCTGCTTGAGTATTAAGTGTTGATTTGTGCAAGATTTAAGCTCACTGTGGCTAAGAGGGGTGCGCGCACTGGGACAAAGCTCGTAATGAGCATGCACATTTCTGCCACTTGAGTGGTGCGGAGCAGCTAGGAAACATTTCACAACAGAACCAACGGCAACCCTGACAAACGTTCGAAGCACAAAGGTGTGCAGCATAGTGACTAGACTGGTAGTGCAGTTTTTAAGGAAAACTTGCCAGAAAAGGTGCAACACCCATGAATGTGCATCATAAGGATGAAAGTCAAGGTGTGACTGACCTTAGCCATTTTATACATCGGATTCCACCCCCTCATAAAAAAATGCTGCCTCGATACTGTACAGGAAAATGCCAGATGCAGCAGATACTGTCGAACAGCGATGAAAACACAACATCTTACATTTTCAGTGTGTTGTTGGCACTTTTTATGTGATAATTCCTAACTTAACGACTTATGGAACAGACGCGGAGCCACCAGGCTGGTGCCAATCAGCAGTTCTTTGGACTCTGTCCCCCCTGAAAGTTTAGGAGAGGATCAACTGGGACCTAAATCAGAACTCCAGCGAGGTGGACTAGGCTTATTACGGTGAAAACCCCCTCCACTGCCTCCACTCAGGATGCATAACCATATAACAAGTTATCACCAACTATCTGCCTCTGGCGTTACTTCCTGGTCAGCTGCTTCAAGCAGAGGACATGTAATCCAAAAGAGGGCCACGTTCAGAAGGGGGGGGGGGGGGGGGGGTAATGGTCAGAAGACAGTTAGATACACATTAGGAATAAGACATTGAACATCTTGGCTAAGGCTTTTCCAGGATTGTAAATTTCAGTGGTAAATAAAATAATTCCTTTTTGAAAAAACATTTAATTTACTGGTTGTGTGAAGAGCAATTTAAGCAATATGGGAAAAAAAGCTCCAGAAAACTTTTTTCTATCTCACCTTTAAATCAAGAACCAAATGAAGAGAGTCAAAAAACAAGAAACTGAAGCTCTTGACTGAGCTATGTCACATCAGTTTACAAAAGAAATGAGAAGTTCAGCCTATCTTGCGCCACAAAAAGGAAGTTGAATGTTTTTTTTTCTCAGTCATGCAACTGCTGCATTCAAAACGTGCAAACTTTTATACTTCCAGTAATTTCTGGGTGGCCTCACATTGCTTGGAAAAGAAATAATCTCAACAAATGTAGAAGGGAATCTTAACTTCTGATTGTCACTGTGCAACATTTGCATCTCAGGAAATAAAGAAACTTGTCATGTAGGAAGCTAAGCAAAAGCAGGTTTGACAGATCAGCTTGTAGGATTGTTATCACAACAGAACCCGCTGAGACTCAAATGACCTTTTAGTGAAGAATCAGGTGATTGGACAGTCAGGTTACAACATCAGGTGAGCTTCAGTCAGAAAACAATCCACAAAATGTGGTTCAGACCAGACAATTCTAGTGGCTCTTTCAGGGAAGCACTGAAAACAAAAAGCATTTATAAAGTGCATTGAAGGTTATTTTCATACTGGAAAAGAGAAGCTTACGTGACTATAATTGGATGTATAAATCGAAATCAAGCCATTGTTGTTATTTTTAATGTGTGAGCACAAATCCAAGTCTTTAGTATTTAGTATTTTCAAGTCAGACTGCATAGTAGTAAATTAAGTTTGGTCACCTTGTTAAAAAAATGCCTTCAGGTTTCAGGTTTGTGCATCCACAGAGAAATTTGTGTGTGCAAAAATGTGTATTTGTGGAAATTCAGATGCAAAAAACTACATGCAAGGCTCTACTTTTAAGTTCCTGTGTATGACTTTCAACTTGCAGACACACATTTTTAATTTTTCTGCCTCTCCCATGATTGGTCAGTTTCTTGTCAAAAGTAATTAGGTTTGACTACCTGGTAATTTCCAAAAGCAAGCTCCCAAATAGCAAACCATTAGATGTTTAGATGGATATAACTGTAATAAAAAATGTCATCTACACAGAAAAGTTTTCAAAAAGAATTTAATTTAAAGGGAGACAAGGCAGTTTTGCTTGCTTTTAGCACCCCCTAGTGTCCGTTTGTAGAAGAAAACCCAAAACCTATCTCGTGGCAGTGCGTTTGTCTTTTTAACACCTTAAAGTCTCTTTCCGGAGTATTTCTCTTATCCGGTGGCTGACAAGCATATCACACAATTTTTTTCTGGGTCAGTTTTTTTAAATGGCGGCTTCACAGTTTTTATTTATAAATGTGCTTCTGTAGCTGACAAACAGAGCTAAAATGCGTTGTTTTACAAATTTTATTCTCATGTCATGTTGTATTTTCATTTACTTATACTTTAAACACTTATCTATCCGTGAAAAGTTCATCCCCTTTGCATCAGACGAGGTATTCCTGAAATTTGAAGCATGTAAGCGGTTGTCTAATGCTATTGGTTAGTTCTGGATGGCACTCAGTTTCCTATTGCACGGAGCTCTGTGGGGCAATTAAGTCGCAGTACATGATGAGACAATCACTTTTACAAGCTTCTGAAAAATCATACATAATTTCTGAAAGGGGAAACCTCCAGAAAGTTACTTTAATCTAACAGCTGAAATGTCTCCCCAGCATTCCTAAGTGTCTACAGGAGTGATTCATCACTAAATTAAACAAATCCGCTGTGTTCTTGATCTAAAACATGCAGAAAACGTGCTAAAGCAAGGCAGCTGCGGCAGGTAAGTCAGCTCAATTTTTTCGAAGTCCCAACAGACCTGACCGGCAGCTGTGATGATGCAAGTGAGATATTCTGGCCACAGGGGGCAATGGGGGCTGGGTGGCCTTTCATTAACCCTGTAAAGTCATTTTAGCACATACTGGCTCAAGAAAATGATTTAAAAATATGAAAAACTTGCAAAGTTTCTCTTTAATAAAGCACTAGAAACAAATTTCAATTTTATTTTGTTTTTTTGTGACGTGAATAAGAAGAACTTTGGCTTTTTAGAAGTACAACAACAATATTAATCAATAGCATTATTGCTAGAAATAGTGATCATCCACCATGTTTGTCTTCTCTTGATGTCTACTGCTCATATTCTGAATCAACATGGCCACACCTTACATAATTTCCTTACTGCAACCATTTCTGTTTCAGTTCCAATTTGAAAACAAGAAAAAAAAATGTAGTCCCTAAAAGTATTTCACCATACCACAGACAGTTTCCTAGTAGTGATTCAGTGATTCACAGCCTTCAACAAAATAGTAAATACCATGCACAATAACCAAACATACCCTTGGCTGCCCAGGCTCTCAGCGGGCTGTTGTCGTCAATGACGTGATAGAAGGTGAGGGGAAGGATGAGAAAGGGACTGTCGCTGGCGGTATCCACCTGGAAGGGAACGTTTCTCTGATCCAGACGAACTGTCTCGCCTTCTTTTGTCTGGGAGGTTTGGAGGAGTTTTCCTGTCACCTTGGAGGAAAAGTGTGTACAGGGTGTTTTAGTTTATCTGGAGATCAAACCAGTTTTAATTCATTAGACATAAAACTCCCAGTAGTTTCCATGAGACATTACTAAAATATGACATGAGAGCTAAAACATTTTTACTCTGTTTTATTCTCTGTTCGGTTAGACTGCTTCTTATCAATAGTGAAACGTTAACCTTTAAAGTTGTGGTTCACCCGTTTATTCAATAAATTTGCAGTGTTCTCCAGTGTAAATCAATGCCTCGTGAATCATTAAAAAAGCTATGATGCTTCTGTTATGAGATGCTGAAGTTTGCTGGTGCAGAGATGGGCTGACAGCAGGATCGCTCATTATTATTATTATATTATCGCTTCTGATTGGCTAACCAAATGCGTTCACCCATGTTGCAAAGTCACTATCACCAACATTCTCTCTCCTCGCTGCAAAAAATTTAAAAAAAAATTTTTAAGCCTTCCTGTGAGCAGGCGCAAGCCAAGATGGGCAAGGCCATGAATGCAAATTGACAGTCTGACGTCACAGTGTGAGGATTTTCAAATCCTAGCATTTTACCGTCTATTTTCTATCAGAAGCCAATGCAGGAGATATATGTAGAAGACCGTTTTCATGTTCGGCCTGCATGAAGAACTCAGAGTGACCGATCATAATCAGAAATAATCATTTAAAAAGATTTTTCAGTCAACCATGACTTTAAAGGTTTTCCTTTTTTTAACAAGTTGCTTTAACAGCATGAATAATAAAAGTGAGTGACTCAGATGCATGAAAGAAATTAACTTGCCATTTATCTAAACTAGTCATCAAACTATTAATTAAATCATTCATACATAACTTAATTCCAGGCAAATAATGTGTCCACATCATAAGAAGCTAAAGATGCAGTTAGCTTCTACTAGTAGACGTTCTCTGCTGTTTCCTGGATGCTAAACCAACAACAGCTTCCCCCGTTGCGAGTTAAGAGGAGTGAGTCCATGATGTTAATTTACAGTGTGAGGTAGATCAGTCTGTCTTTTTCTGACCTGAGCGTTTCCCCGTCTATTTTCTATCGCTGCCTAATGCAGAAAAAAGGGCTAGAAGACGATTTTCACATTTAGCCTGCATGTAAAACTCAGAGTGACCAAATATGTTTTAAAAATAAGTACAAAATTGTTACTCAGTGAACGTGGCCTGTCAGGTCTGAAAAGTCCGTGAGCACATGGATTCACCTGACACCCAAGCAGGAGGCTCTTGCGCATGTTGGCCACCCTGATCATCAAGCAGGGCTGGCCCTCATAGGTGGAAACAACAGCGTGTTGGCTAAACTTCACCGTCTCACTCCGCTTCTTTGGCCGTGCAACCTGAATGTGAGAAAAGTCAATCAATTTATAGTTTGTTGTGCTTTTCCTTGGTTATATTTTGGTGTTTTACATGCAAAAGAGAAGCAAACATATCTAAATTGTCCATCACCTTGGCCAGAAAGGTCCCCGTGATGAATATTTCCATCAGCATGGTGATGACCAGCTGCAGGATGAGGAGGATTATAGCAGCTGGACATTCCTCTGTGATGCAGCGGAAACCATAACCAATGGTGGTCTGGGACTCCAGAGAGAAGAGGAAGGCTGCGGTGAGGGTCTGCATCTGCATCACGCAGGGGGTGTGGTTCGACGGGGGGTCAAACTCTGGTGGAACGTGTAGACAACAAGAACGTGTTACTTTTCTGTTAAACAACCAGAAACATCGTTGAATGTTCTGGAACTTTTACTTTTTCTGTAGGATGGTTACAAAATGGCGAAAACTAAAATGAAGAGTCATGAGAGAAGAAGAGGAGCAGATGTTTTCTTTCTGCTTTTATGTCTAAAGTTTGATTTAATCAAGCTCAGGTTTAACTGAGTTTCAGGAAATAAAACACCAGAAATGTTACTACTGCTTGAGAAATATCTGAAACTCAGATAAAGTGGCTTTGTGGCTGCAAATGTCGTGCAACAAAGGCAAACCATCATCCCTCAGCAACATTAGCAGTTGAAGAGACAAACTCTTAATCATCAGCTTCCTGTTTTTTTCTCACCTACAACCCATATTTTGGCTTTTCACATGTAAAACGCATTTTCACACAGCTTAGTTTAAACAGGAAGACTCGGACACCTCAAGCATGCAGAATCTGTTGTTAAAATGCAGACGTGCATGAAAGATTCATGAGCAGAGAAACAAAAATACTGTTTTCCAGCCTACTGTATGTTTATGTAATGCATCACTAAAATAGCCAACATGACTTTTAATCTGGTGCTTAATGAAGGCTTTGAATCAGTTTTGTAAACATTTGTTCCTGATTTGAGATGTTTTAGGTCAACAGAGTTCAATGCTGGTGCTGAAGGGCCCCATGTTGCCTGTTTTAGTTGTTTCCCTACTCCAACACATCTGATTCTGTGGTTCAATCACCTGTTCAACAGGTCATCACGCTCTCTAGAAGCCTGTTAATTACCTACGGATTAAAATCAGGAGTGCTGAACTAGAGAAACCTCTAAAACAGGGGGTGTCAAACTCAAACACACACTGGGCCGAAATGAAAATCTGGGACAAAGTCGTGGGCCAAATTAAAATGTATTGAAAAAGTGACAGCAAATTTGCACATTTTCTTTATCAATTTTTTTCCTGCAGTTCTACCATCCACCATTAAGTAGGCCAAGCACTTGTATGTTCTTGCACAAGGAAATACCTTCTGATCCTGTGTTTTGTGGAATCCAACTATCTGGATTTGTCCAGTGACTGCTGGGAAAGTTCAGCTGACAACAGGGGAAAGTCCTTGGGACAGCATGGAGGGACAGTTGGCAGGAGGGAATAGACCCCAGCGGGACAGTTATGGGTTAGCTGCCCACAACTGTAGTCTCTCATGCCTTGCAGCATGGCAGAGACAACCCCCATTAGCTAAAAAAAGGCAAACAAAGAATACCCCCAGAGTCTGCGAGAGCAGGGGCGGAAGAAGACTCATCGGCTGATAAAACGGTAATGACTACGAGCAAAGACAGCACAGTGCAAGGTAACACCACAGCAAACAGTGCAAGCACTGCCAAAGCAGCAGTCCAACAGCTGCAGATATGTAGCTGTGGATGGAGGAAAGTAACATCTTACCGGGGTTTGAGGATTCACCAGGGAAAGAAGAGGTGCTTGAGGGAAGAGAGACAGGGGCCTCGCTTTGACGACTTCCTACAGAATGGGTCAAATCAGTCAAGTGAAGCTCACCAACTGGATGAAAACCATAGTTTGGAGGGTATCAGCACCCCCCGTTAGGGAAGTGACAAACTCAAGCTCAGAACTAGTGGTGGAACAAACTTCAGTGGAGGAACCCACCCCAACTCCCCGACAAGCAGTCGAGCGGAGACTTCCAAGCTACAAACTGCGTGTGAAATGGCCTGGTACTGCGGAGAAAAAGCTGTGGGAAACAGTGAATAAAGACCTGTCCATGTCCCTCGAACAAATTCGAGGCACAGTGGAGAAGAAATTGGAGGAAATGGGAAACATCATCTATCAATATGGAGCAGAATGCTTTGGGGTGGTAGAGCCACAGACTACTAAAGACTCTTTTACTCCACCAGGCTCCAGGAGGCAACAAGAAATCAAGCGCCTGGTTCAAGAAAGGAGGCAACTCAGGAAACGGTGGAAAAAGGCTTCTGAAATGGAAAAGGAGGGCATAACCACCCTCCAAGCTGACATCAAAGAACGGCTGACATCCCTCCGCACAGCAGAGGCTTTACGGAAAAGAAGGAGGAATAAAGAACAAACTAGAACATGGTTCTACAAAGATCCATTCAAGTTCTTAAAGACTCTCTTTACCAGCAAGAAAAGTGGAATTCTAAAAACAACAAAAGATGACCTGGAGGGGCACCTGAAATCAACACACAGCGATCCAAAACACTTTGAACACCTGGCCATCCCACAGGATATTCCACAAATCAACCCCCCAGAGCACCAATTTGAGAGTGGCCCTCCCACGTGGAAGGAGGTGGAGAAGATTGTCCACCGGGCACGCACAGCTTCAGCCCCGGGGCCAAACGGAGTCCCAAATAGAGTGTACAAGAACGCACCAGATGCATGCAGGTTTCTCTGGAGATTCATGAGGACGGTATGGCAGAAGAGAACCATACCCAAAGCATGGCGAAGGGAAGGTGGGATCCTTATAAAGGAGAAGGATGCAGCTAACATCAATCAGTTCCACCCTATCGCCTTGCTTAATGTGGAGGGTAAGATCTTCTTCAGGGTCATTGCACAAAGAATGGCAAAATATCTGCACAGAAACGAGTACTAGAATACATCAGTGCAAAAAGAAGGAATATCTGGCTTTTCTGGTTGCCTAGAACATGCTAGCATGATCTGGCACCAGATCCAAATGGCAAAGACAGAGAAAAGAGACCTCCATATGATTTTCCTGGACCTTGCAAATGCCTTCGGCTCTGTACCCCATGAGCTTCTCTGGACTACTTTTAGGTTTTTTAACATCCGGACATCAAAACCCTTGTCAAAAACTACTTTCAGGACCTGCAGTTTTGTTTTTCTACACCTGAGTCTACCACCTCTTGGCAGTGCCTGGAAGTAGGCTTTATGGCCGGATGTACTGTTTCTCCCCTGGCTTTCACCATGGCAATGGAGATAATCATCCGAGCCTCAAAGTGAGCTGTAGGTGGACAAAGAATCGGCTCCTGCTGGCGTCGTCCTCCCCTCAGAGCCTATATGGATGACATTACCACCTTGATTACCACCATTCCATGCACCAGGAGGTTACTCAGTAAATTGGAGAACATCACGTGGGCCCGTATGAAGATTAAACCGTCTAAGCTCAGTAGTGAAGGGAGTGCTCACTGACTTGCAGTTCTTCATCGGTGATGACCCAATTCCTACTGTTTCCGAGTAGCCAGTCAAAAGTCTCGGAAGGTTCTACGACAGAAGCCCGAAAGATAAACAACAGGTGAAGCAACTGTGCAGTGACATCAATGCAGGCCTACAGGCAATTGACAAAATCCAACTACCTGGGAAACTCAAGACCTGGTGCTTCCAGTTCGGCCTTCTACCCCGAGTGCTGTGGCCCTTGGCACTCTAAGGCGCCCATCACGACAGTAGAGGATCTGGAGAGAAGAGTCACAGCATACATCAAGAAATGAATGGGAGTTCCACGTTGCCTCACCACCACAAGCCTCTACGGAGATAGTGTCCTCAAGCTGCCACTTACCAGCCTTACGGAAGAGTTCAAGTTCTTTGAACATCTTAGGTGTGTTCTTGCTGTGTCTTTCTAAATCCATGCTTTCGTTCTTTTTTAAACACAGAAACAGTTTTGTTTACCTGTTTGTAGCTACAGTTTCGCCGACGGCTGCCGGCTTCTTCAGGCTGACGCTGATGGTGGCGCGTCACTTCCTTCTCCGTTTATCTGCGGGCAGCAGAGGACGTTGTCGCCCTCTACTGCCCGCTCTCCCCTCTCCGAACGAGGGCATGGAAAGAGTTCAAGTGTGCCAAAGCACGGTTGCAGATGACCTTGAACGATACCACAGATCCAGTGATCAGAGAAAATGTACCAAACCTGGTTACTGGGCGCAAGTGGAGACCAGCAAGAGCAGTAGAGGAGGCAATGGCAGCTCTTAGACATGCTGACATTGTGGGGATTGTTAACCTAGGAAGGGGAGGCCTTGGACTAAAAGCTAGTCACCCAGCCTGGAGAACTGCTACTGCTCCAGCACGGAGGAAGATGGTGGTGGATGAGGTGCGACGTCAGGAGGAATCTGCAAGGTGGGCCAAGGCAGTCGCCCTTGGCAAACAGGGACGGTGGACACGGTGGGAAGGTGTCAAAAGGAGGAGGTTGTGCTGGAGGGATGTATGGGCCATGGAAGCCAGGAATTTGATGTCCTACCAACACCAACTAATCTCCACCAGTGGTTTGGCGAAGATCATGGGTGCATCCTGTGCTCCAAGCCTGCCTCCCTCCGGCACATACTGACTGGGTGTAAAACCAGCCTTACCCAAGGACGATACATTTGGCGGCACAACCAAGTTTTAAAATGCCTTGCTGCTACATTGGAGGAAAAACGATCCAGCATCAACGCCCTTTCAGTACCTAACATCTCAACACCTTCATTGTCCGTGAAGGCACAGCAGCAACTAAGAGCAGCTCTAAATCATCAGAGAGAAGCCAGCTGTGCCTAGCATGTGACTGGAAGATGCTGGCAGACATTGGCAAACAACTAGTGTTTCCCTCAGAGATAGCTACCACCACCGTTAGTTCTGACCTGGTTCTATGGTCCTCCTCCATAAAGAAGGTTTACATAATCGAACTCACCGTACCCTGGGAGGATTCCATGGAGGAGGCCTTTGAGCAGAAGCATCTGCGTGGTATGCTGACCTAGCCACCAAAGCAAAACATCGTGGCTAGAATGCAGAGGTCCGCCCAGTGGAGGTCGGGTGCAGAGGGTTTGTGGGAACATCTACCACAAAACTATTAAGGGACCTAGGAATCATGGGCCAGAAACAGTGCAGAGCCATCAAAGCTACATCAGAGGCAGCAGAAAGAAGCAGCCAGAGGCTCTGGCTGAAGAGGAATGACCCCATTTGGGCCCCCAAGTAGTGTGCCAGGTTGCACACTTTAATGGCTACCGTATTTTCCAGACTATAAGCCGTTACTTTTTCCCATGCTTTGAACCATGCGGCTTATAGTGAGGTCTGGCTTTAGTCAACCAGAAAGGATGGATGCTGGAAAGTCTAATGAAGGAATGGTTAAAGGAGTGCTGCGGAAAGCGCCCAGGAGGATTTTTTTCACAGTAAAACGGTGCTGCTTGTTTTCCCAGCTTCACCCCGGGATGATGACGGCAACAAGGAGAGCAACGCTGACATCGACACAGAAAAGGTATGTGACGAAGCTCTTCTGAGGCTGTTCAACTCTGACACTGAAGGAGATGACTTCAGTAGTTTCAGTGCGCAGGAGGACGATGAATAAACTAATCAATAACTTTTCTGTTTTGTTTGATACTGGTCAGCTCAGTTACGTTCAGTTAAACTACGTTTTCCATTCAGTAGATATCTGCGGATTTTAGCCCAGTGCGCGTTATATTGAGGTGCGCTCTATAGTCCGGAAATTACGGTAATTGGCCTTGGGACGCAAGCTGAGGTCTGATCAACCTACAGCTGGTCGCCGATGAGGAAGGTGTATAGTGTTAAAGGCCGAAACACCCCATGATCCAGAGCAACACTACTGAGGATGCGTCCCAGAAATTTTTTCCTGCAGTTCTACCATCCACCATTAAGTAGGTCAAGCACTCGTATGTTCTTGCACAAGGAAATACCATCTGATCCTGTGTTTTCTGGAATCAACATATATGCAATTTTGAACCTTTTCATTTGGAAGCAAACTTCTTTTTGCATTAACACTGAATGTGGAAGAACCAAATTACACACGAGCAAGTCAATTTTAAATAAAACGCATCAGTGATATTCATTACGGTATTTGTGGTATATTCAGCATTTTTAAAATCTATTCAGAATTTAGGTTTTCATGTTGTTTATTCGTTTTTCTTATTTTTATTCTCCTTTTTTTCTCCTGTAATAAGTGTCATCGCTGCTGTGACATCTAGCTTTCCCCAGTGAGGAACAATAAAGGGATTTTCTATTCTATTCATCTATCTGCAGCCTTTTCAGTTTGTGTTTTACTGTAGGTTAAATCTTTTCTCACGGGTCAACAACAAAATAAAAATATCATTTTATATTAAAGGGGCATTATGGAAGTTTGACAGCCAAAACATGTATAGAAATAATAAATTTCTTCTTCATACATTCTCCTGCAATGCCCTGGTCCTGTAGAATGAGCCCATTTTTACTGTTATTGCCTGTTTTTCTGCAAAATCACAGAAAAAGGGAGCTGCTCGGGTCGAGCAGGCTGCTTCATGCACGTTCACGCTCAGGCATCACCCGTAGCATTTGCTATCAGTAGCTTTAGCTGCAGAGAGTGAGGTAGTGCCAAGTCAGCGTCTTTGTCACTGTTCTTAACGCCTAGTGATGAACCTAGCTACATTTCTGAGGACCCTTAGCAACTTTCTTCTAAATATTTCCTGCAAATTAGCAACAAAATAGCCATTTTCGCTCCGAACCGTTCTCCGAACGCTGTTTCAGCTGTCATCAAGGATATAAATATTACAGATACAAAAGATGTTACTGGTGCTTTAGCTCATCTAATAAGACAATGGACTCTCGTGCAGGGAGACCTGGGTTTGATTGTTGATGTGAACATAGTTTGTTTAGAGTCAATTTTTTACATTAATGGTATTTTTTTTACAGTAAGATGCCTAGATTTTTATTTGAGACTCGCTGAACGGCATTGAATTCACAGATAAAAAAGATGTGGGTTCAACTTTCATTTTGGAACAATTTTTCAAGCAAGGGAATGGAATGATCTGAGCATGCAGGAGGACTGACCCATCTTAAACCTTTGTCGGCTGTGCTGAAGAGACCAGTACAGAACCAAATTATTTAATTAATTAGCTGCACGTTCTCCTGTCCTCTGTCCTCCGGGCCACACACACACACACACACACACACACACACACACACACAAGGGACCATCTCAGCTGTTATTTTCGTTAAGGAGTGTGCACGTACAGCATGCGCGCCTTTTGCACGAGCCTACTATTGAAGCTGACGTTACGCTTTTGGCCTGAGGGGGCAATCACGAGCATAAATTTCAAAACTCCGTAAAGTCCCTTTAAATGAAAATGCAATATCTCACCTGTTGACTTTCATGTTTTGGAGCAGAAAAAGAGCATAAAATCAAAATATTTAAAGCTCAGTTTTCTCCACTAATTTACGGTGATGCTCACCTGTTCTAGCCAGATACCTGCATCATGGGGTTGAGCTCTCAGCTAAGGAGGAGACTCCTGTTGTTGTTTTTTTTTTCATCGTCATCATAATAAATGACATTAGATGACAACAGGTGCTCACATAGGTTTGTGCTGCTGAACATGTCTGAGCAGCTTGACCACATTGTTGTGTGTCGGGAGGAAAAATAAAAACTACAGCAGCCACAGAGTCATGCTGATTTGAGGATGTTGTTGCTCGCTGGAGTTATGGCAGCTCTGTCTGGAAGTTAGTTGGAAAACTTTCTCTTTCAGTCATGAACACATTGCTGAGCGGTTAAAATCTCCGTTTCTGGGCTTCAACATCAGCAGATAGCTGAGTGAACTCGGCACTGAGTGAGAGGAGTGTTTAGTTTGTCCGAGACAGCGGAGCTACAGACAACAGCAGCAAGGCAGGCCTTGTGTCTGACATATGTGCTCTAAAACATCTAGTAGGACTGTGGTACTGGAGGACTGGTTGGAGACCTTGCTTAGGTCATTATGTTAGATGTAAGAATTTTTTTTTCAATAAATTCATGACCATGTGGAAGAAGAGAAATCAAGCCAGATGTTATCAGAAAAATCAAATATCTGAGATTTAGGCTCTCCGTGAATATTTTACAGAGTTACATCAATTTTTATTTAACCAATATTCAAATTTTAAGTCATTTGATGATCAAGCCTACACATTAAACAGCCTATTTAAGGAATTTTCTATTACAGATTCTGAAACCAGGAGAATTTTTAATATGCATGTTTGGTTGTGTAATAAATCAAAGTTTTCAGTCTTTTGTATGTTCATTCCATTTTTATCTTCATTATCCATTTTCTTGTTATTTTTTACACAGTTTAGTAAAGAATCACTTGTTTACTTGACATGTTTCAGCTAGCATCTCTAGCCATCATCACAGATTGCCGGTGTTGATAGCGTCACTTCCTCTTATCCGAGGGCTGCAGAGGATGGTGTCACCCTCCTTGCTGATAACTAATGTTCCAATGTGAGCACTCCATCGACTCTGTTCATGGTTTTGTACGCATGTCTCCTTATTTTTATTGTTTCCTTGATCCATCTTTTGCATTTTTGGAGACAGAATATCTCTGAAATGTTTGCATTCACTTTTAAAGATGTTTTTGCAGTATTTCAGCGTAAAAACTGAGAAGTTTTGTTTTGACTCCATTTTTGCAGTAAAGTAAAAAAAATTGCTCACAGGTTTAAATACAAAATGTTTCTGGATGATTAAATCTAAGATTGTGTGTTTGAGTGACTAGAGCTAAAGACGTGAGGAAAGTCCAATTTGGGACATACTATGATGTCACTTTTGTTGAAAGAAACAAAAATTCTGGATATCAAGAAGGTAGATTATGGTGCAGCTGCTACTTTCTGTTTCCTTCTCCGGTTCTCTCACCCAGCAGATCTCCATGGACCAGAGCCACCAGATACCACACGACCCCGAACAGAAACCAGGTTCCTGCAAACGTTGCTGTGAACAGGAAGAACTTGTACCGCCACGGCATTTCCAGAAAGGTTGTCCACAGGTCACGCATGTAGAGGGCGCCCCTCCCACTGACGTGCTCGATTCGTACGTTGCTTCGTCCATCTTTAGAGAGGATGCGCCTCCGTTTCCTCAAAGTCCCGCCCCCAGCAGATGCGCCACCACCCAGTAAGGGTTTTAAAACATCTGTCTGAGTCTGGGAGTGGCAAACCTTATGAGGGGAGGAGCTACGAGAGCAGGGCGGTGTGGCAGAAGTCATCTGATGGAAAAGAACCAAAATGTGGTTAAAAGTCTTTTTAAACATCATTTGATACAAACAGCATCTTTCTGTCAAAGGGGAAACCCCAAAATGTGACTATGTTTTGGGAGATTTTGTAACTTTGTAGAGCCACCTGATCCGTGAGGGGAAACCCTCTACAAAACAAACATCAGTATGAAGCTGTTTTCTTTTCCTTAACACACTTCCTTAATGATTATTTTTTTAATATACTATGTTGTTTTGACTTCAGTATGAAGTGAAGACATTTTTACTCTTCGTAGAGGTCAAAACCGCTCAATAAGCCATCAAATTATAAATGTCATGAGTGAAATGAGTCTATTGTTAGAGAACGCACATATATTATTAATGAGGTAAACAGATTTGATTTATTTTAGTTTGGCCAATCTTGCTATAGAAATTTCCCAAAAGTAAATCCTGACCTGAGATCAGAACATGTAATCTGCTCGACGTAATAAAAATGTGTTACTTCCCTTTAGCCAACCAATAGCTTCTGTTTCTCCTTTTGTTCTTTACCTGTTAACTTCTGAAAGAGGAACGTATGTATGGGTTTTCCATTAATGCAAAATGAATGAGAAGTTGTGACACTGAACAAAATAGTTCCAGTAAAATATTTCTCAACTGGCAAATATATGAAACTAAAGCCATTTTGGAAAAAACAGAATTGATTCCAAAACAACCGTTAATAATAATGGCCGACTGTCATCAGGGTGACTCATTCGATTAGAGCCGGTTGGTTTAACTTCTAACTATAAAAAATAAAACGGAAACCACGGAGGAAAATTGTTAAACAATAAATGTTATTTTGAAAAAGAAAAACATTGTTTAAATATGCAAATTTCTATGGTAATAAAACAAACAAGAAACACTTAAAATGGCAGGTCTAACTCTTTTAAACTCTATATCTCACACCTAACTAAAATAAATTATATGACATTAAATTATTTTGGAATATAAAAACTAAACATGCCCTAGTTCTACATAAACTTAACATTTACATTATTGTTCTTTTACATTATATATTTTACATTATATTATTTATGGGGTGGGACTCCATAAAAAAATAATTAATTAGAAGCTTTGTAATTAATTAATCTTGATTAATTCCATTTTAAGACTATTTCAGTCCAAGCTATTTTTACTTTGGTTTCATTATAAAGGTAACCATCGTAGCATTTGTTTGGATATGTACATATTAGTACATGTTTTATTGATGAAGTGTAAATGGACATGTAACAATGCAAGTGTTGTGTACTGAGCTGAACTATATATAGGGAGCCTAAGTCACACACATCCTCTTCCGGACCACAGTCTAATTAAGCTTGTTATGTGCCATGGATTTGGCATATGATGTCCGTGAATTTTAAAGATGCATTTTGATGCCTAGAACGCGCTTCTTTTCGAATTAGGAGAAATGTTATTCTAGGTTTTGTGTGGAAACATGTCCGGAACTAAAAATGCGCTTCACGAAATTGACGTGACTAAACCAGACACGAAGAAAAATAGATAGAAAATGGTGCTCAGGCTCAAGGGATATTTTAATGCATTTTTTTCTAATTTATTCATCATAATTAATTCCCAGTCCTAACTATAACATCATCCTTATTGCTCCGAATGCATAAAAAAAAACATTTGCATGAACGTTCGACCTTCTTCAGCATCTTATTCCCACCCATCACACACAGGTCGTTACTGTATCCTATTAACAATTAACAAGCTCGCTTTTCGTTGCACAAACCAGGCCAAAACGGGAGAGGATAACCCACGGGGGGAGGAAGATAATGAAGTGGAAGGCAAACAGAAAAGAGCACAATTAGGATGACGGTGAAGGGCATTAAATCCACAAACAGAGACTCATTTGTAAGTCTGAAGAGAAAAGGGAAAGTTGAATGAGTCGATCAAGGTGCTGATCACAGACCTTCATCTAGATAAGGTTTGTTTTAAAAGGGGCGTACTGTTAAATCCAAACAGAGATACATTTAGTCAACACAGAGCCGATTCCTAAGGGGAAACTGGAGCCAGTGGAGAAAGTTTGGTGCAGTAAACAGCTGCTTTAGCTCTTTTATGGTCTTTCTCTTAAAGTTTTTTCTATTTTATCTGTATTTTCAGGGTGTTTTGTGACACTCAGCACGAATTTGTTCTGTTTGTCATGAGAAAACTAACAAGATAAAGAACTCGTATAAAATCAATCTCACAGTAAATTAGAAAATTAAAACATTTCTATGTGCAGATGTGATAAAGCATGTTTCTGATTCGGTGTACAAAACTCTGGATTTTAACATTTACATTTTGCGTCTGTTGTAGATGGACTTGCCGTTACAGTGGGGCAAAAAAGTATTTAGTCAGCCACCGATTGTGCAAGTTCTCCCACTTAAAATTATGACAGAGGTCAGTAATTTACATCATAGGTACACTTCAACTGTGAGAGACAGAATGTAAAAAAAAAATCCATGAATTCACATGGCAGGATTTTTTAAGAATTTATTTGTAAATCAGGGCGGAAAATGAGTATTTGGTCACTTCAGACAAGGAAAATCTCTGGCTCTCACAGACCTGTAACTAGGGCTGCAACAAACGATTATTTGGATAATCGATGAATCGGATGGGGTCTCGACACGATTAATCGATTAATCGGATTACATAGGGACATTTTTAAAAACTGCTAGGGAAACGTTATTTCTCTCCTTCCTTCACTTTATTAAACACAACATTATTAGAAAACAGTTCAATAGCAGAAAAACAACATGCCATCACCTAAAATGTCTTATAAGGTGTATAGACAGAGACCCTAAGCAACACCTATCTGTGACCTAAAATGCTTGGTCCAAGTTAAACAGCAATTCTCATCTGTTTTGTTTGATCTCATCTGCAGACATTTATTATAATTGGGGATGTCAAACAACTAATTTTTAAATGTAATTAAATATAGGCTGTGAATTAATCAAAATGAATCACTATTTCCAAAAATGACTGAAAAAATACCAAATAAAACAAAAGTAAATGAATGCCATCCTCCTTGCGATGATGCTCTGGGCAACTGCCATAAAGTCACATCAAGAAATGCTGCTGATCATTCCAATGATCCCAAATAGACTCACATTAGGCCACATGAAAGCAACTGAACCCAAAAATATATTAACCAGTATACATATACAGTATAACTGCACTCTCACACAACACGCCTGCAGCAACAGTTAGGACTCCTCCCTCCCTTTTAAAAGCGTTTTCGCTTCTGAGGACATTGTGGTTGTAAAACCACATGCTAGTAGTCTGGCCTGGTGTGATCAACCAGTTTCTGGGAATGTGACGGCGGAACCGGTTCGCAGCAGCGCGAGTCCCCCCCCCCCCCCCCCCCCCCCCCCCCCCGCCTATCTAATAGCGTCGCGCTTACGATTTTATAGACTTTTTTTACGAGCTTAGGGCATGACTAGCCTGTGTAATAATCCGGGGCTTGGGTGAATCACTTTTGAAAAGTTTTCAACTTACTCGGACACCGAGCTCTCTCCTTCCTCGCTGATGATTCTGACATGCTTGCGTTTAAGATGCTGCATCATCACTGTAGTACTCCCGTGCTAAGTCTGACCGACAAACGTTGCAGGTAACGAATGTCTTCGCCTGATTTAACTGAAAATGCTCCCAAACTTTAGAAGTTTTTACTTTTTTTTGGGTCTCGCTGCTTCTGCCATGTTCCTCTTCCAAACATCTGCCGGCTTTCTGGTCTGCGCGCAACGGCGGGCGGGAGGGGAGGGGGCTTTTGGAAGAGTTGTGCAACACAACGAATCGATGACACAATTCGTTGCCAATGCTTTTAGTAATCGATTTTCATCGAATTTATCGATTCGTTGTTGCAGCCCTACCTGTAACGTCTTCTTTAAGAAGTTTTTCTGTCCTCCGCTCGTTACCTGTATTAATGGCACCTGTTTGAACACATTATCTGTATAAAAGACACCTGTCCACAGCCTAAAACAGTCAGACTCCAAACTCCACTATGGCCAAGACCAAAGAGCTTTGGAAGGACACCAGGAAAATAATTGTAGACCTGCACCAGACTGGGAAGAGTGAATCTACAATAAGCAAGCAGCTTGGTGTGAAAAAATCAACTGTGGGGGCAATTATCAGAAAATGGAAGACATACAAAACCACTGATAATCTCCCTCGATCTGGGGCTCCACGCAAGATCTCATCCCGTGGGGTCAAAAAATGATCATGAGAACGTGAGCAAGAATCCCAGAACCACACGGGGGGACCTGGTGAATGACCTGCAGAGAGCTGGGACCACAGTAACAAAGGTCACCATCAGTAACACACTACAACGGCAGGGAATCAAATCCTGCAGTGCCAGACGTGTTCTGCTGCTGAAGCCAGTGCATGTCCAGGCCCGTCTGAAGTTTGCCAGAGAGCACATGGATGATACAGCAGAGGATTGGGAGAATGCCATGTGGTCAGATGAAACCAAAGTAGAACATTTTGGTATAAACTCAACTCGTCGTGGTTGGAGGAAGAAGAATACTGAGTTGCATCCCAAGAACACCATACCTACTGTGAAGCATGGGGGTGGGAACATCATGCTTTGGGGCTGTTTTTCTGCTAAGGGGACAGGACGACTGATCCGTGTTAAGGACAGAATGAATGGGGCCAGGTATCGTGAGATTCTGAGCCAAAACCTCCTTCCATCAGTGAGAGCTTTGAAGATGAAACGTGGCTGGGTCTTCCAACACGACAATGATCCCAAACACACCACCCGGGCAGCAAAGGAGTGGCTCCGTAAGAAGCATTTGAAAGTCCTGGAGTGGCCTAGCCAGTCTCCAGACCTCAACCCCATAGAAAATCTGTGGAGGGAGTTGAAAGTCCGTGTTGCTCGGCGACAGCCCCAAAACATCACTGCTCTCGAGAAGATCTGCATGGAGGAATGGGCCAAAATACCAGCTACTGTGTGTGCAAACCTGGTAAAGACCTAAAGTAATTGTTTGACCTCTTTTATTGCCAACAAAGGTTATGTTACAAAGTATTGAGTTGAATTTTTGTTATTGACCAAATACTTATTTTCCACCCTGATTTACAAATAAATTCTTCAAAAATCCTGCCATGTGAATTCATGGATTTTTTTTTCACATTCTGTCTTTCACAGTTGAAGTGTACCTATGATGTAAATTACTGACCTCTGTCATAATTTTAAGTGGGAGAACTTGCACAATCGGTGGCTGACTAAATACTTTTTTGCCCCACTGTAAGTAGTTATGCTTAAAGATCAAGTCATCCCCAAATCAACTTTTTTTTCTGATAAACTTTATAAGTGTGTGTCTAATCGTACTGCAGACACGTGTCGTCAATAGTTTTGCACTTTGGTACATTTTAGTTAAAATTTTAATTGTCTGCCTAAAACTCAGTGTTGTGCTACTGTCAAGTAAAAACTCTGCACTGCATTAGAATTTAAATCTGCCATCGCTACTGGCTAAGAGGTACCCTAGAACATTAGCTGGTACCATATGATGTCACAATGTTATTGTGAGCCTGTGTATGTGTATTTGTTAGCGACTCCGCCCTCTCGGTCTGCTAGGCAACAGCATTTGTTGCATTTTTCAAACAGGGAGTGGAGTAATACTCTGGTAGGGGGTGACTTGCTCTTTAAAATTGCTGTTCTCAAACCCGGGGAGAACATGCAAACAAATGTATTTTTGTAAAGGTAACACTGAATCCTTAACCTTTGCAGTAAAATGAACTTATAATTAGTATGTAGATATTTGAATCAGGTTGACTCTAGTACATTAGCCACAGATGTACACCTATTGTTTTCTGAGAAATTCATTAAAATTGATCTAGTGGCTCACTGGATTTTGTTAAAATTAAAAGCAATCATGAGCAACAAGCAAAAATAGTATAATAACTTGCTCAGAATGTAAAAACATTTAAGATTTGTGTGGGGGGGGATCGTTTTTGGATATGGACTGAGTTAATTGTGTTTTTGAGTCAAAACATCCAGGTTTGCAGCAAAAAGCAGAAAAGAAAATGCTTTCTTAGCCTTTAGTCTGCATTTTTGTACATTAAAACGGAATGAGTATCAAGATATCAGAGTTCTGATTCTCTGATGTAAAAAGTTTCCCAAACAATGAGCTCACAGAGCGGATGTGCATGCACTTCCCCAGGTTGTCTTTGCATTTATGATCATGTCTTATGTAACCAATCAAATTTAATTGCATCACAGTGTTGTGCTTATGCAACAGGCAGCTTCATAATTACAATGACGCCATTGAAAACCTCACTCTTTCAACTCTGGGTCATCCTCACCCGAATTTCACTCTTCGCTGGAACACACAGCAACTCACGTGTCCTCGAGCAGGAGGAAACATCCACCTCGGGCATGTATCGCATAACTAATGGGTTTAATAGCAGAAAATGAGAGAAATTATGGAACTATTTAAAAAAAACTCCTGTTTGGTTTCCATGGTAACATCGTGCCTTCACTGTATCTGTCCTGCAGCCTCAGATCCAAAAACGGAATCAAAACATTCATTTTTGGCAGACAAAGGAATGCTGGATGTTTTCCCGATCTCCTCCCCTCTTCCTCTCTCTCTTCTTTTTATCTCAAAATGTGAGCACCGTGTTTTGGAAGTTTTGCTGTGGAGGTCCGATTTTCTTCCTGATGGCAAAATGTGATTCAAAGTAGCATGAGATGAGCTTGGAGGGCCTGTGTGTGTGTGTGTGTGTGTGTGTGTGTGTGTGTGTGTGTGTGTGTGTGTGTGTGTGTGTGTGTGTGTGTGTGTGTGTGTGTGTGTGTGTGTGTGTGTGTGTGTGTGTGTGTGTGTGTGTGTGTGTGTGTGTGTGTGTGTGTTGTTAGAAAGGATGGAGTGATGAATGAAAGAGAGGAAGGGAAAGAGAGAAAGGATCTATGACAAAGGACCTCATTAGTATTCTGGAGTGAGGAGTAATCTCGCCCTTTTCCCCTCCCTCTCCCCTCTGTGTGTGTGCACTTTTTATTCCTGTACCTCTAAGATTGTTTTGCTCCCACCTTACTACAATCTCCTGAGCTGCATTTGAAAAAAAAAAGTTATTTTACTTTTTTAAATTTTGCACCTTTAAACCAGAAAGTGGAACACGTCTTTATTATTTTTTCAGTTTTATTCATCTCTTTTCTTCCAGCTTGCAGATCTAAGCGCTAACTGAATCAGACTACAAAGCTTTAAAAATTCTTTTATTTGTTACTTTGCAAAGAATAAAGATGCAAAAGTGTGTATTTTTGTTCCTGAATTTCACCTCAAATTTGACTTATTGATGATGTAAATCCATTTTGATGGGACTACTTATGCACAACTAATCGTGTTTTTTGTCATTTTCTGGAAAACTTGCACAGCTGTTTTATCCAATCTGTAAAATGTTGTCTTTGCAGGCGTGTGTGTAGTTTATTTAATTGGTGAATCAGGTTGGATGTTTGCATTGCGCAATATTGTAGACAGTCCTGGGTCTCAGGTGCAGACTCCACAGGTGTGTCTGAACCGGAGAAGAGGAACATTTCAAACTTCGCAGAAAAAGGGGGGAAATTATATTTTCTGTTTTATTAACCAATTTATACCTCATATCAATTTCTGTCATGTTCTTTTTTTTATTAAAACTGTGTAAAAATTATCCAAAAGACGATCATTGGTAAACTTGTACGTTTTACTTTTTCCTAAAAAAAAATGTTAAAAATTGCTATTGAAAGAAAAATAAAATGACAATTTCTGTGAATGCAACGAAATCCATACCGTTTCTGCTGCCTCAAAAATATTTATGTTAAAATATTCAAATCAGATAATTATTTTCTTACTTTTCACTTGTTTATTTAATCAATCTGTTTGAATTTTTACCTGTTTTTAACTAATTTTCTGTTGTTTTCTTTTAACTTTATTGAGAAATGAGTTTACTTACCGTTTCAGAGCAGACTGTTGCCTAATTGACACGTGCAGAAAGGATTCAGGAGCCCGGAGCCTCAGTCTTTGGTCTCCATGTCGTCTTTGTTGTCATACGCATGCTCACAGGACTGCAGGGGTTACTTCAGCTGCCTGCGCCTCCCGATACTGTACGCCACAGAGGAGAGTTATGGGGACACTCATTGGCTCATCAGGATCTCGTTTCGGACCCAAAGCCCGCGATCTCCCTGCCCGCATTTCTTCACAGAGTGGCAGGACTTGGCTTTATAAAAGGCCTCCCTCTCCCAGTTTTCCCACTTTCCCCTCTGTGCCCCTCTCTCCCTCACTCCAGAATTCCTGTTGTGTCCTTCCTAAATCCGTTTAATCGCCACAATAATTAATCACCATAGCACACAGTGTTGATTTAAATCAAAGACATTGGACTTGAAGTAACACTGAAAAGATCAAACCCACTCCCCATTTGTTTGTCCAAACTTTCATTGATACTGTAAATTAATTACATTTTTATCAATTAAAATAATTAATTTCATGCTGATTTGCATTTTTACTTCCTTTGCATCCACACAAATGAATGTACAGCATCAAAGTGTGCACAAAACTAACAAAAAAAATACATAAAAAGCACATTTTTGGTTTGATATACACACAAGCCATCTACAGCCGTGACAAACCACCCCCTGGAGAAGACACACACACACATCCGCTCATGCACACACACGGACACAAAAAACTCTTTTAGGGAAACCACAGAGGCCCCTATTCACACTTTCTGTGCCCAGCATTTGGTGTGTCCAAGAGCATCTGTACGGAGCGTCCTGTTGAGCTCAAACACATAAAGAGGGCCAGCCGTGAGGTGAATACGAGTCCTCTCTCTGCCTCAGGAGAGGGTGACAGAGCATTATTCTAATGAAAAGGGGAGCAGATGAGGACCACCGGCTGAATGTGTGAGGAGTTCCTGTGACACGGCCTTGTTCAAAGTGCAGGAAAGGCCCGTTAAAACATCTTTTACCTAAAGCGTATCACGTATGGAAGCACGTGGGTGGGTAATATTTTCCTTTCTCTTGCTACAAGGGGTCTGCAGGAGTTTCCTTTTGCTGCTCAAGAGCACTTCAGTAAAGTGCTGCAAGGGGAAACTGCATGTAAGGCTTTAGATTAATCAACCAAATCAAGAAGAAAAAGGTACTTCACCACATTTCCTCTTAGTCAAAAATATGGTTGAAGCTGCTCACACAGGAAGTGACTCAACTTGACAGTGTCGTTTTCTGCAATCAACGTCAACAATAAGAGATTCATGGGTACGCTAAATAAGGTACAATTTTAGTTCACATCACCCCTGTTGACCTAAGTATGTGAAGTGCGAGTGATGCGTGTTTTATAATAAAACTCCAAAATAGACCTGAAGGGTGCAAAATCCAGTAAAGAGCAGCAAGTTTTTAAAATATTCTTAACTTCTTGTGGTTCCCCAGATTTCATTTGCAACCTTGGTCAGCTACATCAGTTTGGTGTTGAACATAAGCAGATGTTATGACAGATGGAAACCTAAGAACAAAGGGCTGTAAGCCAAAACAAGCTGGAAAATCACGCTGCTGTGAAACGGTCACGCGTTTCAGTGAGACACATGTGCTATTAGGACTATGGTGATGCACAAACCTTCTCAGCATCTTTCGTCTCAGTGAGTCACAGCTGGTGTGGTTGGGAATGATTCATCACCTGAGAAACAACCAGCAAACTCCACAGATCAGTGGTAGTCTACATCTACACTTACTTTGGAATATCTGTTTACAATTATTACCTTGTTAACAAAAGACTATTATTTCATGTTTAAAGCATGTGATGAACTTGATGCTAGCTTTACTTCTTACCTGTGACGTCCCACAGGGTTCAGCTTTCGGTCCACCATCGCTTATGTTATCCATCTCCCTGTTAGCTAACCTTATTCAATCCTTCTCTGCCATTCCATCTCCTTTTTTGTTGTTGATATTCAGCTTTCTTGGATTCTTCAACTGGACAAATCATCCCTCTGACTAAATCACTGACCTGATACAGTACGATTTCCCACATCTCTTCTACACTTTACTCCCTACACTGACTTCCTGTTGAGTTTAGGATTCATATTTTTATTTACCAGAATATTTATCCTCTTTATAAAGTCAGCATTGTTTAGCATCAGTAAGACTTTTCCTGATCCAACCGTGAGCCAGGGTGTGAAAGGTTGACTTATGGTTACGATAAAAAAGAGAAATTGATTATCCTGACAATATCTGAAAAAGCGAAAAATCTTTGTCACTGTCGCAGGATGATGAGGAGACTGATCCGACATAAAACCGTAGCATGTATCAACCACTCACTTGGGAGGACTTCTCACATCTTGTTTTCTCTCTCACTCGCACACAAACACCACCTGTGTGGTTCAACCGTAGAAGAATCAGCTGGTTACCACATCCTCATTATTCGCATTTCTGATCATGTTTTATGATGAAAAATAAAGACGTGTGTGTATATGTGTGTGTGTGAGTAGGGGTCATCCGGTGCTTTTGGCTGTAAACCATGCTGTTGGTGGACACACCTCCATTTTATTCACCCTTAGAAACTGTTTTCTTTCCTTCCCTTCAGCCTTTTATCCTCCTCTTTCTGTCCTGCATATTAATTTTCTCATTCAGTTACCATCTCACTTCCTTCCTGAGCTGATTTAAGGATGGCCCACTGAGATGAAAACATTGACACCAGGTCTCTGAGATTTGGGGGACCTGCTATGAATCTTCATCAGTCATTCAGAAAAGAACTCATTTATCTTTGTAATTTGGTTTGTCACTAATCAGTTAGTTGGCATGCACAAGATATAAAAATCTAAATGGTGCACAAATCACACAATACAGAAAATAAAAGCAAAAGATGCTAATAGCGGGTCACTGAAACATCAACAAGAAAAAGAGCATTTTTTAAATTTCCCCTATATAAATTATGTTTATGGAGCCATAAAATGTGCGATGCTGAAAGTAACACTAAAACTTTTCCATATTCCACATGTACTACCTGCCTACTACAGCTGATGTTGCATTTTCACTAGAGTTAGGAAAACAGAAAAGAAAAAATCTGATTCTACATTAAAACATAAGAACTAAACAAAAGGACTAAAACAAAACTAATTTTCAGAACCCTACAAAAATGTATTTGATTTTGTTAGTGAAACAATAAGAAGCAGTGTGCACAAAGCTACTTCTATTATCAACTTCAAAGTTTTGCAGGAAATCCATTTAGGTATAACACATATTTAAACAGGGTCAGGGTTAGGGGTTTAAAAATATGAAATTCCCTTTGAACAATATTCAAAGGTAGAGTCTTTAATGTTATTTGAAGCACTTTGAGCACCTATTGCAACTTCAGACTTAACCACAAGATGGAAGCAGATCTCTTCAAGTGAAGTAGGTCTTGTTTTGAGTGGAGTAGTGGAGTAGAGGAAGAATCTCTGTTAAATCGTTTTTATCTATCGTTTAAATGCTTAGCTTCAGGTTACATTGGTCTTTTGTGTCCCAGAAGTTGAATTAAATGTTTAGGGATTTTTTTTTTGCAAAAACCAAATCTGTAGATTTTTTTCTTTTTGTTACTGTTGTCTCTGATTTATGGTTCCAATTAAAACCTTAGAGATTTTTGCAAATTGTACCCATTTATACTCATGCCACATTTATCTGACAGCATGTAGAAACTGTTAACTGTTAAATCTAACAGAATTCTGATCATCTGCAGCGAGAATTCAGAAATTATTTAATAACCGTTTTATTTTTTAATATAGTTACGACCTGTTTATGTATGCAAACCTGCCGAGGAGCTCATCCACGTTAATTAACTGCTTTAATATTCATTTGTAAGTAACATAAGGAACCATCTTTATTTTACCATGCTGTAGTTTAGCAGCATTTAGGTCTCAGTTTGAGGCGTGAAGGAAAAGTCTAATAAAATAACTCCACAGTGGTAAGAGTGAAATTTAAGCCGTTGTTAGTCGTGAGCACACATCGCCTTGCCAACCTTAACACTTCCATGCAGTTTTTCATTTGGGTTCAACCTTCTTTCTAACTGATGATTATTCTGGCACTCAGCAGAAATCTCAAACCGAATTTTACTAGAAATTTGATTGTTTTCTGAAGTAAACTCTCTCAGCTTTTGATATTTTACCTATAGGTCAATGCTTTTTCTTCGTGTGACTTTCTTGTATTAAAAAAATATAAAAGTACATCTCAGAGTGACTTTTCTGTCAAAAGAAAAGATGAATACAAGCAAATTAAACATAAGGACGAGGTTAGACATGGTGGATATTATCAATTCCTTTGGGTGCGTGTTTTATCACCGCTCAAAACCACATTCCTGTTTGGTTCCTTCTGGCATGAGAAAGGTTTGAAGCAGTGAAGCTTCCACATGTGGTGGCACGAGAAGAAACCTGGCACAAATAAAGCAGCTGAGCCTTGAGCGAAAGCTTACTTTCCACAGTCCACTGGCTTTAAGGGTCAGGATGCCAGACTCTGTTTTCCACTATTTAACATGCAGTTCTCTGCAGACGTTCTGCAGTTCCTTTTAAGTGAACTAAATGCAGTCAGACAACAGAAATATCTAAATTAAGTCAGTTTTCATCATGTATTTTGTCAGAGGATTTGTAGGACTATAGATGTTTTATAATTAATCATTTATACCTTGGTGTCCAATGACTAACATTCTGCAGAGCTTGGTGAGCTGCTTAACTGGTCATTCAACATTTGACAATTGGTGCAGGGAAACAACTAAAACATGCAGCCCCTCTGAATCCCAAACAGATGCTAAAGATGATCATTCGTAGGTTGAAACGTGGTCAGTGTGTGAATGTGTGTGTGAATGGACGAATGATACACTGTAGTGTAAAGCGCTTTGGAGTCCTTACTCTTGAGAGGCGCTATACAAGCGCGGGTCATTTGTCATTTATCTTTATCTGAAACTGAAACAGCTGCTTGTGTGGGAGGTTTAGAACCGAGTGAGGAACAACCAAACCGCTACCAAGGTGAGGCTGACAAACGTGTGAGAAGTCTGTCAGGAAAAAGGAAAAATCCTCACGCTTGCTGTTGTTTGAATCCTGAAGATGTCCAACTGAGCCATCACCTCAAACCAGTAGAAACCAGTGGGACCTGTCTACTATCTGGAGAAATCTGTTTACAGAGGGCCTTTGGTGCAGCTGAAAATTGTTTTGAAGCTCAATTTCAAAATGATTTCATGGAGATTCACTTTAATTCATAAATGGAGACAGACTAATAAAAACACCTTTACAGATGAACTCTGTTGTGATGTTGATCATGTGATGAAACAAAAATCACACTAATAAAGTTAAAGTTGCACAAGAGTTAATTCAACATTGTGTGCACACCTTAAAGGACACAATGGACCTCATACCACAAGATAAGGAAGTTGAACATTTGGAAAGTTTGCGGTTTAATGACCAGTAGGAAGTAAGAAGTGGGCTCTTATGGAATGAAACTTAGAGAAACATGATGCATGCAGACCGCTTTGTCAAATTCTGACTGTTGAAGGCTCTACGAGCTGCATAAACATAATTGATAATTTATTTTGTTCAATAAAAAGTAAGTCACTCTACTTTAACATGAAGCAAACATTAATGTCTACTAGCAAATAACTGTTAGCATCTGCTGTGGGGTTTCTGTAAATTTCCTCCTCCAGAGACGCTTGTGATTTGTTTTGAGAGTGGGAGCAGCAGGATTCGGTTGGCATGACAGGATAAATACCAGACAACCGTGTGAATGCAAACCGGCAGTTACATAACAGCCAGAGCCTAAAACAGAGGCAGCTCTGTGCGCCTCTCACAGCAAGGTTGTAGCTGCATGTGTAGATGCAACAACACCGTGGACGACTGTAATCATAATCCGGCACAAGTAGAGAACATTTTGTTCTTTAATTAGTTCTTTAATGAGTCGTTATTTCCTTACTAATAATTAAATGTTTAGGGTGTTTATTCTCTAAATTAAAATTTGGTCAAGCACAAAGTTTAAAAGAACACAATGTTTTAATGCTAACCTTAGGACAGGAGGTTTCTTAGTTCAACCACTAACTTTTAGTAGGGTTTCCAATAGGTTTATTTTATTTTTTTTTTTTAGATCTGCTCACCTGACTTTTAGCAGTTTCTCTGTATGTCTAATTTTTACTCCCTTTCATCAGTTTAGCTGTTTCTGATAAACTTGTTGCAAGTTTCAGTTTTTTCCTACACCTTTAAAAGTATTAGATGCATCACATGCAAGGCCTGTTTTAGTGCAGAGATATTGCATCAGCACCATCGATCAGCGCCAAAGACAACACAACCATGTGAGAATTGCCTTTGTTGCATTCAAGGTCAGTTGGAATTTTTTTCCACTGTGTTCACTTGTTTTGTAGGGGACTTAACAGTAAAAACTCTAGTTTTCTGTTAAATGGAATAATTATGATTTCTACTTGCAATTCAGATGTTTGTTCACTTTTGCAAAGAATCATCTTATGGTAAGAACAATGCTGCAAATGGAAAACAGATGGATATTTGCCTATATTCAAGCAAAAGCCTTTATTGAATTTATTTAGTGATAATGTAACAAAAATGTAATGTTCAATTCAATTCAATTTTATGTATATAGCGCCAAATAACGACAAGAGTTATCTCAAGGCACTTCACAAAATAAACATTCCAATTCAGGTCAGTTCATTAAGCCAATCAGAAATAATGTTTCCTATATAAGGAACCCAGCAAATTGCATCAAGTCACTGACTGAATGTTCAATTGGATTAAACGTTCATTAAATAATAATAATAGTAATAATAATATTAATAATAACTAAATTGTGATTTAATAGGAAAATTGAAAGAAAATCACAAAAGATTTATTCTGAAATTGTAATCCAAGGACCTACACTGCAGGTGCACTTATGCAACTTATTTTTATTTAAGTAAAAGTCAAGTGGGCATTGCTAAAGTATTTTAGCTTAAATGTTTTAAGAAAAGAGTGTCTGTGCAGTGATCAGAATATGACTGACCAAAATAAACTAAACAAGCTAGTAAATTAAATCTCGTTTAAAATGACTGCTGAATGACACGTTAAACACATAAATATAATGCATGCTGTCATCATTTATAATCTGCAACGAGCCATTATGTTTTGTTTTTATTTTTATTATTTTAAGGGAAGTCCCTGAACGCACCACCAGCTGAGGGGAAACCAGCGCCTAAAGATTGACCAATCAGAGCGTCTGCTTCCCATGACGTACATCTGAGGCGTTATCGGGAGGCGGAGGGTGCGTAAAACCGGTCTCTCCATCAGGAAACCCTCTCACAGAATTCGGATAAACTTATCCGGGAACGACCTGAGTGATTTATCATCATACATTCGGATCTCACTTCACAATGTCTGACTCTGGGTAAGTCACTGGCTAAGTGTATGCTATTTTCACACTAGCATCGCCTTCAAATGCGTCAAACTATATTAACTCGTTCGGTAAAGAACATTTCGACCACGTGAGGTTTATAGACTGAGCAGACACCTGCTGTTAAAACTCACACCGGCCTTTCATCCCTCTGCGGGCGGATAGATGTGGCTAGCTACCCATCCGAGATCACCGAATCAGTTCTAATCTGGATTAAAACGGCCACGTTTTACACAAAACGGTCACCTGTCCTGCTGGAGAACCTGTGGTTAACCAAGTGGTGAAAAGGGGGGGGAAACATCGTACGGCCATAACGTCATTTCGGACCACGATTCCTCTGCACATCAGCATTGCAGTACCAGATGCGTTTAGCTGCGCCATGACTCCGCCTGTGGAGCTTTGATTTGAGCACATGTGGCACAAAGAGTCCGTGGATTGGTCACATCTGGCTGAACAGTCACCCGGCTGCGTGTGAAAAGGTTCCCGGGCTGCATAACCACTTTATTACAGAGGCCGAGCGCACGTAGCACAACCAGGAGAAACAGAGGAAGCAGGAACAGGAAACTATTAGGAAAACTAAACAGGTGTAACAATTGGGATTGAAGTTATTAAACCTGGAAATAAAAGTTAAAACACCCTTCAAAATATGCTATTTATGACTTATTTATCCCTGTGTAATACACATCCCACTTCATATTTTTAGAAAGTTAATTCTTAATTGCCCATGATAAAAAAAAGGCTTTTTGGAGCACATTCCATCACATATTAACCCTCTCAGGCTCAAAATAAGTTTTAATTAAAGGACGAACAACTAATTCCTTCAGGGGTACTTCTGAGTTAAAAAAAATGCTCATGAAAGACATATGTGGAGTAACCAGGTGGGTAGGTTTTAACGTTGCACATCTACAACACCTGCCTCCAGAGGGTTAAACATCTACTGCACCGTTTCCTGCACTTTTTAGAGAGCATAACATACTAAAGAGAAGCGGCACAACCTCTAGGTTCAAACCCCTCTGCCAATAACATGAACCGCATTTTATAAAATAAAATTGCATAGAAAGACAATCAGAGTAGCAACACTTTTGGAGCATCTCTGATATGAACAGTGTGCCTCATCATGATGTAAAAGATAAGGATCTAACAGCAAGCTGCCCCGTCCCTTTTCAGACATCTCAATGAATACAGGGTAAGTCACTGGCTAAGTGTATGCTATTAGTGACCTATTGCACTAATGTGTAATAGATTTGTGTTAATGAACAAAACTAAAGCAACATAAGCACTGAGAATGATTGAAAAAGCTGCCAAAGTACAATAAAAGGAGAACGGAAGCAACATTGCTCAACTTTAAGTTTTCAAAGTGGAAGAAAAACATGAAGAAATGAGAGGTGACTTGGCTTTTTTATAGTATGTACGTCTGGGCTTGCAGCTGATCACTGTGATAAGAGCAGGCGTGTAAACAGAAAATTCCAGAACATGATAGACTTCCAGTTCTCTGTGATTGAGTTATATATTATGTAAGTCTTGACAGCTGGAAAAAGCAGAAACCTTCAGCAAGTTAGAGATGGTTAGAAAAAGAGAGATAAGATATTACAATTCAAATGTGCAGTGAGGACTCACTTAATGATCAAATTAATTCACGTGAAACAGCCTGGTATTACTTATTAAGTAGGCTAGATTTGTGATTATTACATAGTCATTGTTAGCTGAAAGGATAAACAGCCATAATATATGTGAGAGGACTCATCAACAAGGTGGGTTTAGGTTTCAGTCTCGGAGGCCGTTTGCGCAGTAACACAAGTCAGGCTCTGGGTCCAGACACCCGAACAGGATGTGTGTGTCTGTGATAGAGCGTGGTCCTGATGTCATGTCACTAAATGACAGGAACTGTAGCTATCTAACTCTCTGTACAGGATTCCCCGACTTACTAATAGCAGCTGCTTCTGTTGAGTCATTTCTTGTCGGTAGAATGAGGCATGACTGAACTGGTGCATCCTGCAAAACCCAGTAAAGGTCTGAAGCTTTTCTCAGTTCTAAGATATTAAAAAAACGACTCCACCTAAAAGCTTTTGACCTGTTCGGGTATTTAACCGTCACCCGCTCCATCTAATGAAGAGTTTGTGTCATGTGAGAGTTTTGTTTCTCATCACCGTTTTACTCACCCTCAGTGGATGCTACGAGGAGTGTAGGAACATAGCCGATTGGCTGCTGAACCGCACACAAGTGCGACCGACCGTGGGAATCGTGTGCGGATCCGGCCTGGGGGGGCTGGCTGACATGCTCAAGGACCCACAGGTCTTCAAATACAGCGACATTCCCAACTTCCCACGCAGCACAGGTATGCACTGCCTGGAAAAACACAGCTGTAAATGTTTGCATGCTAAAATCAAAACAAAGCACCAAACGTGAAACGTCCCGTGTGTTTTGTGCAGTGCACGGCCACGCGGGTCAGCTGGTGTTTGGAACACTAAAAGGAAAGCAGTGTGTTTGCATGCAGGGACGGTTCCACCTGTATGAAGGTTACCCCATCCAGAAGGTGAGGTCACAGTCAGCTGTTGGTTTAGTGCTAATCTAGTACAGGCTGCATGGCAAGACTTGTTTTAAAGCTGCAGAAATAATTCCCAGCTGAAGGAGGAAGTGACTAAAGCTTCTTCCTTTTTTCCATACACTCAAGAGAAACCATGTCTTTTGATGGAAAGCCACTAGTGTGTTTTTTTACTTGTATCTCACATTTCCAAAGATTCTTAATCATTAACAAAAACTTAAATCTCAGTTTTCTTTGCCTGTTTTGTTTCATATTAATCTGGGAACGTTAATAAATGTGAATTTCACCTTCTCTTGTAAATTCCAGACCACGTTGCCCATGCGCGTCTTCAAACTGATGGGCGTTGAGACGATGATCCTGACCAACGCAGCAGGAGGCCTGAACCAGGACTTCAAAGTGGGCGACTTCATGGTCATCAAGGACCACATCAACATCCCCGGGTTCGCTGGAAACAACCCGCTGGCTGGACCCAACGACGACAGGTAGGGGAGAGGAGGCTTGGACACTGAGCAGAGTTTTGTTATGAAATTGTACATAATGCTGTATATTTTTGCCCTCTTCAGTTATTAAAAACTGTCAACATCCTGGATTTTTACATTTGAAGGAACAAATTAGCAGAAAAAGTGATGAAACGTGGGGATTACTTTACTTCACCACACAAACAATAACTTTGTTAGCACAGTTTAAAAAGAAAAACTCCCAACATTGCTAAACACTCGTTGTTCGTAACACTTCCAGTACATGATGGCTTAATGGGGCTAAAAGTGAATCAGCGACTTCAGCTTCTCTGTATCAGATTTTCTCTAAACCTGCACATTTTTGTTGCATCCCACTAAAAAGTGCCTCTCAACCACTTATGGAAACAATAATCACCTAGATGCTTTTATTCACGAGAGCAGGTTTTACATCGACTCTTTGCAAATTTAGGTTAAATGGTAAATGGCCTGTATTTGATATAGTGCCTTCTAGAGTCCTGGAACCCCCCAAGGCGCTTTACAACACAATCATTCACCCATTCACACACTGGTGGGGATGAGCTACGATGTAGCCACAGCTGCCCTGGGGTGCACTGAGTCGAGGCTGCCGAGCACAGGCGCCACCGGTCCCTCCGACTACCACCAGCAGGCAAGGTGGGTTAAGTGTCTTGCCCAAGGACACGGCAGTGAAAGACTGAGCGCGGCTCGAACCTGCAACCTTACGGGGCGAGCACTTAACTCCTGTGCCACCGTCGCCCACAAGGTTAAAGCAGAACCGATTATGTCAGAGATGCTAAACTAGGATTAGTCACCAAACTGGTAACACTGTGTTCTTACCACTGATGTATAGTTGTCAGAACCAGTCATGTGGGAGTTTTGTGTTGACTTGGCTGTGTTGCTTTATCGTTACCAGATCGGCGGGGGGATGTCCAGTATTAAGTCATGCTCACAACCAGTGACTAAGACGTTCACTTTTATCTTCAGGTTTGGTGTCCGTTTCCCCTGCATGTCGGACGCCTACGACCGTGACCTGCGGCAGATGGCGCACGACGTGGCAGCAGAGCTGGGCTACAGCGACTTCCTCCAAGAGGGGGTGTACTGCGTCCTCGGAGGTCCCTCCTTTGAAACCATCGCTGAGTGTCGCATGCTGCACCGCTTAGGCGGCGATGCTGTTGGTAAGTCACTTTAATACACACGTAACAAGTTTAAACACATCTTAACCTAAATATGTTAATGATTTTAATACAGACCAACCACTAAACCTGCCTTTGGTGCTACGGCTCTAAAATGTCCTCAGTGACAGTTAGCTCGTGTGGGTTCAGACACAAACAAAATGACCAACCATACACAATTATACACACTAGCTCCAAAGCAGTAAAGAGTCCAACACTAAGCAGGACTACTTAAGCTGTCATCAGAAGTACGCTTGTATATGAAACGTGTTTTATAGAAACTTAAAGAGCAACTCACCCCCTACCAGATTCTTAGTCAACTCCCACTTCCTGTTTGAAAAATGCAACAAATGTTGTTTCCTAGCAGACCGAGAGGGCGGAGCCACTAACAAATACACACACACACACACACACACAGGCTCACAACGACATTGACTACGTTTACATGCAGCCAATATCCGGGTTATGATCGGGTTAAGGTCGGTATTTGGGTTTCTGAGTTGATCATAATAACCCGTTTACAAGCATAAATAGAAAGTTACCCCTAACTTGCATAAACCGATTTAAATGCGGACGCTGGGGTAGCGTCAAGACGTGTGGACTACGTCCAGACGCAATAAGCGTCATTTCCCGTTCTTCTTGTTCCGGTATCCGTGAAAACAACAACATGTTTCCCAGTTCGGAAGAGATAGCGACCGCGTTTGTTTGTGCTTTAGTTTCTTCGTCACTCCAAAAGTTTGGTGCTGTGCCGCGACTCGCCATTTTGCTCCCAACTTGTTGTTTACTTCCGGTGTTCTGGCGCATACAAGACGTCTCGCTACTCAAAAGACCAAGATTCCTTGCGAACAGAGCATGCGCAGAACACACGCTTTGATGGGGATATCCCGATATGCGTTTACACGACCAAACATTCGGGTTAGAAAAGGGTTACCCCAGGTGTAGTAACCGGGTTTTTAAAAACCCGGTTATGAGCATATCCGGGTTTTTGGCGGTGTTTACATGGACCTGCGGAACCGGGTTATTGTGAATATTCGGGTTTTAAAAGGGTTACTGGCTGCATGTAAACGCAGTGATTGTGACATCATATGGTACCAGCTAATGTTCTAGGGTAGCTCTTAGCCAATAGCGATGGCAGATTTAAATTCAAATGCAGTGCAGAGTTTTTACCTGACAACGGCACAACACTGACAGTTTTAGGCAGAAAATTACAATTTTAACTAAAACACACTAAAGGGCAAAACTATTGACTAAACGTGTCTGCAGCACGATTAGACACACATTTATATAGTTTATGAGAAAAAAAGTTGATTTGGGGGTGACTTGCTCTTTACCTGAGACGCATTAAAGCTTTAAAGAAAGGAGAATCACTGAGCGAGTGAATGTGTGGAAAAACAGGGCAGCAAGTTTCCGAGCTGGGAATTCCAGTAGAAAAATCCTGCATATTAACAACGACTTCATCACAGTAGAAAAACAAATCAGAGTATTTTAAAAATGAACTACACCTTTCTTCTCCATCAGCTGCTTGATACGAAACCGTAATCTCAGAGTGTTCTATCTTTAATTCAGGGATGAGTACAGTGCACGAGGTGATCGTCGCCCGCCACGCCGGGATGCGTTGCTTTGCTCTGTCTCTGATCACCAACCGAGCTGTGATGGACTACGACAGCCAGGAGAAAGCCAACCACGAAGAAGTTCTGGAGACTGGCAAGCAGCGGGCCAAGCAGATGGAGAAGCTGGTCACCACCATGGTGGCTCGGCTGGACAACGACAAGAACAACTCCTTCTGATGGCTGCTGTACCTGATCCCAGGTCAGCTGCTCATCCCTGCATCCCAGCAGGAAGCTTTTGAAGTTAGAGTCTTACAGCGGTAAATTAAGTTGTAGAGTTTTGCATCAGCAGATCAGATAAGACGGTTTTTGCTGCCTGTTACTAATATTTATAGCTGGTCTGCATTTTTAAACACTCCTGTTTTTAACTTATTTAGACATTTTAGCAGATTCCTGATCGGCTACTCTGCTCTGTTCTTGGTTTTAGTAAAAATCTTCCAGACTTGTTTTTTTAACTTGAATATTTATTGTTTAGTTCTTCCACATTCCCTAAATATCTGTATGAAACGATCTTTTTGTACTTTTTTTTTTAGTGGACCAACTCACTGCACTTGTCTTCATAAGATGATGACGAATGTAAAAATGTGGTGTAAAATATTCTAAATATTTATGTGAAATGTATTTAAGAGGTGTTGGAAAATAATTTGATTTATTTGTTGTAAAAGGGAAGTTTTTCTGCACAAGAGTCACTAAAATAATGGCTAGCTGACATGGAGGTTGTTGCTGTACTGAACGCTATAAACAGGAATGCAGTGTTACAACAAATGACTGGGAATTAAAATGTTTGCCTTTGTTACATGTGAAACTAACACAGACCTGAGATTCTGTTTAACACCCTCCTTTGGTTGTTTCAATATTGCTCAGGCCCCACAGTAAAGACGAGTTTCCTGCTGTTAAATTAAACCCATTCAGGTAAAAATGGATATAAAGAAAAAGGTGCATCCAGAACCCTAAAGAACAAATGTGTTTTGTTTGGATTTAAAATGTATTTTTGTTTTTAACTTTTATTTTCTCAAAGATACTGAAAAATACAGAATTAGAGCTGCACATAGAACGTTCACCTAGATGATAAAATGTGTAAAGCTGATTAAAGCTTCCTTGTGACTACGGTGTATTTGGTGCGTTTTGCTTGAATCTCACTGAAACGTGTCGTTTTAAAAGATCCGACTGCTAGTTGATCCGCTTGGCCTCTCTACAAATTTTTTATTTAGAAAAGACTATACAGTGGTGTGAAAAACTATTTGCCCCCTTCCTGATTTCTTATTCTTTTGCATGTTTGTCACACAAAATGTTTCTGATCATCAAACACATTTAACCATTAGTCAAAGATAACACAAGTAAACACAAAATGCAGTTTTGAAATTATGGTTTTTATTATTTAGGGAGATAACAAAATCCAAACCTACATTGCCCTGTGTGAAAAAGTAATTGCCCCCTGAACCTAATAACTGGTTGGGCCTCCCTTAGCAGCAATAACTGCAATCAAGCATTTGCGATAACTTGCTATGAGTCTTTTACAGCGCTCTGGAGGAATTTTGGCCCACTCATCTTTGCAGAATTGATGTAATTCAGCTTTATTTGAGGGTTTTCTAGCATGAACCGCCTTTTTAAAGTCATGACATAGCATCTCAATAGGATTCAGGTCAGGACTTTGACTAGGCCACTCCAAAGTCTTCATTTTGTTGTTCTTCAGCCATTCAGAGGTGGATTTGCTGGTGTGTTTTGAGTCATTGTCCTGCTGCAGCACCCAAGATGGCTTCAGCTTTAGTTGACGAACAGATGGCCGGACATTCTCCTTCAGGATATTTTGGTAGACAGTAGAATTCATGGTTCCATTCATCACAGCAAGCCTTCCAGTTCCTGAAGCAGCAAAACAGCCCCAGACCATCACACTACCACCACCATATTTTACTGTTGTATGATGTTCTTTGTCTGACATGCCGTGTTACTTCTACGCCAGATGTAACGGGACATGTGCCTTCCAAAAAGTTCAACTTTTGTCTCATCAGTCCATGAGGTATTTTCCAAAAAGTCTTGGCAATCATTGAGATGTTTCTTAGCTAAATTGAGACGAGCCCTAATGTTCTTTTTGCTTAACAGTGGTTTGCGTCTTGGAAATCTGCCATGCAGGCCATTTTTGCCCAGTCTCTTTCTCATGGTGGAGTCGTGAACACTGACCTTAATTGAGGCAAGTGAGGCCTGCAGTTCTATAGAAGTTGTCCTGGGGTCTTTTGTGACCTCTCGGATGAGTTGTCTCTGCGCTTTTGGGGTAATTTTGGTCGGCCGCCCACTCCTGGGAAGGTTCACCACTGTTCCATGTTGTTGTCATTTGTGGATAATGGCTCTCACTGTGGTTCGCTGGAGTCCCAAAGCTTTAGAAATGGCTTTATAACCTTTACCAGACTGATAGATCTCAGTGACTTTTGTTCTCGTTTGTTCTTGAATTTCTTTGGATCTTGGCGTGATGTCTAGCTTTTGGTCTACTTCTCTGTGTCAGGCAGCTCATATTTAAGTGATTTCTCGACTGAAACAGGTGTGGCAGTAATCAAGCTTGAGGGTGGCTACAGAAATTGAACTCAGGTATGAAACACCACAGTTGGATTATTTTTTAACAAGGGAGGCAATTACTTTTTCACACAGGGCAATTTAGGTTTGGATTTTGTTCTCTCCCTAAATAATAAAAACCATCATTTCAAAACTGCATTTTGTGTTTACTTGTGTTATCTTTGACTAATGGTTAAATGTGTTTGATGATCAGAAACATTTTGTGTGACAAACATGCAAAAGAATAAGAAATCAGGAAGGGGGCAAATAGTTTTTCACACCACTGTAAATCTGACTGGCCCTCTGTAAAAGTAGCTGCCACAAGAGTAATGCTTCCCTTGAGGTTGAATCATCTGGAGCGTTTATAGCTGGATAGATTAGATTTACATAAGGGGGGGTTAAGTCAAATATTTGAGGGAGAAACTCCTGGTTAATAAGCAGATCTTTGTGTCCCGGATGGAAACTAAATGTGATGTAAGAAACGAGAACCAGGCTGGTCAGCGGTGTTCAGGATCTTTTTGTTTAACAAAAACTTCATCCTGCTTTCTAGCTCTTTACTTTTACTTAATCCACTACCATCTGTCTTCTTCCTACTTTAAAAAAAAAAGACTAGAAAAAAATGTGTTTCCATGACGTGGAGCCCCCCGTGTTTATGGCCGTACAAGGTCATGAGAATTTTACCAGTCATCTGAACCAAAAGGAGGAGGTTCAGGTGTCAGAACAAAATGTACAGAATCAGTGAACTGCAGCTGTGTTAGGGAACACCGACGTACATTCTGTCATGTTCATCCTCGTGACAGCAGTTAGGCTTGTTTTATGCCGATGGCTGCAGGCCCGACTTTGTTAAAATCAAAAATACACACACCCATATGAGTTTTGTGCATTCATTCCTGTGATTAATCTGCAGGAGCCAATGTGTGGCACATAAACACGCTGACTCGGGCTGGATCTGCTCAGGAACTAACTCCAGCAACATTACCGGGGTAGGTGCATCTCGAGTGTGAACTTGTAGGATAATTATAGGAGAATTTTAAAAATGTCAGTTCAGATGCATTAAAAAGGGAAAAAAACAAGGTGTGGATTTGTTTTTGCACCACTTTTATATGAATGAGCACGTGCTCCAAAGTTCCTGCAATGACACCTACTGGTTTATTTTAATTTATAATCTATGCAGATAAAATCAGCAAAAAAGGAAGTATTACTAATAATGGAGACACAGGTCTACAGCAGAGCTTGAATTGGCTTTTAAAATATGCAAAACCCTTAAAAGTCTAAGTTAATTTATGCTGAGGGTCAAAAGTATTTAAATAAAACTCCACATAACGAGTTAACAGATCAGAAACAATGGTGCTAAATTAGCTTTCACCACCAGCCTGCTTACTCTGCTCTTATTGCACGTTATCAAAAGACAAACTGTGCCAGGCTGACGGGAATGCTTTACCTGCAGGTCTTTGGAAATGATTCACAGCTGAGAGGAAGTGAAATGCTGACTTTAAAAGCACCACAAAGTTTTCCTGATGGAAATTTTTCATTGAACACTTGGAGGATCGACAGGTGAGCTGAAATTTTAAGAATTAAATTGTTGTTGTTTCACTCTGGATCAACCCTTTTCCATCAAAATCCAGTGACTTTAAAACCTAAGCAGGCAGAGAAATTAGTTTCGGAGCAGCCGTGCCAGAATGTACAGCCGGACGCCGACGATAATTTACTGTCATAAAGAAGAACATCAAACGAGAACGTGGTTCTAGTTGAGGCTTGCAGCTGAGCATCCTTCCCTTTTTAACTTTGTTAAAGCACGAGTCACACTGCCCTCTGGTGCTGCTTCAGATAAAAGGCTGCACGGTGGAGATGAAATCAGGATTAATCACACCGATTTGTCTCATTTATCAAGAAAAATAACTAAAACTGACTCAAGAGGTTGATCTAAAACTTGTGCTGTAGTAGAGCTGCACAACAGTAGGAAACCCTGTGATAAGTGATTAATATTGCGATGACTAAATGACTTGCAATAAATAAATAAATACTTAACTCAAGAAAAAATAAATCAACAAGAAATGATAAAAGCAAAAGATGTGAGGATAGGGAAATGAAAAAGCAATCAGTGGATCCCAGGAAAAGCAGGAGCGGCAGACAAAGCAGAACGAAGCCAACTCGGGAGTTTGCTAGTCATCCAAGTGCCTTGTGCAACCCCATGCTGTCGCCTCAACTTGAGAACCATCTTCTATAAACAGAGCTTAGTCCAGACAGAATGTGATTTATGATGTCATTTAAGAGAGAGTCAACACAAAAATGGTTTTAACATTCTAATAAACTTCTAAACGTAAAGAGAATATCTCTGTGTTCTCCCACCGGGACGAACAACAGATGCTGCTGAGCTCTACCAGGAGCAGAGTTCGTTCTACAGAACAACCGTTTTAAAGTAAGGAAACAAAAAGGGTTTGATGATGGTCCAAGTCCTTGTTTTGGGGAGATTTGTATTGGAAGAGTCTCTCTCTCTCTCTCTCTCTCTCACACACACACACGCGCACACACACGCGCGCACGCGCACGCACACACACACACACACACACACACACACACACACACACACACACACTAAACCATTAGATTTTTCTGTTTTACAAAAGAAAACAACTTTAAATCCATCTCTGGTGGAGTTTGCATAGTGAAATATGCATGAATACAAACGTTTGTCACACAGGACAACAAAAAGAAGTTTGTTGGCTTTTTGATAATTTTTTTAAACAGTTGTTTTTGTTCGCACGCGTCTATCAGCCGTTGGTGTGAATGATACCGTGTCGCTTTAAATGGTGCATCAGGATGAAGGTTTTCCCGCACTGGGAGCAGCTGTAGGGTCGCTCTCCGCTGTGGGTGCGCTGGTGGACCCTCAGGCTGCTCTGCTGCGTGAACCTCTTCCCACATTGGCCACAACCGTAAGGCTTCTCCCCCGTGTGCGTCCGGTGGTGTATGCTAAGGTGGGATGGGCACTGAAAGCTTTTCCCACACACCGTGCACCACAGCGCTCGCTTCCTCTTGTGGCTCTGCAGGTGCAGCTTGAGCTGGTGCTGACGGTTGAATGACTTTCCACACTGGGAGCAGGTAAGGACCCGGGATATGGCAGAGAGGGACTTGTGGGCCGTGTGAGAGTAGAAGTTCGTTGGCGTGAACGTGTTGAGGGACTCAGAAAGAACCGGTTTGTTCTGACAGAGATTCTGAGGGTCCTCCTCTATCTGAGCAGAACGTGAGGCGTGCCTCTGCAGGTGAATCTGCTCTTTCTGCTTCTCTGGTTGCTGCGTAGCGGTCTGTGTTCTGGGATGAAAATGCGACAGCTGTGGATCCTTCTGATAGTCGCCACTGAAAAGCCCGTTGCACTGCTGGACACCAGGCGGCTTGCTGGGGTTGGACCCAACATTTGTAGCGTCCGAATTCTCAGAGAAAGAGCTGGAATACTCGTCTACTACACTGGAGAAGTCGGGAAAACCCGTGTCGATGTCATTACCTTCAATTATGGACGACCAGAGCTGATTCTCCCTGTCATCCATGGGATAGTCAGCAGCAATCGGAGCCTGCTTTTCCCTGCTGTGCTGACATCCATCCTGCCTGAAGGACACCTGGTCCTCCTCCTTCTCAGTCTTGACAGTGAAGTGAAGACTGTTGATATCCACCACATGCGGGCCAGAGTTATAAGAGTCACTAAACTCAGAACGCTTTTGTCTGATGACCTCAGACTGGGATAGCTGTTGGTTCTCTGGACCGCTGTCAGCATCCGAGTAATGTACAGCGTTACCTGCAAGGGACAGAGGCAAATGAAGGAAATAATGATGATAAAATCGGTTTTGTATGAATGAAATTGTCATTAAATGTATAAAATAGAGTTTTTGAGCTCACCAACAGCTCTAGCAGAATCACTGATCCACAGTGCCTCATCAGCACTTTCCTCTTTAATGGTGAAGGAACCAGCAGCGTCCTCAAACCCACAAAACTACATTAAAATTAAAAGGATTGGTTGATGGTTTAAGCCATGCTGCAAATTTCTAAAAGTAAAAAATGACAACAAAAAAAAAAAGAAAAAAACAGCACCAGATTTAACATTTCTAATCATCTCAATTTACTGTGTCAAGTGGCCAAATGTCCTCCTGCTGTGGCTCATGATTGTAGTGTGGGACGTGAATAATATTTTAAAACAACTATCTAAGCTCTTTAGTACATTCATTTTCACTGCTATCCTCCTATTATCTGTGTATTGTTTTCAGTTTCTGCAGGGATGCATTACTTTGAGCTGTTTTTATATACTTCTGTGACCATTTCCAAGATGTTTGACTGAAATTTGCACAAATAAAGCTGTTATTTTGCAGGGTGGCTGAAAGTAAGAACAAAGCATTTATAATCTACCTGTATTTAACCCAGGTATCCACATTTGGTCTCCAAATCCAAGTTGTCTTTGCTTCAGCACCCTTGAGTCATATGAACCAGGAGTCTTCAGACCTCGACATGCAGAGGAGGTGATGTGATCATTAGATTCAGGTGTGCTGGAGCAGAGAAACATCAGTAAAGGGCAGAATTTAGCCCTCGATTATCGGGATTGTGACGATTGCTGTTCTACATGCGTTTCTCTGCTTTCACATCAGTTGGATGGAATCTTTGAAAATCATCTGAGGTGCATTTTGATAAATAAAAGTGGTCAAAATGTGCAATCTTGTCTAAGTTTAAGTGACAGGGGTTAAAAATGAAGGACAGTCAATTTATCATTGAGATTGTCATGCAAACATTTCCAAAGAATGATCCTCTGGTCTAAAACATCCACTGAGGAGCATTTTTTTTTAACTGAAACATGTTTTTTGTAAAAGATCTGAAAAAAAAATACAATCTGAGCTGACGTAATAAAAATTACTATAGAACGTATTATTAAAACAGACTCTGAAGCTGCAGTAGATTCATAAAACCTGCTCATTAAAGGTTTGAAAGATATTTTTCTCCAGAATTTGATGCTTTAAAATAGGAGATTAAAGCTGGTGGCCATATAATGGTGTTTATTTGCTGTGTTTGGCCCCTTTAATACAAAGTGAGCATCACTAAAATGCCAAAATTTAGATGCAACTTGTTTTGAAGCAGATGAATCAATCTCAGATATGCTGAAACTACAAAAGTGTCTTGTCTAGATCTTTCTGAGTATTTTTACTATTAAAATCTGTTTGTTTTTAATGTAGATCAAAGACTCAGAAGTTATTAAATGGTTGTTGTTGGTCATTAATTTCATATCCAGAAAATAAATCAATTTTTTTTTTTAAACTGAATCAAGTCCTTAAATACCCTAACGTCTCTTGTAGGGTGTAGGCGGTTTCTCCCCAAATCAGTTCCTCGATCCATGAAGTTTTCTAAATGAAGAAAAGTGATGATTTGTTTTAGAAAACAAATTCATTCAATATTTTAAAATTTACTCAAACATTTGATATATTTATGTATTTTTACGTGATATGGCTATAATTCGTGTTGCTTTTAGTCGTTTTCTTTTTTATGAAAATAATAAAAATTCTTGGAGAATAAAGATGCAGAGAGCACCTTCTTACCGAACTCTCGCTGCATTTGTGCATTTTTGTTCTCCATCATCCGCAGCTTGGACGTCAGGAGGTCGTTCTCGCTTTGTTTTCTTGATATTTCCAGATGTAGAATTTCACATTTATCATCGACTAGTTTGGAGATTTCTGCCACTGCTGCCTTCACCAGGACCTCCATTATAGACGATAACTGGCTTTGGAAGGGGATACACGTCGCCATGTTCATGAATATAATTCAGCATGCGAGGGGGAAATGTATAAAATCGAAGGTACTTTTAGATAATATGCATTTTACCTAAAAAGAAAAGAAACGAGGCCGGAAAACGTTGGTATTTTTGCATATTGGCGTTTTTATGGCAGCTAGCTTAAAGCTTTCTTCTTCCGTGTGACGAAGGTTTCTACCGTAAATCCACAAATGCCCGCGCAGCAAAATTTACTGCTAAAGATAAACTAGGAAATTAGTGCACTTTTTAATGGATGCAAAAGTAGCTACTGCCCGAAATTCTGATCTAAACTAAGACACAATGTCTATATGTTGATGTGTAACTGTCAAAGATAAGTGTTAATATCAACAGTTGTTATAGCAGTCACCATGGTTACCAGACACCCTTCTCTCTCATCTTCATCAGAAGGCTTTAATAATCACATGTAAGGTCACGTTTATAATTATGTAAAGCTTCAAAAAGTCCAACTTTCTGTGACCCACTTACATTTTAAATGTTCCTATTGTAAAATGATGTGAAGCACTAAAAAGAGCAAGGCCGTTTCTCAAAACCAAAGGAGTACGTTCTTGTGTACTTGACAAGTGTGGTCTTGGCAAGTACACAAGAATTACACAATTGTAATCGGTCGCATCATGGCAGTTAAATAAAACACAGCCTGAAATAAAAATGAAAATCTAGTTTGTCCCATAGAATACATATTATTTGTATAACCGTTGGTCCACTAAAATACCTGCTATAATAAGGGATTAGCTATTTAACATTTTTGAAGGATCGCGAAGTCTGGAAAAAAAACAACAGCAATCTTTACAGGTTGAACACAATTATTTACGATAACAGCCAATTTTATATTTCTTTATTTGTATTTCTGATATAAAACACTTCAGTTATGAGCTTTCTCCTCTGCCATTCAGAGTATAACAGTTTACAATTTAATGCATTATGGATAACTTTGCTGTCTCAAGTCCGCAGAAGGATGCATCCTCGATACAATGGGCGGAGCAAGAACACATCTGGAAACGGAGCGAACTTGCCTTGTTGGTACTTAAAGATCAAGTCACCCCAAATCAACTTTTTTTTCCTGATAAACTGTATAAATGTGTTTGATCGTGCAGCAGACACGTGTAGTCAATAGTTTTGCACTTTAGTGCATTTTAGTTCAAATTGTAATTTTCTGCCTAAAACTGTCAGTGTTGTGCCGCTATCAGGTAAAAACTCTGCACTGCATTTGAATTTAAATCTGCCATCGCTATTGGCTAAGAGGTACCCTAGAAAAACAGCTGGTACCATATGATGTCACAATGTCGTTGTGAACCTGTGCGTGTGTCGCCCAACCTCACACTGAATGCCCTCTCGGTCTGCTAGGCAACAGCATTTGTTGCATTTTTCAAACAGGAAGTGGGAGTTGAGTAAGAATCTGGTAGGAGGTGACTTGCTCTTTAAGATTGGAACAGCAGATCCTTAAAATGGTTCAGTACATTGACATCCTGATTGACTGCATTAAACAGCCTCAAAACATAATATAGCTAACAAGGAAGTAATTTCGGCATAATGAAATTAGCTATGAAGACGATAAACAACTTTGGACATAACACCACAGACTCCGACTTAACTTATAACCTTGACTTTAATTTTCTCTTTACAGTTCAATATCATCAAAGTCATTAAAGGCTTTACAGAAAAGTACAAAACAGACAACAGTTTGCTTTCATAGTCATCACAAAGAAACCAAGAGAAAATCACACTTTTGTTTATTACCATCAAACTTCCAAGGTTTTAGATTATTCAGATTTCATGATTAAACAGTCGTATGCATTTTTTCCAACAGTCAGAGGAAAATGACAGTGACTGATGCAGAAGCTGTATGTTAAATGATAGCACTTGTAAGGAAGCACGTCTAAGGGCACAAATCCAGAATCATTTTTTCCTGTAGTTTTCTTCTGATGGAATCCCGTAGCATCAACAGGTTCATCTCCATATCAATTAGTGCCTCCAATTGACGATATTTTGGCCAAGTTGAACACTGGCTGAGGGCAGAATAGCAAAGTACCATCAGGTGGGTATTTCCCATAAGTGCCATTGTCTCATGAAAACTCTAATATTTCATTTTACATGTAGTTTAAGGTGCAGTTTCAGGATGCTCATCTGGTTAAAAGTCTTCCCGCATATCTTACAGCCCAGAGCCTGCTCTGAGGTTTGTTCACAGTGATGCTCCTGAAACTTGCTGAAGCTATCAAAGCTTTGTCCACAGTTGGAGCATATGTAAGAACTCTGTCCTGTGGCATCCGCTCTGCAGCTGTCCTCGTAGCTGCCTGAAGCTGCCATGTTAAATTCAAACACATCATCCTGGTGGATCCCGTCTCTCACCGAGGAGTAAACACTTACAGATACTTCGTGGCCATCGTGTAGCTCACGAGCATCAGTTAAATCGGAGCTTCCCGGCTGAGGAGCCATGGCTGCAAATTGATCTTTCTCTTTGTTGTTTATAAAGGTCAGATCTTTAGCTGGCGAGTCGTATTCCTGCGGCTTGCCGACTCCTCCAGAAGGTGAACCGAGGTGATACTTTTCGTCTTGTAAAAATAAGACAGTTTGATCTGAGGTTTCAATATTTTTCTCTAACGTAGACGTCCACAGCTGACTTCTGCTTGCTTCTGCCATGTTGTCATCAGCCCCTATCTGACTTAGAGAGAAATAATTCTCCCCCCTGGGCTCCAGTTTTACCATTATCGTTTCCTCTCGAAAGCTGTCAGAATATGCAGGGCCAGGCAACTGTTCCCCAGCAGCTGTTGGTCCGCTACTGGGATCCATAAAGTTCTCCAGGAGCTTATTATCAGGCACTGTGAACATCAAGTGATGAGGCTCCAGCGTGTATGTAGTTTCCCCTTTTTGTTAAAGAAAGACAAACAAATCAGTCAATCACGTACGGCAAAAGATTAAAACTTTGTGCTGTTTGAGTGGTTCTAGACCACAGATTTACCAATGTGGTGCACAAGAATTTCACTATGAAAAACTTGCCAGAAATTAAGTCTTGATTAACAGCATGTGTTACATACAGAGGGACATCGCGTTAAGGTTGGTCGATAAGTAAAATTTTTCCAACAGACATACATAAGTCCAACAAATGTTATATTTATACTAGGGATTTCCCGATACAACTGTTTCACTTCCGGTACGATACCGATAGTACAGCCTTCAGTATTGACCGATAACGATATCAATCAGATACGATATCAGCACAAATCATACATACTTTTACCTATTTCACAGTGTGGAATGTATGAAAGACTTGATCGAGTGACATTACTAAATCGGAGAACAAGAGCCAATAGCAGTAAGTATGAAAAAAATTACAATTTTTTCTCAACCATTGGTTGCAAAAATGTCAACCCTTAACAGACTGCTTATATCGGAGATGTTTGATGCCGTCCGATATAATCCGATACACTGTTTTTGGGATGATATCGAATTACTTCCAATAAAGATATCAAAACGGGACACCTCTAATTCGCACAGATGACATTTAGATTTTTGATGGCTGGAAAAGCACTGTAAGCCGTGATCCACCAATCGCGATCATTCTTAGTTTGTGGAAGCAGAACACGAGAGGTCCTCTTGTGAAAGAGTGTTGTTCTCCAGATTTTGTTTGCGGTTTGATGCATCAAACAACAACACACGGTGCCATAAGTGGTTTGAGCTACACACGAGAATATGGGATGGCCCTTATGACTTTCTGGCCAATAGTTAAAGAGTTTGCCTCAGCCGAGAGGGTAAAGCCTGAGTCATGCTTCTGCGTCTGCGTCAGTGCGGAGACACCTAATGCCATTATCTGTCCTTGCGGGCCTGCTGGAGAGCCCTCACAAGGACTGACGGAGTCGAGCTTTCCTTTCTAAACATCCGTCCGCTGAGACGGAGAACACAAGCTTGTGATTGGTCAGGGCACCACTGTCGTCTACACCGCCGCCATTGCGCCCTCAAAAACATAAAGAGCCAAGGATAACTAGCGGCCGACACGGAGAAGCTTGAAGAATACATCACAAAAAAACTCTAAAATATGAACGTTTAATTCCCCCGTGACTGGAGGAGTGAAAAGATACGCAGCAAGCATTTTATTTGTGGACGGAAATGACAGGAAACGTGGGTTTAGAGGTGGCGAGTGCATGAAGAGGTGGAGGAAGATGAGAGAAAAATCTGTGTTAAAAAGTCTCTTAAATACAAAAAAACACAATATAAACACACCATCTTGGACCGGATACATGACAGGACATAGAACAGCAACGCCCTCTGTTGTCCTGGGGGGGAATTGCTTTGCAACACTCCCCAGGAGACGGAGAAGTATGAGGATATTATGTGTCCATCCGTGCGTGCGTGTCTCTCCCTTTTGGAGCTGACGGAGAAGCATGACTCAGGCTTAACCCTTTACAAGTTTGATCAGGTAAGATGCTAATGTGAGGATTCTAATAAAGGTTATGGTCTTTTTTTAAGGTTTTAGGTGATATGCTAGTGTGGACATAAGATTTGTTGTGGACTATTTTATTGGACCCTTGTGGATGTAAAAAAAAATTTACAAAGCCACTTAGATCACTTTGTGTGTCTTTGAACATCGAGTTAGTCATGGTAGTGGCAGAGTGGTTTGACAATGGTTTTTACTGTGTGTCTGGTTATGGTTGAATCCGTTATTGGCATTTGTCCATGGAATCACAAGAATCCTAGTTTTCAAATGATGTATAATATGTACACTGACAGAGGGTTGCAAAGGACAGGCAGATTTGACCAGATAGAATATTAGTAGGCATAAAAATTTTTCTCTTAAAAATGATCAGCGAAAAGCTTGGCCAATCTTTGATGGTCGATCAATATGTCAAATCGCCCAACCTCACACTGAATGTCTCATTGACAAATGTTTTATGGGACTGAGGGGTTTGAAGGAATTCTTGACAGGGTCAGCTTAAATTTTGAACAACTATTTTAAATATTTTGCATATCAATATCATCAGAAAAGAAATAGTTCAAAATCGTCATCCCAAAAAAGACAATTGTCTCAAAAGAAAGTTGACACCAGTGTTTAATGTTTTAGCAAAACTCTTACCATTCCTGTGAGTCTTCATGTGACTTTTGAGGCTGCTCTTCTGGTTGAAACACCTCCCACAGATGTGGCAGCCGTACGGTTTCTCCCCGGTGTGAATTCGAAGGTGTCTTTCCAGGTGTCCAGCTCGCTCGAAGATCTTTCCACAGTATGAGCACAAGAAGCATTTCTTTGGGTTCAAAACCCTCCTCTGGAGGTGATCCATCTGGACCTCTGGGCCAGGATTACTGGATCCCATTAGACTGGGTGATCCACGAGGTGTTTGGGAGATCTTTTGGTTTTTCAGTTCCCCGTATGGTTTTCCTTGGAAGAAGCTGCTGCTACAGGAAGCTTCTACTGGTGGTTGGAGTAGCTGAGCTATGGCAGGGTAGGAAGACATGTTCGGTGATGAGCTGCTAAGGAATTCTGAACTGCTTGGTTCTGGATCGTTTTGTAATCTGGGGGTCCACAGCTGGCTGGTACTCTCCAGAGCTGTGATGTTATCACTCACATTGTCAGCTCTGTTTGCTGTTTGATCGTTCCCACCGGTAAACTCCGGCTGCGTTACGTTTTCCTCAACAGGTTCAGATTTTACCTGTACAGGCGACGGCCGAGTCGCCTCGATCGGTATTTGGTTCTCATCCTCTTTTGAGGGACGTATTTTATCAGACTGATGTTGGTCAATTATTGGATTCACCTCTGGAATTGGGGGGACCTGTTGGCCAACCTGCATCTCTTCTGGTGGTAACTGAAGACCTGTTGGTAGACAACCCCCAAAAAACGCTATGGTCACATTGATGAAGCAAAAACACCTTTAAGAGAAATATTCCATCTAAAAGCAACTTGTCAGAAAACAAGTTTTTCAAAGCCAAAATGCTTTGACCATATCCAACTGAAGTTTTACTTCCGACATCAAATCAAGAGCCGTTACTTTGACTAACAGCTCAGATGCATCAGATAAAACAACACAAAACCTAAATGTGGTTTATAAGGACTTACTTGCCTTTTATTATTATTTAAAATTAAAACTGGTGTTTTGGCACCCTTTCGAAAGCAGAAAGATTGCTTCTGTTTTTCGGCTTTCTTTGGACACGCTCAGATCAGCAAAGAATGTTTGCTAGAAAGTAATTTTGAGTGAAGAAAATCAGCCTAGTTGTTGATCCACTAGATTTCAAATCCATGGAATAGTGCCAAGGTCAAAACCTCTACCACAAACGCCCATCTCACATTTACCAGAAATAACTTGATCCCCGACGTTTTTGGGAAACTATGTAGAGACAGAAACAGAGCTTTGTAACCCTTCCACTGTCTTATCGGGTGACCCCGCCAGGAAAGTTGACCATTGAGCAGGATTGATGGTTTATCTCTTGAGGTCCACATGAGAGGGGGTGAGGTGGTGCTCACTCCTCACCCCCTCTCATGTGGACCTTAAGGGATAAACCATCAATCCTGCTCAATGGTCAACTTTCCTGGCGGGGTCACCCGATAAGACAGTGGAAGGGTTATGAAGATGTGGGTCGAACAAGTTTTCCAGCTGTGTGAACAAAAACTAAAAACTTGTCTTGAGGATCAGAGAGTGCCTAAAAAGCTGTTTTCTTCACTCCAATCCTGCACAGAAGAATTTCTAAGCAGGGACCTCCAGCTGAGACAGAGGACAGAAATAACTCGCCTGAGAAAGGCGGCTGCATGACGGGGAGACACGCACCTAGAATGAAGATCGTCCGCTTCTTAAAGGTGATTTAGAGTCAAAGGGAAGACTCGGTTTGCAGTTAAATATAAGCAAGTTGGCAGAGATCCAGTGACCCCCCCTCCCGCACGCGCGCGCACACACACACACACACACATATGAGTCTGGGCCTCACCAATGCCTACGCGCTGAAACAAAACACTAGACCTTCTTTCACCGTTGATGAACTCCTGTCAAGGAAGCTAGGATTTAGGGGTTTTGAGCTGGAGTTAGAGCTCATTCTTAACTGGTTCTATAAAAAGCAACTAAGAACCAGATTGTTTTTCCCCAGCCAGAGAGCAACCGTGGAGCCCTGTCATTACAAACATCTCTTCATGCTTGATCCTCCCTAATCTATGTTTCTGCGCAGCGGTCAATGCTAAAGTCAGAACTTAAGAAGGATCTGGAGCGAATCTGGCACTGGAACCAGTTTGTTGCTGGAGAATGAAAAAGACTTACATCTCCGGTGAATCTTCATGTGCTCCTTCAGGCTGCATTTCTGATTAAAGCGGCGTCCACAAATCTCACAGCGGTATGGTTTCTCGCCGGTATGAATCCTCTTGTGTCTTTCCAGGTGACCGGAGCGTTCAAAGCTTTTGCCACAGTACGGACAGATGAAGCGTTTCTTAAACATCAACCTCTTCACCGTCCTCCTCCGCATCGTGTTTCGGTACTGACTGTAACCCGGCAGGCCACGGCTGAACAGGTTCTGCTGAAAACCTGCAGAGCTGCTGCAGGACAAATTCAACCTGCTCTCCAAAGAGGACTCAGCGAGACAAGACAGGGAGCTCGGCCCTAAAGTTAAAAAATCCGGCCTGCTGCATCCCATTTCCTTTTGCATTGTTGAATTCCACTGCCCGCCCTCGTACGGATACTCCTCTCCTGACTTGTTGGTTTGTCTCCTGAGCTCCTGGCTTCCCTCCTCCACAGGTTCACATTTCACCTCCACCTTGGATTCAGACATGGTCCTGTAGTTCTCACCAGAAAGCACGGGGTTCCTCTGGTCTCTACGCCCACTCTGACCTTCTGTAGAAAGAAAATCACAAACTCTGATTAGAGATATTTAAATTATTTCTGAGCCATTAAGTCTGTCAAGGAGACTCCGATCCCACAACTTGACCACATAACGTTTTGATTCCTTATAAGTGTTTGGCCAAACGATTATTTAGGCCAAGATTCATCTCTAGAAATAAATATATACTAATCAGACAAAACATTCAGACATCCTACATGATTTTATGAAATTCCCTTTCACCCTGTTGCCACAGTGTCTGATGAAATGTAAGGTTTCCCAGATGTGTGGCTGAACAAGATAGACTCAAACTTAGCCAGCAAGATGCTGAATAATAAGTTGTAAAAACCTACAGTGTCTCTGTCTGGAAAGCATAACAAAACCCCATCTGTTGTGTTGTCTATGTGCAGAAATGTGGCAGATGCATTAAAATACTAAAATCACTCATTTATCTATTATATCAGAGAGAAAACTAACATTTGGTGCTCACATTTAAACCAATAATGTAAAAATCCTAGATTTAAAAAGGGAAAAAAAACTGCACAAAATTTTCTTCCGAGTAAATTAATGTGTTGATGATGTTTACGTTTCACGATGGCCATTTTTATTCTTCAGCTTTTTAGGTGGTACATCCACATAAGCTGCAAAAATGTCAACAGCAGGAAAAGGTACATTAGAGGTGTTGTTTAATCATTTATTCAATACATTTGCAGTGTTCTCTAGAGAAAATCAATGCCTTATGAGTAATTTAAAATAAAAAACTGTGATGCTTCTGTTCTGAGATGTAGAAGTTTGCTGGTGTAGATGTGGGCTGAAACAGCAGGATTGCCCATTATTAATAATGATATGCACACACCACGCTTCTGATTGGCTAACAGAATGTGTTCAGCCATGTTGCAAAGTCGCTATCACCAACACACTCTCCGCTCTCTCCTTGCTGCAACAATTTTTCTAAAAGCCTTCCTGTGGACAGACACAAGCTGAGATGGGTGAGGCCATGAATTTAAATTCACAATGTGACATCACAATGTGGGGATTTTCAAATCCTAGCATTTCACCATCTATTTTCTATCGGAAGCTAACTAGATAGGTGTAGGAGACCATTTTCATGTTCAGTCTGCATGAAAAACTCATGAGTGACCAATTATAAATCAGAAATAATAATTAAAAAAAACTCTAAAATTAACTAAATCACCTGAAAGAGGAAAATCGGTAGAAAGAAAAATATCCATTGTGTGTTCAGACTTTTTCATCTAAACTCTGCAACACAATTTATTTGGGTAACAAGTACTTTTGAACATTTTAAAACATATATGTATATTAGTATTTACTTTTGTTGCTTCAGAGAAGGAAATTGTGATAAAGGTGTTATGCAAAAGCAATGTAAAGGTGATAGATGGTTATGAATGAAAATGGGGCCCCTGAATCTAAAATTGCAGAAGGCCCGATAAGATCTTGGGCCGCCCCTGGGTTAACGTCAGTTAACGCGTAGATATGCATGGTGTCCAGGTGAGTTTAAACGACTCACCATCTCTGGGTCGCAGGGTCACCGCCTGCCGTGTAGCTCTCAGCTCCCCATGCAGGACTTCGACGCTGCTCTTCAGCCTCTTGATCTCATTTTCGCGCTGACACATTTCCAGCCGCAGCACCACCATACTCTCCTCCACCACTTTGGAGATTTCTGCCACGGCTGTTTTAGCCAAGGCATCAATCACGGAGGCGATCTGAGTGCGCAGAGGGACTCCGCTCAACATTATCGTAACCACAGCAAGTCCCAAAGAAGGCTAAAACTAGACCAAGAAAAGTCGAAGAACCGCCCGGTGATGGGTCGCTTACTAGCTTCAACAGGCCGACTTTAGGCCCGCTGTCTGCTCACAGACCGTGGTTGTTTCCATTATGGTTTTTAATAAACGTAGCTACAGTTAATTGGTACCATACGCAGAGATAAACAAAGCGCTAGCTTTTGGTTAACGGAAGTGACGACAAAATGCCGTAAAGTGTAGTGAAAAGCGCAGTGCAAATTATCACTGTCAACGGTCACGTCACGTGGTCCACTCAGCTGCCACTAGTAACCGGAAGTCATTGATGTTAAAACCTCCAGTCACTGGTTAGAATTGATTTTTAGCGATATGAAATCATTACATCCGTCTACATTAAGTAAATGATTAAGCAATGAAATCTGAATTAGAAGTTAACAGTTTCAAATTGTCAATTTAGTTATTTTTGTTGCATTTTTTTATCATTTTATTCCAAGTAAATGTTTGATTATTTTAGTGTTTTGTGGTAAAGTTGGAAGGGAAAAGCAATTCTTTAGACATGTGTACTAAAATTTCAACAATCTGATTTTTTTTATTAATTACAGTTAGTGACTATTCTTTTTTTTACAACTTTTACAGCAACTACTCTTTAGATGATCAGCAAATTTCCATATTTTATTCAAGTTGTAGTTGCAACAAACATACTAGATTTTTATCTCCATTAAAATACCTGAGTTTTTTATTATTTAATTTATAACCCATCTCCACTAATCTAACACAAAAAGCTAATCAATTTTACGTTAAATCCGTTCATCTCCAAGATCTTGGAAAAGGTTGTGGCTCAACAACTCACAGCTGCTCTTGATCAACATAACATCTATGATAGCTTCCAGTCAGGTTTTTGTAGAGCTCATTCTACTGAAACAGCTCTTCTTAGGGTCTCTAATGACCTTCTGACTCACAGTGATACAGGGGACTGTTCTGTTCTGGTCCTGCTGGACCTGACTGCAGCCTTTGACACTGTTGACCATCTCCTGCTACTGGAGAGGCTGAGAGACTGGGTAGGCCTATCAGGATCTGCTCTGGAGTGGTTCTCCTTTTATCTTTATAAACGTTCCATTTCTGTGGCCGTCTCCAAGTTTAAGTCCTCCACCACCTCCCTTACCCATGGTGTCCCACAAGGTTCTGTGCTGGGGCCTCTGCTCTTCCTCCTCTATCTGCTTCCTCTTCAGCACACCCTGAGCTCCTTCAAAGGAATCTCCTACCTTCTTTATGCAGATGACATCCAACTGTACATCTCCTTTAAGCCCCACGAGATGTCTAAGCTGCAGCTGTTACACTCCTGCTTAGACTCTATCAAAACCTGGATGGCTGGGAGCTTTCTTCAGCTGAATGAAGATAAGACTGAGATCCTCATCTGTGCCCCAGACAAGCTGGTTCCCAAAGTCAGAGTCTCTCTTGGTCAGCTTGCTTCTCACACCAAACCTTCCGTTAGGAATCTTGGCGTGACCTTTGACCCAGCTCTCACCCTGGATTCTCATGTCAGTTCTCTTGTTTGCTCTTCCTTCTTCCATCTCAGGAATATTGCTAAGCTGAGTCCCATTCTGTCTCTCTGAACTTGAGACAGTTATCCACACCTTCATCTCATCACGCTTAGACTACTGTAACTCTCTTTTCACGTGTCTGAGCAGAACCTCCCTGAACCGTCTGCAGGTGGTTCAGAACGCCTGTGCTCGGCTTCTGACCAAGTCCTCCAAACAAACCCACATCGCCCCGCTTCTCCTCCAGCTTCACTGGCTGCCAGTCAACTTCAGGGTTCATTTCAAGATCCTGGTTCTGGTCTATAGGGCCAACATGGACAAACACCATCTTACATTGGTGATCTTCTTAGTCCCTACACCCCCAGCAGGTCCCTGAGGTCCAGTGATCAAAGCCTACTGGTTGTGCAGCGCACCAGGCTAAAGACCAAAGGTGACAGATCATTTGCTGCTGTGGCCCCCAGACTCTGGAACTCTCTCCCCCTGAGCCTGAGATCAGTAAACTCAGTGGTCTCCTTTAAAAAGCAGCTGAAAACTCACTTGTTCAGGCTGGCTTTTGTGTGACCTTCATCACCCTCTCCTTGTTCTGCTTTCCCTACCTATTCCACCTTCCTCGGGATCCACTGATTTCCCTCCTTCATATTCACTCTCTCTCTTTCTTTACATTTTAATCACAATTGTCTATGTTTTGCTCATTTTAAATATATTTTTAATCATTTTCTAAATTCTTTTTTATGTTTTTACATGTTTTTGTGGAGCGCCTTGTGATTTTTATCTTGAGAGGCGCTTTAGAAAAGATCTCTTCTTCTTCTTCTTCTTCGTGAATGACTCGTTCCTGTCAGCGTTGGCAGAAAAACAACAAAAACTGAAATCCAACTTGACAAGTGTAACGTCACGAAATGGCCTGATTTTGAGATCCTACAGGTCAAATGCACAACCAGGTAAACTTACCCTGGCTATGACACATCTTAAGCCTGATTTATGCTTCTCCGTCTGCGTCAGTGCGGAGACACGCAACGCCATTATCCGTCCTTGCGTAGGGCACGCAAGGACGTACGGAGTCAAGCCCACTTTTTTAAACATCCGTCGAACGAGACGGATTACGCAAGCTTGTGATTGGTCAGGACGCCGCTGTTGTTTACAGCGCCGCCATTGCAAAGAGAGCTGAGGATAACTAGAGGCAGACACGGAGAAGCTTGAAGAATGCCTCGCGAAAAAACTCTAAACATATGAACGTTTAATTCCCCCGTGACTGGAGGAGTGAAAAGATGTTTTATTTGTGGACGGAAATGACAGGAAACGTGGGTTTAGAGGTGGGGAGCGCATGAAGAGGTGGAGGAGACAAATATGTCCGTGTTAAAAGTCTCTTATATACACAAAAAACACAATATAAACACACTATCTTGGACCGATACATGACAGGATACCACAGAACAGCGCTACGCCCTCTGTTGTCCTGCCGGGCAATTGCTTTGCAACACCCTCCAGGAGACGGAGGAGTATGAGAGCAAAACGCTTCCGTCAATCCGTGCGTGTCTGTCCCTTGCGGAACTGACGGAGAAGCATGAACCAGGCTTTACTGGATTTTCCCCTGACAGGAGTCTCAAAGTCTGCACTTAGCCCCTTTAATCAGAGCCTACTTCCTCACACCAGCTGGACTGCAGAGATAATAAATGATAAACAATAAACATTTTCTCCTCCAAGGTCCATCACAGAGGAACACTTTTAAAATGAACTCCATTATTCCAAGAAGATTTTATAATTAAAGATAATCATTAAATTATAAATATAAATTATAAATATAATTATAAATAATGAAATGTTTCATTAATCTGTGCTCAATGATTGTTTTAGTATGTTTACTTGACGAGGTCATAACATTTGCACTCACAAGTAAAGTTAATGCATGACACATAAGTTAACCTTTGGTCCACATTTGGAGTCTCCATCGAAGACGGTGTGTTCTGAGATGCTTGGTAACATCCTCAACGTGCCAACTTCTGCTTGGCTATTCAAGATAACATCAATCCGTTAAAACTAATTTTACTCTGGTTTTTCCCTGAGTTCAACTTCAGACAAAACAGTTCGAACAGCTCAACAGTTCGAGGGTTCTAGAGGAAACCGACCATCTGAGTGAAAGCCTCTTTAGCCAGAAGGATTTTGACAAATTGTCAAAACCTTAAACCTTTTTCGCACCTGCAAAGCTCAACAAGATAGTTTCCTGCAGAACAAAGCTGATTCCAAACTCAGTGGCCTAGAGGTAGAGTGTCCGCCCTGAGACTGTGAGATCAGGGTTCGATTCCTAGTCGGGTCATACCAAAGACTTTGAAAAAATGGGACCCAATGGCTCCCTGCTTGACACTCAGCATTACGGGGTTGGATTGGGGGGTTAAACCACAAAATGGTTCCCGAGTGCGGCTGTGTCTGCAGCTCACCGCTCCCCCAGGGGATGGGTCAAATGCGGAGAACAAATTTCGCACACACATCAGTGTGTGTGACAACTAATGGGACTTTAACTTTTTTTTTTTCAGAGTTATTTTTAAGACGCTTGGTTTCATCTATCGTTGTGACCCGGAGACATCTGAGGACTGATTTGGTCGCATCGAGGTTTCTCTACGAACCAGGTGCAGTGGGGTCGTCGGCTCCTGGACATCTCAAATCCAAATGGGGTCCCCAAACGGGTGAAGAAGTGCACAGCGAGATAGCGTTCTGCATGTGGTTTTGATAATAACAACTCATAGCTTAACGCAAACCAAATTCTTTCATATCCAGAACTCAGCTCTGAGAACGGAGATTCTGAATACATTATATTCACACATAGGTTCCAGACTATCCTTTAGTTCGCATCCACTCACAGTAAATAATAGTTTCAACAATGTGTCAAGTCTTAAGTGTTTGTAAAATCAATTCTTACTTTATTTATAAACCTGACTGCTTCTTGAATCAAAGCGGTGTGTTCGATCCGATCCCTTAATGAATAAAAGAATCTTAGAATCTTCTGACTAAAACAATAAGACCAAGCAGGTGCTATTCTAGTTAAATAAGAGTATCACCACTTATTGGTCACAAGTAGTGGTGATAATATAAATAGCTTTTCAAACAATTTACTTAACCAAATTTACCCTCTATTATATTACACAAGTTATACGTGACATCAAAGGTGTTGACTGATGTAACTCATTGGACTCTTGTTGCAAATTCACTTGAAATTATGATGGAGTCTGAGGATTAGTACCTTCATCAAACTGCCCTCTGGTGGAGGAGCTACAATTGGCAAAGGTCAATTTAACTTATTTATGGCTGTTATTTTGTTATATAATTGCATTAAAAAAGAAAATACCAAATAAATAGTTCATTTTAAGAATAAATCATTTATTATACATATTTTGTGATTTAACTTATTTCATTTATACTTATGCATCTATTTCATATCAACAAAATAAGTTGAATAAAACAAGACACATCGAGCAGGTTAGAAATCAGTATAATTTAAATAATAATATAAAACTGAAAGCTCAAAATTAAATGGAAAAATTCTGCAAACTATTTTTAAAACAGCTAATACAAGATAAACAGACAAATGTGTCGATTCTATTATTTTATCCCAGCAGGTGACTCTCTTCGTGCTTCCTGAGCTTCCCCAGCATGGTGAAGCTTTTGCCACACTTCTTACAGCTGTAAGGCTTAACTCCACTGTGGAACCGCTCGTGTCTGTGGCAGTTGTCCTTCCTGGAAAACAACTTACCACAGAATTCACAGCTATACGGCTTCTCGCCCGTGTGCCCTCTCTGGTGCGTTTTCAGCCGGGTCTTCTGGGTGAAACATTTCCCGCATTCAAGGCACCTGAAGGGTTTGAAGGATTGGTGGGTGGTTCTGTGCTGCTCGAGCTGAGATAAGTAGTAGAAACTTTTGTCACACTCCAAGCAGATGAAGACTTTCTGACTTGTCTTGCAAACAAGAGTTAATCTTTTTGTTCTGATGGAGGATCTGGTGCCATCTTCCTCATTTGATTGTGACGTGTTTGCTGTGGATCGCTGATGCAAAGCTGCTGATGGCCAAGCGTGTTCTGATGCGGCCTGCATGCACAAATCCTGTCTAACATCTTTGTTATAAACAGAGTCTGAAGTAGAAGTTCCCATGCTGACAGGGTGAGTTGTTTCTTCCACCTTTACTGGCACAACTAAACGATCGTCAGCCACCTGCTGATCTGAAGACAATAAAAAGTTTGAAGAATTTTGTGGGTTTCTGCAAACAGAATACTGCTCAACGTTTGATGGAATTATCGGTGTGTGCTGTTGCGCTGAAACGGAGCTGTTTTCAAACATACGACAAGCACTCCAGACTACATCACCTCCACCTTCTACTTTGGGACCAACAACATCCGTTGTCATGTGATCCCCGGCGTCTGTGCTGTGAAATCCATTTTCTGGCTCAGGCTTAATCACTGGAGAGACGTTACGGTTCTCATCTAATCCACTGAAGTCTTCACAGAGTAGATCAGCAGATTTTAAATCAGGATATGCCACGTCAATTTGATGATCCTCATAAGAATCTGCAATAAAAATAATTCAGGTGTAGGTTTAAATTTGACAAATATAAATCCACATGTATTTATTTAAAATAAAGCAATAATTATTTAGATATTTCCAATTTAAAATGACAAAGAAAAGGGTTTTTAATTATCTAACTGCACAAATCAGAGTACAACAAATTAATTAATACATTAAAAATTAATGCGTATAATATGCTCTCGTGTTTGCTTTTTTCACGTGAGGATTTTGAGTGAACATCAAAGCACATTTAGGATGTATTCAAGAAATGGATGGACAATATATCGGCATCAATATCGGCCGATGTTAGTCATTTTTTAACATATTGGTATCGATTCGATAAATAATACCGGGCCGATATTAACAACCGATATTTTTTCCATCTCGTCTCCATTTGTTTGCCTGTTTCAGAGGGTGGGGTGTGTGTGTGTGTGTGTGTGTGGGGGGGGGGGGGGGGGGGGTGATGTGTAATTGTTTAGTCATGTGAACAGTGAATGAAATCATCTTGGAACCGTAAATGTGTGTGTTGTGTGTACATAACAGTACATAATAACGTAAATTCAGCTTTAATAATTTTCATTCTATACAAAATCTGCTGATTTTAGAAGCATTAATGTCAGTTTATCAGTATCTGCAAATAACGGTTATCGACCATAAGCTTAATATCAGATATCGGCATCTGCCCAACAATTTCATACTGGTGCATCACTAATTCAAGAGATTTGTTTTAAATTGACATTATCAGATTATTCCGATGACCAGTAAATAATCTCCTTTTGTTTTTCAGTGTCAATTTAGAAAAAAAAAGAATAAAAAAAACTTAAAATATGAACAAATAAGTATTTTATTAATCTGTACACAATCTAACATTTTGAGGAAGCTAAATTTCGAGGATTCCATGTTATCTTTCTTCCTTTTTCACAGCCTGTGTGACTCAAATCCTGGGATGTGAGAAAATCCTCACAGAGTAACCTTTACAGTACACCAGCAGACGAATTAAAAGGTAGATAATAACATTGAATTTTATGGGTTAAATGGTTTTCTAAAACAAAAGAGTTTTGCTAATAGGGTTGATTGTTTTAAACTTGAGAGCCCTGACTGAAGTTTGGTGTGACAGTCGGGTGTGCAGGTTAACTTCGTACCCTGCAGGATTTGATTCTGTGAGTTTTTCTGCATTTCCTCCTCTGTGGTTCGTCGTGCAGCAGCTTCTTGAGCCTTACAGAGTTCAGCCTCCATCATCTTCAGTCTGGTCCGCAGATCCTGGATATCCACGTCCCTCTGGCGCACCTCCAGGCGCAGATCCAAGCACCCTTCCTCCACCAGCTTCGTGATTTCGGCCACCACAGCTTTCGTCAGCTTGTCCATGAAGGCGGCGAGCTGCGTACCGAAGGTAGAAGGGAACGACATCCCGCTGAAACTGTTAAAACCCCAACTGAGGTGGAGGTAGGGCCCGCTGTTACAGCAGAATTTGTTGAGTCCAAAACAGCTTCCCTTCCGGGTTAAATTATTTGACCCGGATGTGACGCCGAGGATCGTAAAACCCCTAATACACGCGAACTCCTTTTTTTCTTGGTCTTGATCTGGATGTGTTGGATGTCTTTTCTTCAGAGGTTAAAGACAAATTTAAAATACTTTCTTACTTTGTGCAAAATACTTAGATCAAAACAGACAAATTAATCCAAAATGCAAATTATTTATTAATTTCAAACTGTATTTGTTTATAATTTTTTCCTATTATATACATGTACATTGAAAGAAATATGTACTCTGTGATCAGATGAGCAAAGAAATTTAGTTTTCAGGTTCAAGCAGTGAGATGTGAAATACGTTTACAAAGTTTATTTAGCAAGAAAAAACATAAAAAAATATGTATGTCTTAAAGAATGCATTTGATCCATAAACTTCAGCACATCAGAGCAGCAATTCAAATATTTCTAATTGTTTTTAAAGTCTGTAGGTAGCACAAAACTATTGAAGTGCATTCGAACCTTGATGGCTTTTAAGGTTATATTTCTGTTCTTTTGAATTTCAACAGTTTTTTTTATCTATACGTTTGATAAATGAAGGGGGGGGGGGGGGAATCCAAAGAAGAAAAAATATACATATGACTTTTGATCATGTTTGTGCATGAAGCCACCTGAACATCATGTGCAGCTGCATCAGTCAGACACCACAGCTGAAGCTGTTTCATATTTCAGTATGTTTTTAAATTTGTTCAAATAAAACTTCATGCTACATGTAGCTAATAGACGTTTCTGTACAGTTGTACCATGATGTCGCTACACTTTGCAGAGAGAAACAATAAATTTGTTCACTTCACTTCCCCCTTTCCTTCTGCCTCTCCATCTCGTACACGCTCTTTCTCTCGTCTCATGGTTGCTATGGCAACCGCCTCATCAAAGCACATGCTGAGGGGACTGTTTCTCTTCGTGTCCCACGCCGCGCCTTCGACCCCGTCTCTCCTCCTGGCCGGCCTCTCGTTGTCCCCGTCTCCATCCCGGGCCTGTTCCGGCTCGGCCGGGACCCTCAGCGCGTTGTCGCCCCTCTCTCTTTGCTGCTGCTGACGGAGGGTCAGGGCCGTGATCCTACAGTGCTGAGGCTTTGGGGGCACCACCGGCACCGCTTTGACTTGATAAATTTTGGGTTGTCTGAAAACGACCAGCTTCCGCCCAACACCTCCCAGGCTGTCGTCGCTATTCTCACATTTATTGTTTTCCTTTAAATCCCCCGGTGGTTGTTTTCCTACATGCGCCTGTGTTCTACTTTCATCTCTTTCTGTGTCTTTTACTCCTTCTCTGCCATCCTCCTCTTCTTGACTGACAGCAGAATTCTCATGAGTGTTTTTTTCTGATATATTTATCTCTTCCTTCATCCCTCCATCTGTGAGTTTTCCTTCATTTGTCTCCTGTGGCTCCTTCTCTTCTATTCTGTCTTCCATCGTGTCTGCCACAACCTGATCAGGCTCTGATTTCTCTCCCTTAGCGTCGACCGCCTGCTCTCCTCCTTCTCCATCTTTCTCTAAATCTTCCTCCTGTCTGTCCTCCTCGTCCTCTAACACCCCACATACAACCTCCTCCAGCACACTCCAGATTTCACCACTTGTCCTACAGATTTTAATGTCCTGCTCGAGGCTTTGGTCATCTGCATCTTTGTGTTCTTCTAGACGTGATTGTTCATTCGGATCGTCTTTAACACAAATCTCAGGTTGTTGTGTCAGAATCACAGAAGTGTCTTTGGACTCCTCTAGTGGACCACTGTCTTTTTGTGCAGCACAAGGAGAAGTGAGAGAATCACTGGGAAGGATTCCAGCAGCTTCCAGCACCGCCTCGACCTTCACTTCCGTCCCAGCGTTTGATTCCTTGGGGTCCTCATCGCTCGACTCCACGCAGCTGCTTGTTGGTGCTTCTGAAGTTGGCGAATTCTCACTTTGAGCATCTTTTTCTGTTGATTTGCTGAAATGACAAACAAGTTCAACATCATCAGATTTATGAGAAACATAATAAAGATGCAACAAGACCTCCAAAATGTTTGCCTCTGGTTATTTTTGGGAAAGAAACAGCTCAGCATTTTTGTTTTCTTACAAGTCTTTAGATTACAGAAAACCTTTCTGTTCATTCAGTCAGTCGGTCGGTAAACATGAATTTTCTTTGCAACACTCTGATTTCTAGCTGATTGTGCGAAGCTTTACAGTACTGCATGAAATAAACAACTTGTTTTAAGATATGATTTAATTATTTATATTTTTATAGAATGTTTTAAAATTTGTACATAAATAAATAAATACTTGTTTTACGATATGATTTAATTATTTATATTTTTATAGATTTTTTTAAATTTGTAAATAAATAAATACTTGTTTTAAGAAGAGTTACTTAATTACCCCTTGATTAAATCCCGAGCGTGTTGGGAGCAGAGAAATATTAAAAACATGCAGAAAAGGTGGGTCTAGAGGAGTTCTCCCCAACTCCCATCCCTGAGGACCGGTACGATGTCCAGCATGTTTTTGTTGTTTCCCTGCTTCAACACACCTGAGTTTAATCAGCAGGACATTAACAGGCTTCTGCAGAGCTGCTGCACAGGCGAATCGAGTGTGTTGGGTTAGATGCAACTCAAACGGGCAGGATACCGGCCCACGGGGAAGGGAGTTGGGGACCGCGGGTCTATGATCAGGATTTGACACCACTGCATAGGTTACATCAGTGAAAGCCTCTTGAGGGTTATTTGTTGTTTCTTTTCTTTTCTGGGGTGAAAGAATCACCAAATCCAGTCCGCGAGGATGAACCTGTCCTGCAGAACCCGCCATGCTGAGGAAGTGACAAACGCCTCGATTCTGCTGTGTTGGGAGCAGAAAAACATCTAAAACATGCAGCATTTTGGCCTCTACTGGATTTGGTGATTAAATCATCTCAGAAATAGAAACTCACTCAGTCCTTCTAATGAATGATAATTTATTTTATATTTTTTGCACTGACTGAGACACAATATGTGAAACTGAGTTAGAGGTGTTTTTCTTTCAGTTTTAAGGTTTAATGTTCACCTTTGTGAGTCATTCCCCAGCTGCTGGTCTTCCTTTTCATCCTCTGTCTTTATTATTTGTTCTCCATCCAACCCATCTTCATCGTCTCCCTCCTTCTGACCTGCAGCTGTTGTTTCATCACAAGCAGGAAGCTCCAGATCGGATGGCTCGTGTCCTCCGGAGCCCTGGAGCTCTGGAGCAGGATTGAGGTCAGAGATGGGGCTGAGTTGGGTATCGGAGTTTGTTGCGTCCGGCTCAAATCTGGCCATGGTGTTTAGGAAGAAATCTGGTGGGAGGCTTTTAACAAACATGCTCTCATCTTCAGCATCCTCGCTGCTGTAGTCATTGTCCTTGCCGTCGGTCTCCGAGAGCTCGTCTTCAGAGCAGAACTTGCCCGGTTCCTGTATGGGGGAAGTCATGTAGGGCAAGCTGAGGGACTTAGTGTGTCGACTGTGCAAGTCGAAGCTGAGCGGTCTGTGAGGATTGGACTCCATCGGACTCTGAGTGATGTCATCAGGACTCAGAAAGGCTCGCGACTGGGACGACTGAGACTGGTTCATGACCTCGTACTCATCATCAGAGTGACCAGGAGGCTCCACGGAGAACTCGTTCACCTGGAGGGGGGGCAAGACGTTTGCAGTCTTCATGAACAATTCCCACACTAGTAAATAAAACGTCAGCAAACAAACTGCACACCTGATAGGACACGCTACAGTCCATGTGGTCCATGACGCTGCAGTCCATCTGGTCCAGGAATTCAAAGTTATCTTCGATGTAGCCGGACAGCTGGTAGTTGTCGTTCTCCACTTCAGTCGAGTTGAGGATGTCAGAAGAATCAAACACGCCGTCTTCTTCGTGGTGTCTCTCATCTTTTGCCCGACGAGCTGCTGATTCTGTTCCCTTCATCACTAAAGCATCAGAATGAGTAGAACACAGTCTGGGTCTTATTTAAAACAAATAATTTACAAAAACAGAAGATTACTGGTATTTATGTCCAATGAGAAGGTTCTTATATGAGGTTGCGACTGCTTTCTGCTCATTAAGACATTTTTGTTGTTTTCTAGTTCATTTGAATGTCTTAATTCCAATGATTTACTTGCTGCTGCTGCGTTTGGAAAAAGTTTAATGGCAACGACAGATAGTCACAAAAGGTTGAGTTATTTTATTAGCTGTTCCAAATGTATCTGAATCTGTCAGGAATGCTGCAGGATCTACAGATTTCTGGTGAAATTTAAATCCCTTAATTTGTGCATCTGTGAATATCTGGAAGACTTTTTTAAAAGAGATTTGTCCTTTAAAAACACCTAGACTGAAGTTAGTTACGACACTTTTCAGTTGAAAGCTGATTGGTGCACATTAAAGTCATCCTTTAAGTTCCAAAACAAACTTTAATCCAAAAGGAAAACAAATGAATTTGATCCTTTTGTTAGATTTTATAGTCATTAATTAAAATGATGCTGATTTAAAAACAGACAGAACCAAGTCTGTTTTGTTTGCAGATCTGTTAATAATAATAATAATAATAATAATAATAATAATAATAATAATAATAATAATAATAATAATAATAGGGTAGTTGACTTTACCCATGTATTCACTATCTTCATCAGCATCTTGGTCCTCTACCACAGCGTATTCGTCCTTATCTTCCTCTTTGTTGGACTTTAATCGTCCCTTCATTCCTTCCCCCTTAAGGACTTCTTTGTCTCCCTCCTCTTCTCCTCCTCTCATCCCTTCCTTTTTCCCTTCTGAGTCCACTTCCTTTTCACTTTGACTTTGTTTCCTCTCCTCCACCTTTTTAGGCTCTTCCACATTCCACTCCATCCCTCTGCGCTCCCTCTTCCCCTTCCTCTCACCCTCCTCCTTGGCATCCAGCTTGTCTCCACCATCCTTCTCTCGTCCCCGGTGGACGACTCTGTCCCCTCCTCCCCCCTGCAGCACCCCCAAAGCCAGGTTAGAGGTGATGTGCAGCGGCACGGTGACGAGTGTGGGGCCTGTGATGTGCATGGCTGCTCTTCGACCAGCTTTACTGGAAAGTCCAGGAGATCTGGTCTGAATCCCGTCAACGCTCGGGATTCCTAAACCATCTGGGTCGAGAGCCGTGTAGATACCCTGGGTCCCTGCACTCCCGCTCACTAGACCGGTTCCCCTGCGGTAGGTCACTGCGTATTCACTCCCACTGATCCCACAGGAGGGTGCTGGGATGTCTGACGCAGACGGGGTGGAGGAGGTGACATCAGGAGACATGCTGATGGACGGAGGACGCGGACCAGAACGTCTGGGACCTGAGAAACAAGGAGCAGGTTTGGAAAAGTGGACAAACGGGAGTTTTGTTATCGTATTAAGGTTTGTTTGTTCTATTTTACATGTTTAGTTTCTTAGATTTCTGTTTAATTTGTTCTTTGTGGCTTTAGACGTTCTTCCACTCACCTGATGCAGGTTTGCATTCACAGGATTATGTTCTATTATTATTTTTACTTTCATCTTTAGCTTTTGCAGCATCGTTTTCATTTTTTCCCAGAACAATTTTTAAATGTTCGGATGTTTAATCGTTCATTTGAAGCACTGATGTACCAACAGGCCCTTTTTTAGTTAACAAGGTGACATTTTTAAGCCTCATGTACCTTTTATAGGGCGGGTGACCATTTGTTCACTTGTGTTTCAGAATAAAGTGTAACGATTTGAACATTTAAAGGCTTAAGTCGTAAAGCAGGAGACAGCACCTTCGTTGGGATAGGATGGTGTGCTGAGGGAGTCCATGCTTCTTGCAGGTCTCAAACTAGTTTTTTCTTTTTCTGAAAACAGAAAAAAACATGATTTATGATTATTATACAGGGGCTTCAAACATTTACAATTTGAATGATCAAATTTATTTTCTCAGATATATTCAAAGGTTTTGTACCTTTAGCTGATTGTTTGTGTTTCCGTCTGGGATCAGGGAATCGCTCCTTGATGTTAAAAATGGACATCCACTTCCTCCCTTTGAGCGATCCTTTCCTCCTGAAGTAATTTTATATTATTTTTAATTATTTGAATTGTTCCAGTAAATTAGGAATCCTGTTACTGTGGAAGAAGCACTGATCTGTGCACCAATCCTGAGGAAGAATGACTCACTTGTCTGTGCCCTCGATGATAGCATGGTAGGGTCTTATTGGGAGGGGTCCATCTCCTGGACTGATGTTCCCAAAGTTTGGCTGAGAGGACTTGAAGAATGCTAGTTCTGGGTTGGGCATGGCTGACGGGGAGGGGAGGGACTTCCTTCTCTCAGTAGGAACACCTGAAGGAGCCAAAAGGAAGAGATGAGACGTGCGTGCGTGCGCGCGTGCGCGCGCACGTGCGTGTGTGTGTGTGTGTGTGCGTGCGTGCGTGCGTGTGTGTGTGTGTGTGTGTGCGTGTGTGTGTGTGCGTGTGTGCGTGTGTGTGTGTGTGTTCTGACCCTCTTGAGGAAACAGCTGTGGGACGTGTGTGAGGATGAACTCCACCACGATGGACTGGACCCGTACTTCCATGAAGGCTGCTGTACCGTTGAACCCAGAAGCCTCAATGTCCTTTGACCTAAAGACGTTGACGAGCAGAGAAGTTGAATAACTTGATTGTTGACCTCTTTAAAACTAATTTTTCTGTATTTTGTCTCAAACGATTGGCTTTAACCTCAGCCAAACATCAGCTTCAACATAATGCAGCAGGTGAGTCTGAAGCGAGCTCACCTGAGCAGGTTTGGGGCCCAGACGATGGCCAGATTCCGAGCGTGCATGTTGGTCTCAGAGGAATAAGAAGCCATTCTGACGAGGTGATGCATCAAAAACTCCAAAGTCCTGCAACACAGTTTATGAGCATCATCTTAATGTTCGCACCGCCATTTTTAAACATTCAACTTTTGCTGAATTAATAACCCCCTCCACATTCTGTCCAGTAAAGGACCGTCTGAGTGCCAAAAACAAATCAAACAGATTTACTCTCACACACTGTTACAGCTTCAGCCATGACGCTCTTCTTTGCATAAAATGTGTCACTGTGTTTAGATTACGATATAATAAATATTTATTTTGTTTCTTCCATCAGATTATGTAACCTAGCCTGGCAAGCCATCCTAAACTTTGCAAAGCAAGAATTTATTCATAAATAATTAATAAATAAAAATATTAAATACAAACAAGTTGAATTAAAAGTGTGGCATTTTTCACGTTATAACTTGTTTTTCCTTTAAAAGGAAACTGTTTCGCCTCTGCAGCGGAGGACCGTACCTGTAATGTGGAGCTGGAAGTTCTTTCAGCACATCTCTGATCTTCACCAGCCGCTCCTCCTCCAGCTGGATGGCAACAGCTTCCTGCAGGATCACACACGTTAAACTAAAGTTTTAATTTGTTATTCTACAGCTCTGGTAAAAAGTATTTCCCCTTGCCCAACACTATTCTTCTGTTGTTGCTACTTTTATTATAAATTCCTCAGATCAGCAAACAAATGTCAACGTCAGACAAATATAACCATCAAAATGCAGTTTTAAATCTTCACACCACTGTGGAAAACTTTTGTCCCACTCTTCTTTACAGAATTATTTAATTCAGCAACACTGAAGCTTTTTCTGGCATCAACAGCCTTTTAAGGTCAAAAGTCCGACATTCCTATTCAGGATTTCCTGCTTCACAGTTCCATCGCTTACCGAAGTTGGTCCAGGACCTAAAGCATCAGTGCAGCCCCAGACCATCACACTCCCACTACCATGTCGGACTGTTGTTGGTGTTATTTTTTATACCAGAACACTTTTATAAACGTTTTGTCTTGTTAGTCCACAGAAATGTCACTTTGGTCTTGCACAGATCTTTTTTTTTTTTTGTTATTGTTTTAGTAAAAGTGAGACGAGCAGTTGTTTAAATGTCAGAGCTCTCTCCTGGTGACAGGTCTCCCCCTCACATATTGACATCTGACCTTCCTCTGAGTCCTGCAGTTCTTTTGAAATTCTGATCATCAGTTTCTGTAGAACAGAGCATGCTCTGCTGTTTCTCTAAAAGGTTTAAGCCAACCTCAGATCATCAGACGAATTTTACTAAAGTCATTTCATAAATCTAAAGGTCAGGCAGTGATCAGTTCTGGCTGCCGGAACTGCATCCAACTTTCCAAATTATGGGAATAATTCAAACTTTTATCCAATTCTCTTTCTAACCCTTTTATTCTTAAGGGGAAACTGCATATTTAATTCCCTTAAAAATGCATTTGAAGTGTTCTTTGGTGCAAAAAATTCAAAAGCCATCCTGTGAGTGGGCGTAAGCCATGATGGGCCTAGCTGTGAATGTAAATTCACTGTGTGACATCACAGTGTGAGGATTTTCAAATCCTAGCATTCCACTGTCTACTTTAAATTAGAAGCTGACGCAGGAAATGGGTGTAGAAGACTGTTTTCATGCTTAGCGTGCATGAAAAACTCTGAATGACTGACTATAATCACAAATAATAATTAAAGATGGTTTTTCAGTCAACCACACCTTTAAAACTTCACAGAGCAGCTTTTAACCTGCAAAGAAAAAATTTCAAAGCAGCTGCAGTGGAAACATGAAAAATCCTTGTAAAACATCATGCAAAATTTTGAAGTCAATGTTGCTTTAATACATTTTTCTTCTACAAATTTTATTTTGACCTCTTATTTCAACAATTCATGTCTAAGCCATATTTTCTGGGTAAAAAAGGGCTTAAATGTTCTAGTTAGTGTATTTTCGTTAGTTGAAATCTGGCTTAGTTAAACCCCGGTGATTTCAAACATGCAGAGGTGAATCGTACTCACAGCAAACTTATCGTACAGCTGGTAGGTGAGCAGCGGGTTGGGCAGCTCTCTGAAATAAGCCTTACACAGAGAGCTGACACAGTGGATGTCCTGCAGGTACACATCTTTGTTCAGGTCTGGAGGGCCGTCGCTTTCAAACTCCGCCCTGGTTTCACACAAACAGATTCAGTTGTGATGCACTAATGCAGAAATCGGGTTAAAACTTCTCTCTCTCACACACACACACACACACACACAAACACACACACACACACACACACACACACACACACACACACACACACACACACACACACTGACCGTAGTTTCTGGATGTTGGAGGAGACTCCAGACAACCTGTAAATTCCATCGACGACTCCATTTTGTTCAACAAACTCGCTGCAGTTTCTTAACACCACTGGAACTGTGAGAAAAAGAAATAAGATGGATATTATTAAGCAGAATTATACAGATAGAGGTTAAATATGTTATTATAGTGGTCTGGAACCTGCGGCCCTGGAGCAAACTGGAAAGCCTTGTTTTTAGGAGTTTCCAGATTTTTAAAAATAAGTGGATTATATCATTTCAGTAACTAATAGTCTTATGTCTTTGTTTTGCTGCACAAGGTGCTTTTCTTCTTCTTTATTCTGATTATAAAAGTTAATTTTCAATGTTATGAGCTAATTTACTGTAATTACTAACAAATTGTTCTCTCATATTTCTCCTTGTTTAACCCGTCAGTGATAAACCAGTCTGATGCATTTTGCACAATACCATGTTTGACAAGTTCTCTGATTGAATGATAGCTGCACAAACAGATGCATCATCCTGTTGCATTTGCAGCTTGACAGATGATTAATCAGAGTTTGAAACGTTAGCCCTCAAAAGTCGTGTCCACAATAAAACCCCAAAAAGGCAAACCTGTTACTATTTTGTAAAATGAAGTAATGCACTGAACTGGCAAAAGTTCTAAACCATCCTTCATTTCTTTATATTTTGCTCCTAAACAAGCAGAAATCCTTCTATGGACTTCATAAAAAAGCTTTCAGATCACCTTTCAATTTTTTTCTTTTGGCCTTTTGCTGCTTTTTCAACCTTGCAGTGGCACCCCCAAGGGGTGGCCAGGGGTGCCAGGGCCACCATTTAAAAATCAAAAAGTCTCAATCTTAGTTTATTTTGCATGTTTTTGTTAAAACTGCAACAGGCAAACTAAACTTTAATAAAACTCTAAAATTTAAATGACTTTTTAAATGGCGTCTTCTTTTGAAATGTTTGTGTTTCTTGAATTTGAGGTAAATTTATTAATTGTTTATTAATTTTTAATGGAAAAAAGGAGCATGCAGTGCACGGCCACAGGCTAAAACCTACCAGAATTACCACAAAGACCAATTTGACATGCCAACTCAAAAATAACCAATGGCCCCTCTTGGCCACCCCCCAACCCCCCAACCCCCCCCCCCCCCCCCCCCCCCCCCAATGAAAAATTTCTGGGGGGCGCCTGTGCCTGGCTGACAACACATAAAGCTAATTCCACGTTAAAAATAAAGAAAGTGCACAGTAAGATGAAGATGACCATGGTCATGTTTTAGGTTTCTCTGCCTCAACACACCTTATTTTAAACAGTGGGTGAATGCCATGGCTCCTGCAGAGCTGGGGTGTTGGAGCATCTGTTAATCCGCCAAGCTGCTCATACTCCCCAGTTTCTTCTCCTCACTGACTGGTACTTCTGTTACCATTTTTGCTTCCATTTTTATTTTCCTGCAGGATCCTGATGTTACTTTTTCTTTAAGTAGCATTTGAAAAATATTCCCCATTAAGGTTTCACATTCTCTCTAATGATGGGGGCCAAGTCTTTCTTCTGGGATCTCATAAAGCCCACCACTATTTCATCGTTTCCATCTCCACTTTGTGTTTTACTAACAACCCCAACGTGTCTTTTATTAAAACTGCTGGTGATGTGTCTAAAGAACTGGTCTAAATTAGGTTAATTACCACAGTCTCTGTTACATGTGGGCACATCCTTTGAGTTGATGATCCTTTTCTAATAGCAGAAGATTCCAGAATTGGATCTTGGATATTTAAAAGAATGCTCAGAAACTTTAGAAAATCTTCAAGGAATTTCTATAAAGTTCACCTTAAAGAGTCTGTGTTCAGGATTTTTACACAAACGTGTGAGCTTTGATGTGTTTCTGAAATGTTCTGAGGTGAGGATTATTCACTTACTCTCCTGACAGGAGGTGGTCAGATGCTCCAACAGATCACATCCAAACACCTTCTCTTTGTTGGCCCCTCTTCTTCGAACCCTCCTCATCGCTTCCTGCCTGCTGTCTCCACCTCACATTCAGAGCCGCCTCTGCTTCTCCGCTCCTTCACCGCTGTCAGGGTTACTCCGGCTCTCTGTGCTGGATGTGCAGTCCAACTCCCTTACAGTGACTTTGTGACGATGTTGCACATTTCAGAGGTCCGATCGAGCCGCAGCTTTTGGAACCTTTGCCTCCTTCTTGAGCAGCATTGCAGCTGAAGTCTCAGTATTGTTCCTCCACCCTAACAAAGCAGATATAACAATGATTTTGCAGCGTATGTGCAAACAGCTTCAGGTTGCACATAACAATTCATGCAAAATCAAACAAACTGCAGTCAATCCTTAGTGCGCGGATGAGGCTTTCTACTTCCCCTCGATGAACTCAATTTATTTTCAAATATCAGGCCACACCCTTGCCTGGGACTTCTCCCATACAATTACAAAAACCTCCTTAAAGACCAATCTAATCACACTTTCTAATCATCTCTGAGCAGGTGGACCAATCTCGGCCTCCAGTCTCAGCTCCTGCTCAGCGCTTGTGATCATTGCAGCCCCAATTGCTCTCCCTATCCACATGTCACGGCCATTGCAGGCCCGATCTCACTGTAGCGGAAGTCGAGCTGAAAAATACAAACTCAGACATTCAACGACTCACCGCCCCATCTTCTTCATCTTCTTGCCACCTGCCACCTCCCTTCCATTATCTACCCATCCCTCTGTAAACATCCATCTTTAAATAACAAGGAGTTTACCATTTAAAACACCAGGAAACGAGTTAAAAGGCGAATAGAAGGGTCCCTACCTTCACTCTGTAACGGCACACAAGAAGCTGCATAAAATGATGACGCAAAAAACCACTAAACTTCCCCTGTCAACTTCCTGAGTCTCTCCTTCACTTGTGCTTTCTCTGTGCATGTAGCTCACAGTTCCTCCACCTCTGTGACACAGCAGGGAAATCAGTTCAATCTATCTGTTCAGAGCATCTATTTCCCTTTATGAACAATGTTTGTCACTGTTGTCCAAGCTCCGAGTGATTTATTCAGCCTGATAGGGAGTAGACATGTTCAAAATGAGCCACACAGAGGCTGCTGATGTGAAACCGTTCCCTTTAATAACAAGTTTTTAATCATGTTATATTTCAATATTAGGTGATGAAACTGATGTAAGCTCTGAGCTACTGTCAACAATAGAAAAGGCCCAAACTGATTTTATATGATTTAACATTTTATTATAGCTTTAGTGGGTCGGAATGATCATTTGTGCTCATCTTATAAAATAAACAAATGTGGTTCATCAAATTTTAAGGTCACATAGGACAAATTCAATATGTTTTACATTGTATACTATGTTTATTAAAGGCTACATTTGCATCTCTTGTTTTAAAAATGAACTATTCGGATCTTATTTAGACCATTTCTGATAATACGTTATGCTAAACCTCAACTTATTTGTCTGGACAGGGATGTATTTTTCTAACTTCCTGTGTGTTCCTGCAAAGTGTTTGATCGGCTGCAGCATTTAGCATTTTTTCCTTAAAAAAATAAATGAATGTTTATTTATGGAAATTTCAACAAAATATAATACTTTTTTTAAAGTGCAAAACCTCGTTCTAGTTGTACATTACCATGTATTTATTAAAGGTAATTAGTGTGTAACACGCAGGATCTATTATATTCATCATATGAGATATTTCATAGAGGTTTATCAATGTGCCAAGCAAAAATGACATCCTTCTCTTTCTTTAAGGCATTTATTTTTGAATAAACAGATTACACAAATAACAAATAAACACCAATGCTGTCTGTAGAGCTTCATCTAAAAATGCTAAACAAATTAAACCTGTAAAACATCAATTACGTCTTTCTAAAATGTTTATTAGCCTAACTAGTTAAAATGGGCGACTCATATTTTCTATTCATTGCACTAATGCTAAATTTCTCACTCCAAAATACCATTTTCCCTGCTTCTGTCATAGTGCGCATATAAACTGATAATTACGGTAATACAATAAAAACCGTCACGCGTAACGTTGCTCGTTTAACTTACTAGCACACCCTTTAGGGGCGGATATAATACTAAGTAGCGTTTTAAACTGCATATAAACAAGAGTAAATTTAAATTTTTATAGTTCAAAATATGTATTAATAAAATATGTATGAAAATCTATTAAAGTCTACTAAAGAAAATGTAAAAAATTTAACTCCGCCTGTGCGGACTGTAATAATTAAGAGGGGGAGTTCCTGCGTCTGCCGTACGCAGACAATTGTGTCGTAAACAAATACATCTTCTACTACTGCCTGAAATGTGTATTAACATTCGCTGGGGACAGATCATTAGAGATTCGCTGCCCTAAGTTGCACCTAAGCGTTTGCAGCTGCATTTGTTTGCTTTCTTTAGCAGTTGAGTCATGGAGACAAGCAGTTTCCAGAGCCAGTTGTTGTCCGTGGTGGAGGTCCTGGCCCAGGCTGCTGTGGCGGAGATAAACCGGCGTGTGGATGATAGCTGCGCGGTGCTCCGGCTGGAGCTGAGCCAGAGCCGGAGGGACATCGAGCTGCTGAAGAGCAAGTGTGAGGTGATGGAGGCAGAGCTGAGGAGGAGCAGGAGAGCCAGGAGAGGTGATGGAGCGAAAGTTACCATAAACACGTTATTTGGCCGATCGGGACACTTCAACAGTCTGTGCTGATCTTCTCTTTTAGTTTGCAACATTTCTGCAGACGAGACATTTTCCTCTTCTGCGGAGGTTTTAACCAATCAGAGGTCCGACTGGGACAGACAGGTGGAGTCTCCGAATACACACCAACAGGTATCGTTTATCTGTCCAAGCACACGAGAAAAACTATAAACGTAAATAAACAAATCAGATCATAAACTCCCAGATAAGAGGCATAAATTACCTCAAAACATTTATTATTTTCAATCAGTTTTCTGCCATCATTTAATCTAAGTAGCAGATATTCCAGACGTTTTGATACTTGCTTTTGTATTATTAGAAAAAAAAATACAAATAAATAAGGTTGTCCATTAACAGAAACAATGTGGCACGTGGGCCACTTAGGGACATTGAATTGATATTGTATGGTCTGTGACTGCAGTTCAAGAATGTTTATAAGCACTGAAAAGGATGAAATTTGCTGATACGCCTGTAAAAATGACGCAGGCCAGTCAGTTTTTAAATGTTGTGGAATGGAAATGCGTTAATTCAATAATTTTGTTCCGTGTAGCAAATGTAGCCATCCCAGCTTTATCCTGCATCATTTATAACCATAGAGATCGTATAGTTCACCTGTCAAACCTGACTCATGCTGATGAAAACTGGCTTCATGCTGTAATGTTTTACTCATCCTTCATTTAAACAATCTTCAAATTCTGGTGTGCAAGTTTCAGAAAACGAGTCACTCTTACCACAGTGTGTGTGTGCATTTTTATTAGGGTATTTAAATGCCTCTATGGTGTGTTTTGTTGCAGTGTTCAGACAGTAAACTTAACATTGAAGCTGAAAACGTGCTGATCAAGCAGGAATGTGCAGGGGATGCATGGAGGAGCGATGCACAGGATACACAAAGTGAGTGAAAACACACAAGGACTGATTCCAGTTAGTCCTCCACATTTAAAACGTGATTTTGCTGCAGTGGTAAAGTGATCAAGATTTAAAAAAAATCAGTTCTTTTTGCATTTTAACAAAGCATGTTTAGGTTTGTATTTTAAAGTTTAAAGACAAAAGCTGCATAAAAATATCTGCTTGCACATTTAAAGCTAAACTTTTTTGTTTTAGTGACAAAACATTTTGTTTGTTCTCCCATAGGTAAAAAGTTGCATTTACGGCATAAAGTGGTTAAAAACTTGTATTTTAAGATGCATTTCCTGGTTCTCCCTTCAGTTTCTGAAACTGAGCAGCTGCCGTGTTTCAGCGCCACAGAGCCGACTCAGACGGAGAGCCTTCTAGAAAGCTACCGCTCACCTGGAAACTCTGCAGACGACTACAGCAACACGCTCCCAGAGCAGCAGCTCAGCAGAAACCTAAATGAGGCTGAATTTTTTGTGAAACACGAGACTGAAGAAGAGCCCAGAGAGAACGCTGCTCCGCTCAGCTCTGGTGGTACATCTGTGACAGAGGAAGCTGACGCACGGTTGTGGCCAATCAGAGATGATCCAAGCACCTCCTACGCTTTATTTGGGTCTCAGGACAGATCACAGGACGATACGATCCCCAAAATTCACGTGGAGGAGAAATTTCATTCTGGGCATCTGAACTTGATGAAGGCGAAGAGACGAGTAAGAAGTTTTGGATGTAGGAGACCGCAAACAGATCAAAGACTCGGCTCTTTGTCCCAGAGTAATTCAAGCTCCATTCCTCAACAATCACAGGATCCATGTAGAGACGAGACACTACACGAGGAGAATCCAAATTACATGGTGGCGACAAACAGCACCATCACTGCCTTCTGGCAAAGCTGCAGCAGCTTCAACCCAGCGAGGAGGATGAGGATGCCCCAGAGGTCCGGCCTCGGCGAGAAGAGGTTCACCTGCTCTTACTGCGACAAAACCTTCACGAGGTTCGGCCAGCTCAAAGAGCACATGAGGAGTCACACGGGTGAGAAGCCATTCAGCTGTAAGCAGTGCGGCCGCAGCTTCACCAAGCAGTGCAACCTGATCCGACACGCGGTGGTCCACAGCAGAGAGAAACCGCACGAGTGTTCGCTGTGTGGGAAGTGCTTCACGCAGCGCTCCAGCCTCACATCGCACCAGAAAACGGCACATTAACGCACATTCCTCTTTTTCTGGTCGTTACTGTAGGTCACTTGTTTATTTATGTGTTTAAATGTGTTCCTGTGTTAGATGGAAAAATAAAACCACAAGCAAAAGGAATCAAAGAGTCGTATTTGTGTCATTTGATAAACATTTACAACTTCTAAGCTTTGGAGTCAACCCAATCCAACATGGCCACCATAGCTGATCACAATCATGAGCAAATGCAGATGGTCAAAGTATCTAAGACTCATTCCTAAAACATACTCTTCTTGTTACTTGATAGCACAGCATTTTGCAATATGACCCAAGATGACACAAATTTAAAGATTTGACCAAAACATCAGAATGAATAAATCGCTTTGATTAAACCCGTCTGGCAAAAAATTCAGCTAAACGATCTCAAAAAGCAACACGTCGTACCCCGTTCTAAAGAAAAGCAAGAACTAAATAATCCAGAACGTTCAAAACCCTGCAGGCCTCACTTGGTTAAGGTTAAAGGTCAACAACAAGAAAGACTTTCACAGGGAAGTCCCCATGCTGAAACCTCTGAGACAAAAATGCCACAAGGGCCTGTTCCACATTTAGAAAGGAACACTAATAATTCCCAAGAGAAAATATTCACAATACAATAGTGAAACTTTCTGAAGTGTGTCCCGTCAGCTGCTGCTTAGCAACAGCCGGGCATGGTGGTGTTAGTGTGATGGCATGTGGCTGCTTCAGCAGCAATTGATGGTACCACGAATTTTCTTCTGTGGCAGAAAATCCCAAAGGAAAATGTCTGACCTTCGACCTTTACCAGAAAGTTTATGGTGGAAGAAACTCTGATGAGGCTAAATTGAAACAAATTGTACAAAACAAGCCCCAAAAGCTACTAGAGACTCATCATGACAAACATTTGAGTCTCCAAGCGCATTACAACCAGTGAGAGATCACTGTTAAATCTGACCTGAACAATCAGGCGCCGCCGTTTCATGACTGACCTCAGATCTCTGCGTTGCTTCGTTGGGATGTGATGTCATCAGTCATCTCTGAAAACAACTTCTTTAAGATGTCTGAAAAGCAAAGGGTTTAAAATGAAAGTTTCCTAGAAAGTAAATTTTTTTTAAATGTAGTCACACTAAAGAAATAAAACTCACACGGAAAGCTGAGGGAAATTTTGTTATTTGATCAGAAAAAGGACAACTTTTCAATCCGCATTCAACCAGCAAGGTAACACAAACTTTTTACACAAATATACAAAGAGTAAGACATCAATGTTTTCCATAAATATCAAATGAGATCTTTTATCCTGTAAAATGGAAAGTTGCATAGAAAAGTAGTGACAGGAGCATTTATGTACGTCGCTGTGCAAGTTCACGAGTGGCTGCAGGCGTTATCTAAAGCCCGCCGGCAGAGGGGACGAGGCAAACGCCACAAAAATATAAAAGTCAAACCATTACATTTTTACACTGGAAACCCTTAACGTCTGCAAAAGTTTAAATACAAAACAACATAAAAGAGGATAAACTCTGGTAATGGATCCAAGTTAAATATTTCATGGAGTGAAGAGAACGAATATTAGCAGCTTCCCCATCTGGAGGAGTCTTAGAAGGAAAAACAAGCTATAATTTATTCAGTAAACATATTCCATAAAACTGGACTGATAATAGATACCAAATCAAATCCTGCAGCTTTCCATTTAAATAAACCATCTCCAACAAAAACAACTCCATTTACTGAAACTCTTGAATTTTCTGCGAGTAATTTACCAAATCAGGAGGTGCCAAAGGATGATTTAGAAACAAATTTTAGAAGGAAATGCATCTCAGCACCAACATGTTAATATAACACATCCATGGTAACAAGCTCTGTTATAACACTGTTGTCATGAAACCGTGTCTGTTTTTAATGCCTGTAAAATTAACATTCTTTCATTTGTTATGCAAACCATGGTCAGATTGGTACGAAATGGGTTTGTTTTAAATTAATTTTATTATATTGTATATTTTAGGTGTTTTATCAGTATTTTGGGGCCTTTTTTCACCACATTGTGGCAATTTTAATCCTGTTTCAAAAATTCTGACAAATGAAAATAAAGTTGACTCACCTAATGAAATGAACTGTAAAAGGACGTTTGCTGTAAAAAGGTCCTTATAGGGTTCGCAAAACCAAACGAAGGTTTGGTTTTTATTCAGACTTCAGTGCAGGAGAAAGAATTAGATTTGTCTCAATGAACATAAAAAAATCAGATTTTTAAATTCACACAAAAAAAACAAGGGATCTTTAACACCAAAGACGAGAGCAACAAGAATAGTTTTAAAGAAAAAATATGCATCTCACAATATTAAATATAAACAGGTTTGTTTCAGAAATGAACTGATGCAGGGTGAGAGGATGAAAGCTTCTTCTGCTAGCTGGAGAGTCACACCTGATGGCTTAAAAAAATATTATTCATCTTAATGTTTTATGTTTAATGTTGAAAAACACTCGTGCTTTTTATTGTTGTTTTTTCTGATTTTAAACCATCTCCTTACATCCAGGACACTAGTTCACACCGGGCACGCGTGTGTCCCTCTTTCTCGTTTGTCCTCCTCTTCCTCTCGACCGCTGGAGCAGTCCATCGCCTCTCCGCTGTCCGTTTCACTGCTGGTGAGCATCGGAGACCAGCTCTCTCCGCTCATCTCCTCCATTCTTCCCTCCACCCCTTCATCGCCTCCCCCGTCTCCCCTCTGCCTGCAGAAAGGTGGGATCTCCACAACGACGTACTTCTTGGCCCAGCTGCTCGATGCCGCTTTCTGTCGGAAATCGTTTAGCATCGAGCTCGAGTCGGACTTGGAGTTTGTAGCTGAGAAAAATGGAACAAATGAAATGACCTTTGAATAATTTTGCTGGTTTCACTACAAAACTACGAACAACAAACTATCAAAACTAACGAGACTGAATCACAAAATAAAACCAGCATTGTACAGGGAAGTGAAACCGATCTGCATTTGCGATGAAGTTTCCAAAATATCTTGAAAGGGTTTTGAAGATTCTTAATTTCCTCGTGTGAGTCGCTCGGTGTTTGATTTGTGAGTCAAACCTTTTTCCCAAAAAGCAGTCGCAGAGTCATGAAGTGAATCTGGAGCCCGTCTATAACCCAGCTCAGTGTCTTTTGGAGTGAGAGACAATTTCGACAGGACCGAAACACTGACTGGAGACTAGAGGAGAATCTGATATCTTGAATAACTTGCAGTATTTTGCATGAACACTGCAATTTATTCAAAGTAAAAACATTTACAGGTAAGTTTAAGAGCTTCTATTGAAGTGACGCAATCAGGAAAAATCAATCAAATAAAAGAGCTGTGCCCACTCTTGCAGCCGTGACGTGGCTGATCTGAGCCAGCTTTGGTACAACAGCAACTACAGTCCAGCTGCATAAAAACAGCTGGAATGAAGCTATTTGGTTGAAAAATAGCACAAGCTCCCATTAGAGCGTGACAGTTTTCCTACTTGAGTCTTTTTGCAGAATAAGTTTCCCTCTGAAACCTTGCTGAAGGTGAGTTGTTACAAGATGACAAGACTTTACACAAGGCTGAGAGATGAGATCTGCAGAGCATGGAGTCGTGTTTAACCGCTGGAATTACGTAGTTGAACACCACTTTCTAAAAACAGCCATCTGTGATTGTGTTCACAAACAATAATCAAAATGGTAAATGGCCTGAATTCAGTGGTGGGCAGTCAGGGCCAGCAAAGCCTTCTCTGCTGGCCTAAACATACTCAAAAGCATAAATGTATTTTTTTTCCTTTGGTAATTATTTTTAACTAAAAAAAATGTTTACTGGTCTATTTTCTTTATATCCTATTATACCCACTTGGCTGTGCTGCTTCCAGTGTTAAAATACCAAGGCTGGGTCTTATCCAATCAGATTTAAGCTAGCTTGTGTTTTCAGGCAGATTAAGTCTGCTCTAGGCCTTCAGAATCAATCGAGAAGCCCACTGTCCGCTGTAAGTGAACAGAGACGATCTAGTTGCGATAGCCAATCAGCTCACGAGTCAGCGTGGCCCGGGCCAGCTAGCTGGCCTCACGCAAAAGTTGACATGAACGCATCCTGTGATTGGATGAGCAGTAGTAAGAACTTTTCTAGCGGCATGAAGCAAAATATCAAAACTAAACACAGAGATTTGTATCTATAGGCAGCTATCGGTGTATTTTTGAACACATGATGGCTGAAAGAGGAGAAGAGACCGACTTGGTTGCAGATTTACTTGCCACACCATTTTCAAGACGGACCTTTCAAGAAAAAATGGATCTTGTGAGAACAGGTCGTCTGACTCCAATGCTAGCTGGCTTGTCCCAGCAGGGGAAAGGATTTGTTCGTCATTTTCAGGCAAGCAACTATGAACGGTACCCATGGCTAACAGCTTCAGAGAACCGCTGCAGGTTATTCTGCTGGGAACGCCTGTTGCTCGCATCAGATGGATTTGGTAGCATTAAAGCACGTTAAAACGTACGCCAGAAACACGACCGGGCAGACACGGCTTTCAGCCTCCATGTCCGTAGAAAAGGATCCACTCATGGACCTGAAGCGCACAGATAAACTGTACAGAGCCACTGAGGTTTTCCTGAGGAAAGAAAGAAGGATGGATTTTATTTTCTAATGAGCAGGAGAGGAGGAGATCCATGCTGGACATTTACGTTGGTGAGTAGAAACATTTTATTAGTATTTTTTTAATGTTTTGTCATTTTATTTTGTTAATAATCAATAAATGGTAACGAAATAAAATGGCAAAATGAAATTATTCTGTGTTCTGTTTCTATGCAATTTATATTGTGAATGACGTGGTGTGTGCAGCTGCGCCAACATGTTCAATTGTTTCGCGGTACAATTTTCTCCAAAACAAATGCAAATAATGTGTTTGCTTTACTTATTTATTTTATTGTCTCATCTCTTAAACCCATCTTTCATTTCTGAGATTTGACAGTATCCGTGGTCAGCTTCCTGCTCTCAACTGGGAATGCGAGTTTGATTTTAAAGACTCTGGAAATTATGTGTCTTGACCAGCCACTGGTGGGTGGGTGGGGGTGGGGGTGTGTGTGTGTGTGTGTGTGTGTGTGTGTGTGTGTGTGTGTGGTTTCTCCAGCTGTGATGTCCTATTGATGGTATTTTAAGGTGTATTAAATTAGATTGGACTGAATAGGAAATCACTGAAGGCCCAGGGGTGGAACGCACCGCCCGCCACTGCCTGAATTTGTATAGGGCCTTCTTAGGGTTCTACAATCCCCCAAGGCGCTTCACAACACAATCAGGCATTCACACATTCACACGCTGGTGGGAATGAGCTACGGCATAGCTACAGCTGCTCTGGGGTGCACCGACAGAGGCGAGGCTGCCGAGCACTGGTGCCACCGGTTCCTCTGACCATCACCACCAGCAGGCAAGGTGGGTTAAGTGTCTTGCCCAAGGACACAACAGCAGCATTCTCTGGTCAGAGCCGGGATTGAACCTGCAACCTTCCGATTACTAGACAACCTGCTCAACCTTGTTCATGAGTGAGGGAAGGAGAGAGTGATCGACAGGCGGATTGGGGCCGCGTCTGATGCGGATGCTGAACCAGTCTGTTGTGGTGAAGAAGGAGCTGAGCCGGAAAGCAAGGCTCTCGAGTTATCGGTCGATCTACCGCCCAGTCCTCGCCTAAGGTCACGAGCTTTGGGTTGTGACCAAAAGAACAAGATCACGAATACAAGCGGCCAAAATTAGCTTTCTCCGTGGCGTGGCTGGGTTCAGCCTTGGGGATAGGGTGAGGACCTCGGACATTCGGGAGAAACTCAGAGCCGAGCCGCTGCTGCTCTATATCAAGAGGGGTCAGTTGAGGTGGTTTGGGCATCTTGTTAGGATAGGGAGCCTGAGTCTCCTTCCTTTCCGGTCGGCTCATTGGTCCCCCGAAGAACGAAAAAACGAATGCAAGTCAACGGGGCTAAAAGAGCCATTTTCTAATCTGCTGTGCCTTACGCCCTGGATCACACATATGTTGTGCTGCAATTTAAATGAAAAATAATGATGGGTGTTTCGACCACGCCAGTCACGTACGTTGAGATTTATCAGCTTGTAAAAGTTTGTAATTAGCATGACTACATCGGCATGTCGCATACATGACGTCACCACAGAATCTCCTCTCCTCTAGCGTAGCTGCTACTTACCACACGGCTAGATTTATGGTGGTTCTTTCCTCCTGAAGGCAGGACTTGAAGTTTGCTGAACTTACAGCCATCTTCCTCTGTTTTTCTCTGTGTCTGGTTCGATGACGTCACTTTTGTAAAGTGCATTTGTAGTCCTGGACTTATTTTTTTACACAAAACCTAAAATAGCGTTCCCCCCTCTCGGTCAAAAATAAGCGTGTTCTTAGTATCAAAAAGCTTCTTTAAAATTCATGGACATCATATGTGAAATCCATGGAACATAACAAGCGGAATTAGAAAATAGACCATTTTTTCGTTCTTCCTGGGACCCTTGGTCTGGAAGTAGATGGGTTTGACTTAGGCTCCCTATACCTCCTGGACGCCTCCCCAGGGAGGTGTTTCAGGCGTGTCCTGCTGGAAGGAGGCCCCCTGGTCAACCCAGAACATGTTGGATTGAAAGTACATCCCCAAACTGGCCCAGGAACGCCTTGGGGTCCTACCGGAGGAGCTGGTGGAGGTGGCCGGGGACAGGACAGTCTGAAACTCCCTAGTTGGGATGCTGCCCCCCGCAACCCGGACCCGGATAGGTGGAAGAAGACGAGAGAAGAGATCCACTCTACCCCCTGAGCCACTGCTGTCCCAAGACAGAGTTTTTCAAAAGTGTGGAACATTTGTTTAACTAATACATTTGCAGTGGTCTCTAGTAGGAATGGATGCCTTGTAAGTCGTGCTCGGGCACTAAAAGAACACTGGTACACGGTTTCCATGAACTAGAAGCGAGCCAGATCACAGCTGAGCTTCAGACGGCAGGTTTGGAGTCTTATTTCCAGATATTTGGACAATTCCGATTGGATAACAGCAACTCAACTACCACTGACTTGACACATGGATGTTTGATCTCAACAAATAACACAAGTTTGAAGGCGTTCTGCTATGTGGTGAAGTTGCTAATGCTAACAATTAGCTTCCACTAGCAGAGACATTCTCTGCTGTTTCCTGGATGCTAAACCAACAACAGCCTTCCCCGTCATGAGTCAAGGTGTGACAGTGTGACGTAGATCTGTCAGGCTTTTCTATTTCATGCGTTTTCCCATCTATTTTCTATCAGAAGCTAATGCAGGAGATAGGTGTAGGAGATTATTTTCATGTTCTGCCTGCATGAAAAACTCAAAGTGACCAATTAGAATAAGAAATAGTAACAAAAAATGTTTTTTTCAGTTCTTCACACCTTTAAGAATTACCTTCAGAAGACTGCAGCAGTCTAAAGAGTTGACAAACTATGTTATAAAATAAACACTTTTGGAAAAAGAAAAAAAAAAGAGAACATTTTCACACATTAGATTCTGTCTAACATTATCCTTATATAAAAAACAAATCATGTAAAATAAACAAATGGTTTTCAAACAAACATTTAAATAATTCACCTCAGGCAGGCTGGTGGAAATTAGAACAAACAGTTCCTCTGATCAGGAAAATGTTCAGCTTGTTCAGGATCACCCAACTTCTCTTTCGGTAACCATCACAACACTAAAACTGGTATTAATACCGCAAAAAGGCCTGACATGAAAGGTCACAATCAATAAATCTGCTGTGGTCTCTAGGATGAGTGAATGCTTCGAGAGCTATTTTCTAAAGGAAAAGAGCTCTGGGGCTCCTGTTCCAGGGGGCAGAGGTTCGTATGAGGAGTGAGGGGAGGAAAACGGCACAATTACTAGTCTTACTTATAAATATTCATGATATGCAGACATCTCACTTCCGATTAGCTGACAGCAATGCAACTCGCTCTTCTTTCTTGGGTAATAAATGTGACATTGATGTTTTATCTCCAAAAATAACAAGCCTGTACATGCACCACCATGTTGTGGAGTTGCTAATGCTAATGGTTTGCTTCTTCTAGCTGAGATGCACTCTGCTTTCTCCTTGAGAAAAATCTTTAGTTCAGCATGCATGTGCAACTCAGAGTGAGGAATCTTATTTCAATAAGAACAAGTATCACATGGTGCGGAACACTGAAACCCATTTTTTTAATGATTATTTCTGAATAAAATCGGTCACTCTGAGGTTTTCATGCAGGCTGAACATGGAAATAGTCTCCTACACCGATCTCCTGCTTTAGCTTCTGATAGAAAATAGACGAAGACAGCAGAACAAGCGGTCACATTGACTCACCCACACGGACTCGTGCTGGTGAAGCCTATCGTTTTAGCATCCAGAATCAGCAGAGGATGTCTCAGCTAGTAGAAGCTAACTGTTAACATTAGCCACACAACCACACGACAGAAGCTCCTTCGAGTTTGTGCTATTTGTGGAGATAAAACATGAACGTTGCAAGTCGGTGGTAGAGTCACGTTGCTGTTATCCTCTCTAAGGCAAGGTGTCCAAGCTAGGGGTTGTATGAACTAGTCGACTAGTCAACCTCACTGCTCTGTAGTGACTTTTTATGCCTGTCATCGACTAGTCGCTGTCACGTGATAATGACCGGAAAGATGCAGTCCTCGGAAAAGACAGCAGGTGACGAGCTCCTGCACGTCGGGAGGCAACGCGCTGTGCCAGAGCGTCGGCACTGACACCCGCCGTAAAACGGACATTTAACCAAATTGTGACCTTCACCCTCTTGCAATTTAACCTTCCCCTCACCCCCATCCTAACCTTAACCAGCTTGCGCATGCAAAGCTCTGATCGTTGACGCGCTCCAGACATCTGCGTCCTGAGCACGGCCACAGTAACATTATCAAATCAGGTGTCACCACCTCAAAAACTAATTTAACACGTGATCGTTCATGTCTGCTCATTTCCTTTTCTGTTTTTTGTCTTTTATTTGTGCCTAATGCGTTTCGCTGCTGTGGAGCGGAGTGCATCACCTGTTTCGTCCTCCGGTGATTTCACTCCACTGGTGCGGCCGGCGCGCAGCGCGCATTCCGCTGTTTTTGCGGTCGGTAGATCTTTTGGAACTGCAGTTCAAAGGTAACTCATGAGGTGAATATATATGAAGCCAGGTGGCAGTTTTCTTTAGGATTGAGAGGAGATGCAGGAAGATAATAAACAGAGACAGGACAGAAAAATAGTCAAATAAAAACAAGTTAGTTTTTGTACCTGCTGGTTGCAACAAACAGACACCATTGAAGGTAATCAGAAGTGAGGAACAGAAAATGAAATAATTATTTTAATGTTTAGAGCAGCAGGAACTCCGAGAGGCTGCAGGCGCATCAGTGAGTTTGCGGCCGCTGCGCAGGGGGAGGGGAGAGAGGGCTGAAGCAGAAACTACCGATGTTAAAAGAAATATGTTTGACTTTGAAAATGTGGGTGCAATTTTAATCGTCAAAAACTCCAGCGAACCAACCCCCACCCCCCCCCACCACCCCCACCCCCGCTTCAGGTGTATGACGTCATCAACGACTAGTCAAAGTTGACTCGATTTTCATTACTTGACAGTCGACTTTAAAAAAAAAAAAAAAGTCATGCAGCCCCTAGTCCAAGCATCAGGAAATAAGACCATATCCTGCCATGCTGAGCTCTCCTCTGATGTGGCAGACTTGTCGGTGCTGATCCATGCGTTTCTGGGTTTGTTTGTTTTTTACCTGAAGTACAGCTTGTAAGGCATTAATGCCTAGTTTCCCACACCTTTAATATACTGTTATCAGACAGTTAAAACAAACACTTTCGGAACACATGCTTCATTACTGCGTTATCAGCTACAGCTCTTCACCATTAGCAAGTCATAGCGACCTAGCTAAAAATGAGTCCTATCACAAAGATTTTGTTTCCATCAGTGTTTTTCATCCAAACAGGAAAAAAGGGCCTGGAATGAAGTGTAGTAATTTTCCTGTTACTATCAATACTTTGGGATTGCTTTTTTTGTTTTGTAAAACTTTATGAGCCGTTAGCTGAGGAGAGAGACTGACTCATCCACTTCCTGCATAAAAATCTGCTTGTGAAAATTTCAGTGCAATTACCTGGAAGTGTGACGGAGAGCTGATTGGACGTGCAGGTGACGGAACTGTTGTTACTGGAGCTGACAGCGGCGGCAAGGTAGCACATCTCAGCGCGGGGTAGCTGTGGTGACACCGGTAAGGAATGACACTGTCTCCCTGGCAGCTGCTGCCAGTAAAAGGATGCCTCCTGCTGAGATCCTCCAGGTCGATTAAGAGACGGATAGTGACTGAACGCGCTCCCTGGAGGTGAGTGCAGGTCAAACACCAGAGAGAAGACCGACTTGCTGGGAACATCGTAGAACTTGATCTTTCCCCCGCACAGATCCTCTCGAGCAATGAAAGGGTTAATCTTGCGAGTTTTAGGGGTTGTCCAAGAGGTGGGGGGGTTGTAGTAAGGGTCCTGGACATTGATTTTTCTTCCTGGTTTGCAGGAGAAGATGTCTGATTGGCTGCGGCTGAGCCAGATGTTTCGTCTGGGGCGAGGGGATTTCGGAGGGATTTTATCATTTTGACATCCAAGAGGGTTCAGTCGCTTAAAGCCCTGGATCTTCTCACCTTAAACAGAGAAACTGGAATTGCTGTGACTGTTTTACACACAAATTGTAATTAAAATATCCAAGCATGATATATCACTAAACAGTTACAATGCTAAGTAATATCCATACAACCACTAGGTGGCAGTGCAGGCTAATTTCTGTAATAAAATGCAGCAATACTCACTTAAACTTCGACTTTAAACTGTTTTCTAATATTTATTATGAGATTTTTGGAATTCATGGCAGCAGGAAAAGACTCCAGATCTTTGATTTGCCCATTAACAGAAACAAAAAATCAATTGAAACATGCATGTTGTCCAGGAAGGGTGAGGCTAGCATCTTATCCTCTCATGTAATTACTGGCTTTCTGCATCCATTTATTACAGGAAATAACCGACCACATCATGACCGAGAACAGAAAATGCCTTTGAAAAAATAATTGACAAGTTTCAGTTATGAAACATGAATTTTTCCTGCTATGAGGAGTTTGGGGCTCAGGAAACGGTGATTTTATCAGCAAAGAGAGGAAAAGGACAGAGGGAACGAGGGAGATGAAGTCCCTGGTGGAACAATCAACAGCTAATAATCCAGAACATATGTTCCACACAACAAATAAATATTCTGTCAACTTTTCTTATTCAGTACATCAAAGTCATGGAGATTTACGACCAGACATCACACGGAAGAAGTTTGCCACCTGTCTGGAACCATGTTTACGCCTGATGGCATCATGAGTCGGGTGTAAAAGGAGCCGTTTGGCTCGCCTGAACAAAAATGTTACTGACCGCCGGCCGACTCGGAGCAGGTCAGACATAAAGGCAGCCAAACACCAGACTGAATCTAGAACTCGGACCTCAGGAGTCGCACAGCAGAAGTGTTAGCCATGAAGCGCAACAGCAGCGAGTGCAGAGGTGGTTTGTCTGGTACCTAAATATATTAACATTACAGAAGGTTGTGAGTGCGACTACCTTTAGTTATTGCTTTCTTCTCGTTGTCATCGCTGCACTCGTGTTCCATCTCTACAACTTTAAGGCGAGCGAAAATCTCATCCAGCTGCCGGACGATGTCTGGGAATGATGGACGGAGTTTAGGATCCATCTGAAGAGAATACAATTTTAGATATATGAAAAACTGACCTCGCTAATATTTTAATGTATTTAGTAATTAAAGGGCTTAAAAATATTATTTTACTCATTTTTGAATCAAATTATTCTGGTTTAGTTTTCATATTAAACAAACTTATCGGTATTTTTCTGTATACGTTTAGAGTAAAAAGGGCTTTTAAAAACAAGGTTTATGGAAAAACTATTACAGAAAATGGGAGAAGAAAAAAATGAGACTTCATTAAACACAAAGTACTACAGAGAGTACAGCACAAAACACAGGCTGCATAGAAAATAAGACACCAGGAAGGTTGTCAGTTTCAGCTTCTTCCATCACACGTTGAAGTGTTTCTGGACAAAACACCAAACCCACGTGTCCCCTGGTCTGCTAATGGGGCTGTGAATGCGTGTGAAGCGGCTTGTAGTGTAGAATGACCACTGGGTGGTAAACAAAACTGTAAAAGCACTAAATAAACGCAGTTCGCAACCGTTAAAATCGAGGTGAAAACCAGATCCAGACATCAAGAGACCATTGTGCCCAGAGAAACGTGATTTTTATGTTTGGAACTTTAATTTTAGGGTCATCTGATCCAGGATCCGATTCAAAGAGAAGACGGTTCTCCATACACTAATGTTTCAGATAATTAAGAAGAAAGAGGAAGGAGAATAGGGATGATGAAAGCAGGACAAAAGACGAGGATCAGAAGAGATAAAAGAGACTTTAAAGGATCAATCAGCAGGGAGCTTCGATATCTTTAGTGCACCGATCCTCTGTGGGTGTAATTAAACTCCGAGCAAACACAGAGGAAGAGGAAACCAGTTTTATTAAAGTGAAGAACGGATGTAAGAAAAAATCTAAAGCAGATAAAAATGACATATTTTATTCATAACTTTATTTATTCTTGGATCTTTTACTTGAATCTGACAATAGGTGGTCCAGACTGAGAGAACAGAAACCCCAAAAGCTAAATCAGATTAGTCAGATAATCAGATTGCCCCTTTTTTTCTTAACAGGAGTCGCCTAAGAAATTAAAAAGCAAATCCAGAAAATTCTGAACAAATCACTGAATAAAAAAAATGCTTCATACAATATTTAAACCTCCTTGTCTGCTTTTGCACTCAACAGTTTTCCCACAGGCCAACAGCAGCTGCTGGACAAATCCTAATTTCTGATTCGACACAGACAGAGAGGCTGTTTGGACGGCAGGGTGGTGGACTCACGTTGCAGCAGTTGAAGGCCAGCTGGAGGAAGTCAGGCGGACAGTCTCCAACCATGTGCTGGAACGTGTGATAGTCCAGGCCGAAGTTCTGCACCACAGGACGAGGGAGAGGAGCAGGAGGTTCGATACACGACACACAAACGACAAACAGGAAACGGATCATAAAGAAGCGATTAAACTAGACAGGCTTCATCAGATGTTTGACATAGTGCAACTCTCCTGCCAGAGCCAGTTTCGTGCCAAACTAATCCCTCTGACATTGTTCCAATACGCCTGCAGGATATCAAAGACTAATAACCCGCAACTTATTTCTAGCTTGGATTTAGGTCTAAACCCGACTTAAAGGTGCAATCTGCACTAGGATCCAAAGGATCATCCCTCCAATCGGCTAATTTGGTTGATGATTTTGTGCTGGTTCCGTTTTAACGTTGAACGATTCAAGCTGTGCATAACTTCATGTTGGCAAATAGCAGTTAACATGTTGAGCAAATGCAGCAAATACAACAGAGGACAGAGTTTAGTTTTGAATTGTGTAGGAGAGAGCACCGTGTTTCTGTTTTTGTATATTTTGCTTTAGAAGAAGTTGACTTTCTGGTAATTCTTCAAGCGATCTTTTGCAGTTCTGTTACTTTTGAATCTCGACAGCCTTCATCTTTCTATTTCAGTTCAGTTTTTGCAACTGGTCGTTTTTGCAGAGGAGCGGATTCTTAAATGACACGACACATGTTTGGCATAAAAAAGGAAACTAGAATAAAGAGCATAGCTGCCTGTCTCTAAGACGCATTTCTTCCTAAAGCCAAAATCTCACTGGACAGTTATTGTTATCGACAAGCTGGAGACACTAAAGTGTGAAAGAAAACTTTGAAATCGCATTGAAGTGTGTGTACAATGCTTTTGTGTCAAAGTTCCTATAATGACGTGGGGGATCTGACGAACATGCATGCATATCCATGAATTAACTGTTGGAGTTTGTTTGGAATATACTGGCAATTTGGTCACCAACGCCTCCCAAACGAGTCCCACAGATTTTTAAATTTTGGTGCTGAAACTAGTTTGAGAAACAGTTCCCAAAGCACCCTAAAAAGCTTTTTCCTTCAAATTTCAAACAACCGCACGGTGACCCCCTGCAACTCAAACGAGGAAACCAAGTTGTTACAAACTCTCGGGAATGCCGTTTGCCTTACTTGGTTGCATCTATTTAAAAAATTGTTAAACCTAAAAGAGAAATTCTCCTTATATAATGAGGACAGGAAGGGCGTAATACTGTTTTTGCACGACAATATATGGAAAGCAAAATTACATTAAGAGAGCTTTGAGTGTCACACAGTGACAAACATTAAAACATCCCTTCCCTGTGTGGGAATACTTTCAAGTGTAGCTGATAAGACGCTAACAGGATGAGTCTGTTTACACTGCAAACATGCAGACGGAGAATTAGGAGGCCAGGTGGTGGAAAACAGGTGAAAGGGAGATGAGCTGTTAGTTACCTCTGTGCGAGGAAGGAAGTCAGGGTCGGCCTGGATCCTTGCAATGATTTCACACAGGATTATCCCATAAGAGAAAACATCAGCCTGGAAATAAGAGCACACAAATACACTCAAATGCTAAAACATCATCTGTGATGTTTTAACACGATGGTTCATATCTCAGAATTTATGAACAAAGTAAATAATCCTCTTGTAGATAGAAAAGGAAATTGTGACATATCCTAATTTAGCTCAAAAGATGAACTCAAACGGAATAAAAACCAAATAAAACCTATCGAAATGAGTGGCGTTACCTTCTCGTTGTAAGGTTCATCTCTCAGCACCTCAGGGGCCATCCAGAAAGGAGAGCCGACCACTGAAAGCTTCTCTCCTTCAGCCCTGCAATTAACAATGAATTAAATGAATTCACTTCTTTATTTTGTTACAAACTTCAACTTTGTGCTTGCATGAAGTTCCAGTAATGTTAATCTTTTGTTTCTGCCAGATTAAAATTGGTTTAGTTGAAACAAAAATAGTGTAATTTTGTAATTTTATACAAATTTTAGTCCTCCTGCAGCTCTGAAGTTAAAACCAGGGGCTGATGGGATCCTCCGGTATTCAAAACACAAGCAAAAGAAAAAAGTGGACTGTAGAGTGCCTGACCTGTGTGTTAATAAATAACCCCGGTATGAGGAGGAGGAGGAATGCATTTTTAGTGAGTTTGGTGTAGGAGCTAAAGTGAAAAATGAAGAGATGAACAGAACAAAGATGGACACTAAATTCTTAAAATCTGATTTATAGACATTCAAATGTGACATTTAAACTATATTTCTGACATCCCAGGAAGGTAGTTCATCTAAATCTATAATACAGACAGTCCTATCTATGAAAGAAGAGGAAGGAAGACTAATGATTTTTCAAGAGACACTAGTTGATTTTCAGCCAGAAGGGGGAAGACAAAACACCAAAACAAGCCTCACTATAGTTCTAAAACCAGTCATGTCCACAGTTACACGTCCGTCCTGTCCTTCAGTTTCAGCCACATCATGTTTAATATTCTTTCTTTCATCTGGTTTTCTGCTGGATATATCAGACTGGCAGAGCTCTCACAAACATCTAAGCAGTAAGGGATCATCATTTCTAACACCACAACAGGAGTGGAAGAAGAAAAGCTCCCACTTCTCATTGTGACTGTTCTACTGATCCTAATCCAGACTCTTACAGGTTGGTGGGGATCTTCTCAGCCAGGCCAAAGTCGCCCACCACTGCTGTGTAGCTGCTCTCATCGCATTTTATCAAGCAGTTCTGTGAAGACACAAACCCATAAACATAAACGGCTACTTGAGGAAGTTGCAGCACAGGCGGATCAAAAAAGGCAAACCGTAATGCGGCCGAGCATCATCATCATCAGCCGGACCTGTACTTCCTATTTAGAGTCATTATCGGTACAGTGTGCATTACACGTTCAGGTGCTTCCTCTTCAGCAGATTAGTAAATAATCTACTGTTTACCTGAAACTGGAATCCACAAACACCTCTCCAGAGGGTTTAGTTACTCAAGTCACATTTTTACGGTATTTTTTTATTTCGTCTAACATTTACAGCTTCAACAAGAAAAATCAAGCTGATAAAAGTTTCAATGGACACTAAAGAGCAAAGGAAACATTAAGTGGTAAAAAGCATTTTCTCCTTGTACAATAAAAGGGAAATAGAAAATAAATCCTGTTTTAATTCTTGATTTTACATGAGACGTGCAACACTTTGTCTATTTATTCACCTAAAAATTAATTTGCAGAAATTAATTTCTAACTAATTCATGCAGTTATTATTAGCACTGTGGAGAAACGTCAAACTGCTCTACTTAAATGGTGTTGCTTCTGATTAGTGAAGTTTTTATCACTTCCCACCAAGGTTTGGACTTTGACCGCACCACTGTTCATAGGTTTTCATCAGTACTGTTGCAGATTTTCTATAGATTTGTGCCAAGCTCGTGGGACAAACGACTTCATGGTTATCTCTGGAACTCTTGAGTTCTCAAGGTCCTGTGCAGAATATGAGGTCATCAGTGAGATGTGATGTGTTGGAGATCAAAACACTCTTTCATATGTAACTGCATACAAAGGCATCAGTTTGTATCATTAGGCCAAAAGAATTAAGGCAAGACTTCCTACTTCTAAAAGATGACGTAGACTCATTTAATGCTATGTGTGCATTTGATGCCTTTAACGTTGACTGAAGTGGAGCTGCATACGTTTCCATTTTGTCTCCAGAAAAAGTGGGATGCTCCCTCCATGTTGGGAATAAGTCTTTGCCTTCAGCCGAGGAGTTCCCGTATCATAGTCTCTTGTACTAGAGTGAGGGTAAAATGGAGCAATCCAAGACTAACCGATGATGTGGATCAGGACCGTAGGTCAGGACCAAAAGGAGATCCTGGGTTTCGGCGACCAAAATGAGCTTCCTCCGTCGGGTGGCCAGGCTCAGCCAGAGATGAGGTTAGGACCATGAAAACTACTCCTGTAATGCCTCCAGAATGACTTCAAGCCCCTTAGGCACAGACAGAATTAACACCACTCTCTCTTTAAGTCATCATGCACAGCACTGGCTACAAAGATGTCATTTTTTTGCACTCGGCTTCTGCATGTAGGCTTTTTATTGTTTGGATTTGACTAAATTAATTATATGTTTTTCTTCATCTGCGGTTGCACAGTACAGCCCAGGTTTTTTTTTTGTCCTTTATCACTAATTTCTCCTCCTAATTAGTCGTAGCTAACCTTGGAGTTCAGGTCCCGGTGGAATATGCCTTTGGAGTGCAGGTAGGCCACACCGCTGGCAATATCACAGGCTAGTTTCACCCTGGTGAGCCAGCTCAGGTGTTTGTTGCTGTCTAGAAGCTGCTCCAGGTTTCCACCGTTGATGTACTAAAGAACGAGAAACACACACCAAACACTTCACATTAGTCTGACATGTAAGCAAGGCAGCAGGTGAGTGTAACATTCTGTAAAATGACCAAATGTGAAATTAGATTAAAAAATAATAAACAGAAATTCTGTAGCCTGCGATGGTCAAATGGAACATATTTATCTTATACGTGGCTTATATGACCAAGTGGAGACACCGTTTGTCAGCTTTGATCCTTTGAACCTCTCTGACCTTCCTGTTGGCGAGAAAACACGCCAACACACTAATCCCATGTCACACACTATGAGCAACAGTAGTTAACTAGAGGAAGCCAACAGGGAGTAAAGAGATGCTCTGGTTTATCTGCGGTAACTACGATGACTGACAGGCACAACATTATCAATGGTGCCATTTAAGTTTAAGTCAGCTATGATTTAATTCTTACATGTGAATGCTGGTGGGATTTCAAAAGTCAGACTTTTCAACAACACTAACAAGATTATTTGTCACTTATGAAAATAAACCACACACATCTCCTCGTGCTGAGAGAGATCCTGAAATGTGATAGGAGAAGCTATTTGAAGAACTCGTTTTGCAAAAACAAGTAATGTAAAAAAAAATGATAAGCAGGAAAATGTCTGATAAAAAAATGCTAATTTTCTCCAGGTGTTTGTTTTTTTAGCCATCAATTTCAGGTGGAGGTTGCAGGTTTGCCGCCATGCACAGAGATCACGAAGGACTCATTTATATTTTAAAAAAAAAAAGGTCAAACTGCCCAACTGATGTTGGTATGCATGACCAACAGGTACCATTTAGATGGAAAACCTGTGAAGTTAATTAACCGGCTGTATCCACGAATAAGTAAAAAGTACTGCCTTGTTGCACAAAGGTAAACTCACATGCCAAACTGCTTTTTTACCCGTTCATTATCTCCTAGATCAGTAAAGCACGATATAAATGATAAGAACTTAATGCCTGTCCTCACATCACACATGTTCCATCCTCTTTTGAATAATTTAATTACATTTTCTTAATATTTTATAAGATTTTGACTTAAACTCAAAATGACAACTTCAAGAACCAGAGGACAAATTTTACTGTTACACTGATAAGAATGTGTGACTGAGCCTAGGCCAAAATGCAAATTCTTAGGATTTGGCAGACAAGTGCACCTGCTGTGTCAACTAAACGTAGAAACAAAGTTGTATTTAAAAAAGCCTCTGATTATTCCCCAGGAATGTGCTTTGTCCTAATACAGAGTTACAGACACACCACAGTAATAAGTGTTCAGGTCATGTAAGCACACATCACCATCACGATGTGGAGAGAAAAGGAAATAAGAAACATATGCCAGGTGATAAATGTTGTGCAAGTTGCTCTGCTGCACTGTTGGCGATTCAGGCTAAGACCCCAGGAAAGACTCAAACAAAGAGTCCTTGTTTGCTGCTTCCAACAGTAATCCCGCCGTGGGTCGTGACTCACCGTTTGCCCCGAGAGTGTTTGAGGATGCAAGACGCAATAAAGTGAAGCTGAGCTCAACCAGAACAAGGCATCATCCTGCAGATCATTTTACCTCTCCAGAGCCCTCACGGGAGAATTAGCATGTGTAAACGTTAAGAATGCTAAATTCTTGAGAGTTGGAGCAGTTCTGGTACCAGCAAGCAGAAAAAGGTGTCTGATGAGGCTTTACGAGGTAACGTAAACCTAAATCAATCAGAAGCAATACAGAACCTGATATTTCTGCCGTTAGTTTAATCCCTACCATCGGCTGCTCTTGGTAATAACACCTTTAACAAAAATGTTAACATTTTCATTTGAAGGCACACCACACACTTCCTTGTGTTCACACATGTCTGTGCGTTAGTTAATGAGTTCCTTGATGTGACTTTGGGCGATGAAGTAACTTTATTCCACGTTTCCTCTGAGCCCAGCGTCATAGTGGGGGTCAAGTAGCTAAACCAGCCCTTGGTACTCCGTTTGGTACTGACAACAACAGGATCTGTTTACGCTGATAACACGCCCAAACACAGCATCTATGTATGCTAATTCCTACTGTAATCTGTGTCTCACAATGGGCTGATTCACTCTACAACAATGTGTCTGTGTGTCTGAATGTGTGTAAACTTCTAAAGATGTATTTAAGTGTGCAATGGAAATAAGCTGGTGTGCGTCTTAGATGAGGCTACAATAGGTCTATAGAAAGCAGTGTAATTAGGAACATGTGTGACTCTAGGAGCATCTTCAGCTGTTGTGTTCCTGCTACAGGGTACAGCTGAGGGCTGGAGCCTTCTGACATCTTTAATATGAACTAAACGCAATCATCTTAAGTCTTTGACTAAACTTTTATGAGCCACAGGACTCTAAAGCTCAGTGAATCATTCATCCATTCATGCACACACATTCACACGATGGTGGTGATGAGCTACATTATAGTCACAGCTACAGCTGACAGAAGTGACGACAGCGTGTTTCCTACCAAATTATCTCATGAACTAGGGCTGGGCAGTAAATCGAAGATTTATCGTTATCGAAATTTCTGACTCTTATCGAGATCATTTTTCCCATGTCAATAAATCTGATTTTTTTTTTAATTAAAAGATGTGTGTAGGTTGCCATAATTTATGTCCCTTTAACTCGTTCACTGCCAATGACGACTAAAGTCGTCATTTGCATGTTTTTACTGTGTGGGCGTCGGAACGAGCCCCCGCACAGTGAGAACAAACATCTCAGCTCTAAAGCCGATCTTCATCCGCATACGTCACACGTCACACGATCAGGAAGCAGAAAATCCATGTGTTAGATCGTTTTGGGCCGCTGCTGTAAAAAAAAGTGAGGCGCAAACCGGAAAAGCTTGTGCCGATCACAATTCAACAACAGATTATGAAAGAACGGATAACGCTCGAAACGCGCGCTTTCTTCCTGATGTAAGAGGTGAGTTTCCTCTTTGGTTTGGTTGTTTTGGTGACAAAATCATCCTAGTGCGCAACGTTCTGTGACTCTTAAAAAAACAGTAAAAACGGTGAGAAAGGCTGGCAGCGAATGAGTTAAGAAGCTGTACCACCTTTAGTCAAGTAAAAATGTGACGTGAGGTTATCTGGTGGATACATTTGGTCTCTGCACATACCCGTAGTTATCGTCCATTTATCGTTATCAAGGTGAAATCCTCAATATATCGTGATATTGATTTTAGGACATATCACCCAGCCCTATCATGAACCAATAAAAGCATTTTATTGTAACTCACAGAAACTCTATTAGATGTACTTCTATAAATTATTAACTCTCTGAGCCAACCCAAATCTAAATACAACACTGGTAATAAAGCGGTTTTGCTTATTTTAATCCCCCATCAGTAAAAAAATAACTTAGCAGCCATTTCATTTCAATCTGGAGGTTTTACTTGTGGATCGCTGCTGTAGCGACTAATTACTGATTTTCACAACCACAATGAATTACTTCCTCAGTGTTTTTGTTCACACATCTAGAAGACGGGAAAGTTGACACTTGAAGTGATGCACAAGTTGAAGCATGCCTCTCTGCAACCTTCTTGTTGTGTCTGTTTCTATTCAGGCTATCTCCTATATTAAATTCTTCCTTCCTATCTCTTACCGCCTCAAACGCACTTGTTATGCACACTTAGGACATTCAGTTCTTTGGGTTTTCTACAATTTCAGGGATTTGTGCCAAGTGTTGTGAACATGGATGACGTGAGGTTTGCCTAAGAATAGTAGGAACATAAACCAAGCTCAATGGTAGAAAAAACAAAAGAGAACATAGCTGTACCGCTGCAGTGCCTTTCATTAGCCGAGACATTTTGATCTCATCTGTCATTAGTTTGTTCTGAAACTTGAATGTGAAAGAGTGTGTGTGAGTGTATGTGTTTTCCTCCTACCTCCGTCAACGCATGAAGCTGGCCCTCATGGACACACACTCCCTTAAACCTAGAAAGATACCAGCAGACAAGAAGAATTCATTCCCTGTCACATGAAACTCTAACCTAATCCCACGGGGACATCAGAGAGAAATCAACTGGAAAGTGATTAACAAACAGAGTTTTTAAAGTTTTGCTACAAACAGATTTTGTGTGAGCATCAAAGCAAATTGTGATACTTCTCTGCTATGAGTTAAAGTAGAAAGCAGGAAGAAAAGAGCAAACCTAAAAATTCCAGAGGGCAAGACCGGACAGGCGATTACTGTTACCAGGAGAATAATAACCACTCATTCGCTTCACCTGCATTCTTCCTGTTGCCTATCAATTTCAAACTCTACAAACCCCACCCGCATCTTTAACACTTGTGAATTCCCTGAAGTCTATTAAGCTGCAAACATTTAAAATCAGGACTCGATGCAACCGATTTTTTGCAGCTATCTAGACTTCCCCTTGAGATCTGAGCGAGTTAATCCTTTTTACTGCTCTGACAAAAAGCCACGGCGTGTGTCTGCAGAGCAACATATGAACTAACTTTGAGCTGCTTTAAAGACCTCATAACTCTGGAGGCAATGGAAAGGTCAAATTTGTAGGTCCTGGCTGGATTTGACCAAACAATGACTCCACAGTGTGTTAGTGCACACAAGGAAACACACACTCAATGCAGCACAAGACATGTTCAACAAAGATGGCATTGTAAAGGATGTGTGCACGTGTGTGTGTGCGTCTTTGCACACAGAAAGATATTTATGCATGTTTATGCATGTTTCGTACACATACTCTCCCATCCAGAAGTTCAGAACAAGTGTTTTCTACAAAGGAAAACCACAACAACCCAGCTCTGGGCAATTAGCCGTTCTCACTGGTACCGTATTGATCATAATTTCCACAAGTTAAAACATTTACTAAAAGAACCAACTTCCTTTTGAGCTGCTGCATCGGTTTTAGGTCAGTCTTGACAACAACAAAAAAGCCACATTTAGAATAATTGCAGGTAATTAAATATTTTAAAAAATGAAACATTTGCATTTTTTTATTTTATTTTATTTTATTTTTTACAGGAGAAAGACTTTGACTTTGATTCTGGTCCAGCAGCGCACTACCAACACTGTTTAGAGTGAGGACGATGTGCTGCTGACCTCGACTCGGGATGTTGGGGATCGGTGGGCGGAGTACTTCGAAGACCTAATCAGTGATGAGATCATTGCAAATGCTGACATGGTTGTTCAGAGCCTCTTTTTCCCAATAACTGGAATGGTCATCTTTGGCTCTGATGCAGCAGTATCCAATACTGTTCCTCAGGAGCCTCTATCCTCCATGTTTCAGTCGTTTCCTTGCTTCAACACCTGATTTAATGGTTGAATTACCTGTTCAGCAGGTCATCAAGCTCTGCAGAAGTCGGTTCATCTCCTACTGATTAAAATCTGAGAAACCTCTAAAACATGCAAGGGTCAGAGTCAGACACCAGCGCTATAATGTACCTGGTGCAACTCTTAACAGGAAGTGGCAGTTCAGAGAATTCACTGTCAACAGGTTCTGTGTTTGATTCGGTTTCTAGTCCCCCCCAAAGGAAACAGATCACAACCACAGATCTGTCCGCTACAGGAGAGATCAAGGCAGAAGTTGAGAGTAAAACTCAACTCAAACTTTATTTATAGAAAACATTTCCTGCATAGCAACGCAATGCACTTTACAGTAGATAAAACACTTCTCAGTCATTTATGTGAAGCAAAAACATACACTTTAGTTGCTTCCACATTAATGATCTCTCGTTAATACCAAGAGGATTAAAATTCACATTATTTTTCCTATTTGTAGTTTGAAACTTAATTAATACGGTTTTAAAGTCTGCAATTTCCCAAATACGTTTAATATTTATAATAAACAAGACAATCATTTGGTTACCAACCTGAGTATGTTGGGATGACAAAGCCGGTTCATTAGTTGGACCTCTCTCAGCATGTTGGCTCTGTTGCTGCTGAGTTTGTTCATCTTAAGGGCCATAACTTGGTCTGAAGCTCGGTGACGCACCTGCAACACAGTCAGACGGTTCAACGGAGAAAAGAATATTTACTGAATTATGGTGTTTGCAGAAACAATATATGCGTCTTTAAATTATACTTAAAGTTAAAATAATTAAAAGGTTCAGAAATTGCAGACGTGGACTTCATGGAAAAAACAACTACTTTGTTTGAATGCAAATATTTGACAGGGAGTGGGATCACACCGGAGGTAGACGAGTGAAATGAGGTCAGTCACTGCTGGCCAGCCACATATGTCATTTCAAAACTGTATGATCAATTTTGTATTGTAGTGCAGTGGAAGCACTGGGTCTCAAGTTTCGACTGCTCTGGCATCACCAACCACCGCTACGACTGACTGGATCTGAGTGTGCCTTTAGTGAAAGGTTCTGGTTCACATTTAAAACAGAACATTTCCTGCTGTGAAAACAAAAAAGTGAACCATTTTCCTGTTTTTTGTGTCGAATGCCCACGAACAACGGACAAAATCTTCTAACGCTTCAGCTATCACAGTTTCTTTGGGTTGCCCCAATGCCTGATGTTTGTTTTAATAGTTAGTTAATCAAACATCATCGAACCACAAGTTTCAGGCTGTCAATTGCTCATTCATTCTCATGAATACAGGCAAAAAGGCAGCACACAAAATGACTGAGCTGCTGCAGACAGAGGCGTTTATCTACCTACACGTGCTAGCTCATTTCCTGGAAGCAGCAACATATTTAGATCAAGATGAAGTTAATCCAGCTCGAGTAAACTGATCCTCACAGCTTCAGATAAGAATGCAGCTGTTAGAAATTATTCAAAGATCCCACAAAATAAATGCAAAGCTGAGCCGCTCGCTGTTCTCATTGGTGGTGATGCAGATTTGACATGTAAGTCATCACTGTGGCCATCTCATGCCTCACTACACAAAATACATGAGGGGCGTCAGCGCTGCTTAAGTGATTCTCAGGGGAGTTACTTACAGATTAATGAAAATACCGGATAAAAAACTGTTCTTGTGTATAAACTGTCCTAAATTGACTACAAGAGTTGCAAACCATGTTGACATCTTCAAACAATGTCTTTTTTAGTGTTGTACTTAAACGAAGCCACAATGACAATAATTAGGTTGCATGAAGTGGAACTGACAGTTCACAAAGTCTGAACGGATTGCACAGGCAGCTCTCATTCAAAATACACACATGGACAAAGGCATGTGAAAAAGTGGCACAGGGTCATCACCGTTATCTACATGATCATAGATTTCAAGGATTTGGATGATGCACGTCTCTCAGAGGCTCGCGAAGACAAAAATCTCTCTGTTAAAGTTCAAAGAGGGGGCGTGGCCATAAGAGGCGTCAGTCTTCACCACAGGACTGCAGAAACAACAGATGGCCACTCCTCTAAAGGCCTCCTCCCCCCACATCCGTCTATCCTCCTCCGACCCCCAATTCCTCACTCTTCACATCCCCCCATGTGCATGTGTTCCTGATCCCCCTCTTTTCTCCTCCATGCTGCGACTTCAAACAAACCGTCGTGCCCAATCCTAATCATTCCCTGCAGTGGTGGTAGTAATATCTTTCTTCTCCTTCTTCCTCTGATGCCCACCCCCACCTCTGAAGGAAAACAATCCTTTTTTGTTCAGCTCCTCTTGAGTCTAAAGATCCAACCAACCTCTTCTCCACAAACTCCTCTTCATCTCCCCTACAGCCCTTGTCCAGACCTTCCTTTGTACTCGTCTGACACCAAAAACCTCATCTGAACTCCCCTATATTCACCTCCTTCAACAGCGTTCTCCCACAACAGAAAGCGTTCCTGCCACAGTGCGCGGCTTCTCTCATTATTTTCACCACTTTTTCATTTCTATCACTCTCCTCGAAGCTCGGTGCCCTGTCCTCACCTTTGAACTTACTTTTCTGTCATGATGCAGATTCTTTTCTTACAGGAATCCAAGCGTTACTCACAGGAATCTCCCTCAAGTCTGAGGTGGTACCTATATTTAATAGCATGCTAGGGGTATTTGTGCTGGTGACTAAACTATAAAGTCTGTCTGAACACGATATGGTTCATAAAGCCTTTGCCTCTAAAACAGACACCGGATGAAACATGCAGAGCTACATAATAAACTATTAAAATGACTTTAGTGAACGTCTAGGCTAGTGCTCATTAGTGTCACTCGCAGGCTCTTTGACAGCCCTGTATATGCTAAACATACTCCAGTGTGTTATTATAGCCCGTAACACGTGTTTTTGACAGCTGCTAAAGAGGGAACACAATGGGGTTAGAATAAACAAAGCACTGATGACAAACGTGATGGTGCAAATAAAAAGTGATAATCACAAGAACATATTTTACACATTAGCCACCACTTGTCAACACGGTAACAGTGATCAGCCAATCTCCATGACAGAACAAAGTCAGACCAGTTTATCAGACCATTGAAGAGCTGAACATCATTTCTCTGAACCAACAAACATCACAGTTGTTGGTTTATCGCCGTGTGATAAACCGGTCCTAAAACATGAGTGCAAAGGAAAGGAGCAGAAACCAGCCTGTTAATAATTTGATAGATAAATCGATCATGCACATTTAACCGGGGCTTTTTCTAACTCCACTTTCCATTTGTCAGATTATTTCTTGTCGGCAAAGAGTGAAAACCCTCCACACAGAAGCGTAATTCGATTCTGTGTGTTTAAACTTTTTAGAAACACACAACATTCTTGTCATCTGTCATTATATTGCTGGAATATTTTATTTACACAAAAATATTCCTTTAAAAAAGTCATAAATTTCTGAACAAATAAGCCTAGTTTGATAATCTGACACACTTTTGCAACTTCAATGAGCTCTTTTACATTTTGTACTTCAATCGAAATAATATAAGTCCACAAAAGTCCCTTTAGGATCCTGGTTATTGTGTTACAGCCAACAAGAAATAAATATGCATTTGCATCTTTTAATGGATGATGGGAAAGTGCTACTCTGACCAGCAGTCACAGGCCTGGAGGGTGCGGGGTGTTTAAATGATGTCTAACTTGACCTAAAAATGTCAAACCAGAGCCAGTTATTGAACGTAACCCACAATCAGTCTTTGACAGACCAAGCAAATCAACCTGACAAGATCAGATCAAATGGAAAACTACATTAGATTCAACAGCATCACTGACAACATCCAAAACCACTTTACTTTCTTGTCTGATTTTAAAGATGTCATTCACTTGTTTTTTTTTATAAATCTGCTGTGGTCTCCAGTCAGAATGTGAATCGTTTATGGAAAAAGCTCTGGAGCTCCTGTTTGAGGAGGTAGAGCTTTGTCAGAGGAGTGGTGGGCAGAAAACAACAGGATTACAAGTCTTACTCAATAACAGTTATGATGTCCAAACATCTCATTTCTGATTGGCTAACAGCAACGTGGCTTCCACTGCCTTTGTTTGTTCTTCTAGTTAAAAAAAAAAAAAAAAAAAAGCAACACTGATGTTTAACTCCACAAACGCGAGCCTGAACATCTTCCGCCACGTTGTGGAGTTGCTAGTGGTTAGCTTTTACTAGCCGAAACACTCTGCTCTCTCCTGGCAGCAAAATCAACACAGCCTTCTGCACGGTGGGCCCCCCATGAATAGACATTTCCCAGATGAGACTGACATTTCCTAACTCACTCGTTTTCTTGTCTAACTCTTTCCAGCGGCTAACGCAGGCGATAAGGTCTAAGAAAAAAATTTTACATTTATTACACTGTGCGACTTTTTCACTTTTTTGAGCCGATTTTCCGCTCGTGCGAGAATCCACAACATCGGGGCGAGTTTTGCGCCGAGCGTCGTGTAGTGTACAGGGGGTTACGAGAGGCGATTAACACCACGTGACCAGCTACCGATCAGCAATCGTGAGCTCGCACGGACTTCTGGCGTGTTTGATATTTTGCTCATCCCTCGTGAGGGTATCGCACTGTTGAAGCGGTGCGGCGAGCAGCTGCGACCCAAAAAGTATCAGAACCGCTTACAGCGCATGCTCAATCATGCATCAACACCGCTCACCCGCTATTTCCCTAATAACACACATTGTTCGTTTTTGTTTCTACACGTTTTTTGACTCACAAAGATTGTCAAGAAAGCGTGTTTGTCGTGTTCAGGTCAAATTAAACTGATCACAAAACACAGATTTACTTTATTTCGTTTTCCTCATCCAACCCCCATAAATCCCTGTGTGTCCCTCAGCAGCACTCCTGAAGGACAACAGGCAAGACAAAATAGTCTGACGTGTAAAAACTGCCATTTTTAGCAAATTTTTAGGTCCGACGTGTTGCTACCAGACGTACAGTGTGAGCAGTCAGGTCGCATGCAAGAACTGGGTCGTGCAGTGTGAGCACATGGCTCGTGAGATCTGCCCTGCGAGGAAGTCGTACAGTTTGAGCTGAAGCGGAGTGCTACGACTGAAAAAGTTGCAGTGTTCGCCCAGCTTTACATGCATATGCAACTTAAAGTGACCGACTGTACTTCAAAAACAACACGGATCACACGGTTTCTCAATAAATGAGACGTTTAAAAGTGCATTGAAGTCTTTTCTCCACCCACCTTGAAGACATCTGAGAAAAACCCAGAGCCGATCCACTCACAGGCGAAGTCATCTAGGCGTGTCAGACAGGAGAAGGCGCTGATGAGGGCTCTGTAGGAGGACGGACACACCCTGCCCACCTGGATAAAGCAAGAACCAACAACTGGTGAAAACTGGGAAGGACGTGTTCATGTGTCTTTAGACAGAATCTTTATTCAACATATTTCTGTGGACTGTTTCAATCAAAAGCAAATTAGCAACAAAACTAACCTGTGAAGATGGACCCATCTCACCGTTTCCTACCCCTCCAGTACCGTCTCTGTCGTCATTGAGGCGTTCGGGCCATGTAGGGAACCCAGCAATAGAGTTACGCTTCCGATCCATGGTGACGTGAAAGCAGGTGACACCAGTGAGGGTAATATGGGCCTTTTTCTAGAATGAACCCACATGACAAGAGGACTGGCTTGTTTTAACGGTGCCGAGAGTGTCACGGCAGCACAGTGTGTCTTCAGCTTGTGTCCTGGGAGAAAATATATCTGACACATAGACTTTGGCTTTCTGATTTATTTTGGGCTTTCCTGTTGATGAACTCTGCCAGGATCTGTGTGGATTTTTAACAAGCCCAGTTCTTCGCTGCTTGTAAATGAGAACGTCTGCATGATAAGAACTTATTCACATGTTTGACAGGGGAACAGTCAGTCATCGGGGACCTGGAAAAATAAAGCAGAAAATAACCAACATGCAGGTATTTTGTTACTTTTCTAATGTTGTGTTGAAATAAACTAATCTGACTTGTGATCACAGGCTTTTTTGTAAATGTATAGAAAACTAAAGGAACAAATTATGAGCTTTAAAACCAACTAAACGTGCAGACTGACTGATCTAAGGATTGATGAGAGGAACCATTGTTGCTCAAAGGCTCAAATGTAATGGGTGTAATAGGGGCTGATTGTCCAATTATGGGAGATTAGCCAAGAAATAGTTCAGGTCCTGGACCTTTCTGCCATCCAAAACACAGTCAGCGGGGTACAAACAGGGACAGGAACGGAAGTCTGCAACTAAAGCTCTTTGTCAAATATGTAAACAATGTGGCTTTCATAACTTGCAAAAAACTTTACGCTAGAGGACGATTTTGTTTATAAATCATGTAAACCCTGGTGCCCATTTCCTGAAATATAAAGCAGGAAATCGCCTATTATTCATGTTTCCCTTTGAGGACATTTGTGAAACCCACTGTGCAATTTTAATTGTCACATAAAGGACCAACAAACGGTGACCTCCTCTGCAGCAACTAAAGTAAAGAAAATTTTTAATATAGTAGGAATATAACAAATTCCTTGCTAAATATTTAAAAACATTGTTAACCTTTGAACTCTTTTTGATTTTGTGACAAACTGTGACCTCAAGGTCACCACCCGTTTTCCTCCAACAAAGCCCATAATTATGTTTTCTGAAATGTCTGTTTGTGCAAGCCAATGTGATGCATTGCAGTCATTTTTGCATAATCTTAGGAGTTGAATAAACATGATTAGGGCTGCACAATGTTAGGAAAACCTGTGATATGCGATAACAGTGATTAATATTGCAATGACGATATTATGTGTGATAAATAAAAATTTAACTCAGGAACAAAATAATCAAAAACAAATAAATAAAAAAATGACAAAAAAAAACTCATAAAAATGAGAAAAGCAAAAATGTGAGGAAAGGGGAAAAGAAAATAAACACGAAAAGGCAATCAGTGGAAAAGCAGAATCAGCAGTAAGAGCAGAACTAATGGGCCATTCCCATCTGTACCTGGTCGGCCCTGCCCGGATAGCTCCAGTCGGCCCCAGCCTGGCCCGGTTGATTCCACACATCCTTGCTTAGGTGTGCAAGGAATGCAGTCAGAGACATTTTCAGCTTCTAGGTAATCAGCATGATAATGAATTGAGCATGCCTTAAGCCCATGTGGGCTGATTCGACCCACCAGTCAGAGGCTTGCAGTAATGGAAGGTGTGAATTTGCTGTCAGCAGTGGGTGTGTTGGCCCTGGTCAGCCTGAAGCAGACCCCCTCAGAAAGAGGGCTGAAAAACAGTCTCGTTGCACCCTGAAAAAAGGCAGGCCACCGAGATATGTAAGCAAGCTATGCTATCCGGGCCGGGCCAACCAGGTACAGATGGGAATGGCCCATAAGCTAACTCAGGTGTTTGCTAACCATCAAAATTAAGTGCCGTCTGCCTCGGGGGCGGGCATCTAACCTATGAGAACCCACCCAATTGGCCGAATGGGTGATGAGCTCTATTTGATTTCTTAAAAAAACATCATGCTTCCGTTTGACTGACAGAATGCATTATGTGTAGCAAACATTTGAGCTGACCATTCATTACGATATTTATCTGTTCTTTGCGATATGCATATTGTGCTTGCTGATATCGCGCTAACGATATATTGTGCAGCCAAACATGACTAAATAACAATGCTGAATAGGTCCTAAAGAAACGTAAAAAACAAATGTTTGGATGTATAGGTTAGTGAAGGTCTCAAGAACTAATGTCAAAATGCAAAAGTCAATCTCGGGTCCAGGTGAAAGGATTAGATCCCAACAACAACAATGACAGAGAGTGCATTCCTGTAGCCTAACTGAAGGCTTCAGAGAGCGTTCTCTGTCCCAGTTGTGGCCTTAAAAGGGTCTTAATTCTTCTCAATCTTTTTTTTATGCTTTTATTTATTCTACAAATGACACCTAACTGTATGCCTTGCTAACATGGTACAGCAAAAGGGAAAAAAGGCTGCTTGTGCCAAGAAAAACACAAGCTAAAAGCACCAGGCCTAAGTTTTCCTATCTATTTTCAGAGGGGTTTCCATCCAAGAGCAGAAGCAGAGACGCATTTATGTAGTAAGTGAGTAGACGAGAATGGGTCAACAAGAACATTAGCTCACTTTTGATTCATAACCGCTTGCAGCAACCGGTAATAGGTTTAAAGATGACACACCTACATTAGCGCTAAAGGCAGCTCCTACTGAGAAAACACTCATTTCCCCAAACATGCATGATCACTGCTAATGATGCTAACAAAGCCTGAGAAACGGTGTGGTTAAATATTAATTTGAGTTTATTTTTATGGTTAGAAGAGATATTAACTAGCCTATTTTTCCACAAATTCCCAACTACACACCCTGATGAAAAAACTATTAAAAGAAAAAAGCTTCTACACAATAACATCTCCATGTCGCTACTATACTAAATGGCTTCACACAGAACATTAATAATCCTTGTAGGGCTTTTACATGTCAAAAATATTGGTAACTTTAACCTGAGAAAGTTCTAATTTAATGTGAGCATAAATCAGATTGAGTTGTGTGAAGGCGAGTCTGGTTTAGTTCTTTATTGCACATACCGTATCTATTCAGTTTTTATGGCATCTTGTGACACACAGCTACTTTCCAAAGCTGCTCTAGGTTTAAACAGAAGCAGTGCAGTAGAGAGAAGCAAGACAACCTTCTGAGGTGGGAGGCGGAAACGTAAATAATTATCTGTGTTCTGACAAGCATGACTATGGCTACGTCTTTTTAAAGGCTGAAAGTACCATAAATCATGTGCGTGTGTAGCATGCAACCAGTAATATATTTAAGATTTGTAATGAATGTAAAAACAATATTTGTAACATATGTCCTATTTTAAATTATGTCAGCAAATTGATGAAAAATAAATCAATTCACTAGCTGTCTGGTTGGTTTATGATTAATTTAGGGTATTTTTTTAACATTACACATAGCATATGCAACATAAATGACAATATGTGAATACAAATATAACTTTATTTTAATATACTATTCTATTCTGAGAAAATATGACCACATTTTGAAATCACATATGCAAAGATGACTTTGACACATTCTGGAAAGGATCCGATTTAAGTTTTTGCAATTGTGTCCAATAGAATTCAACAAAAGAATGAGATTTTATGTCAAATACTTGCATTAACATATATTCAACTCATCATGACATTGCAAATGATAAAAACAAAAGTAGAGGCAAACCACCCATGTTGCTTACTATATTTGTTTCCAACCTCCACCCAGTTGCCTGTATTTTCAAAGGGCATGCATTAAAACACCACAGTAAAGGGCCACTGAGGAAAAGGGTAGAATTTTAAAGGCTCTTTTTTTGGTCTGTAAAATGCGGCCTGTTGCTCCTCCAAAACAGATGGGGCATCACCCTAGCAGCCTCTGGCCAAATGTTTCAAGAGTAGTCTGGGAAGGCTGAGCACAATCCAGCTGCATCTCAGAGGATTACAGGCTGATAGGACATGTCACCAATAAATCAAAAGTTAAGTAATAGGGTTGTCACGGTATGAAAATTTAACCTCACGGTTATTGTGACCAAAATTATCACGGTTTTCGGTATTATCGCGGTATTTTTTAAACGGTGTTGCATATGTTCAGAAAGCATTGATAGTCCTGTTCTACACAAACTGAAATAGTTTAGAAAAGGTTTAACAGTGTTTATTAAACCTAAAATAACACAAAGCCTTAGCAAAAGTGCAACTTTTCACAAGTAAAGGAACAAATAGCTTATTTTTCTGGAACATGTTACAGTAGTCAGTGCAGGTTTAAATTATACAAATCCAAACATTCGAAACATAAACAATATGTAAACAAATCAAAGAAACACCACTTGTTTTCTCATATACTTGTTTTCTTCATTATCAAAATGAAAATCTAAAACTCCAGTCCACACTTGACTTGAGCACTGTACAAGTCAACCTTAAAAAATATGTATTTAAAATAAATAGCCACTTTAAACAAATTACTAAAACAACTACTACACTATGTAATCAAATCCAAATGTTCAAGTATAAATGGCATTGAATAAGTAAACAAATCAATGACAAGGAACTAATTGTATATTTCTCTTCATCATCAACAAATAAGATGCTTCATCCAGCAACAGGGTGTCCGTGACACGGTTTAAATGCTGGCAGAGGACGCTGCGGCTGCAGTATATAGTGACTCGTTGCATTCTCCCTCAACCAAAAGTCCTCACGTCATGCATTTAAGCTAAAATGCTAATGTTGACTTACCTTGCACTGGCTGTGGAGACGTGGGTGATGGTCACGCAGATGTGCCATTAGATTCGAAGTGCTGCTGCCTTTTGCAGACACTTGTTTCCTGCACGTTCTGCAAACGGGATACCAGTCTTCTATTAACTGTCCCTCAGCGTTTTTCAGAAATCCAAAATATGCCCATACTTCTGATTTAGTCTTCTTTGAGGGCTGATGGATGTCCTGGGCGCTGCCGTCTCCTCCTTCGGCCATTATTTCAGCTTCAAAGTTTTGGTGCCGTTGCAAACTAAAAAGTGCGTGTGCGCGCCGCCGGAACTTCAGCTGAAGCGACGGTGGCTGGTAAGGGTCACCGCGCTGAAACCGCGGCCACGGTAAACCCACCGAGATAATATAGTTTTTTAAAAACTGGACGGTTATTTTTATTGTCAACTTTTTTACCGGGGTTTACCGCTATACCGGTTACCGTGACAACCCTATTAAGTAATGCGCTAATGTACGGTTGCAGCAAATCATTTCTAGTCACTTCAAATGAAACTGGCATGTTTGTATTTTCTGCAGATTTTTTAGTTGAAACAATAATACTGGTAAATTTAGAGTCGATCCCGTACCGTACACCCCCCCCCCCCCCCCCGTAAATATTTTTAAGGGATACAAAAGAATAAACAATAGCAAGAATTTCAGCAAGGCCACATTCAGCAAAAGTGAATAGCATCTCCTATCTGACCACAATCTACTCGGTTAACATCCAAGATATGTGAACCAGCGCATACCAGTCATTCTTCAATTCTTCGATGGTCATGGTTTACGACTAATGAGCCTATTTGGACCAGTACTATGTGGAAAAACCCTGCTACTACCTGGATGACAACAAACGTGCCTCTAATGACAGAAAAGCTAATACACAAGAGAGACAAATAAATAAAAAAGCAACAGCAAGATAAATATTTGTTAATTCTTTGAGAGTGTCTTATATTCCCCTAGACACAACGTAAACAAATCAGAGGCAACAGGCAGTGTTCATGTTTGCTCCCGTTAAAAGTTTAACGGACTGACTCACCTGCTATTTCATTGGAGAGCGTAAATGAACCGTCCAAGCAGAGTCCCATGGCTCTGCCCAAATTAGAATATATTAATTAAACACCGACACGGCGCGGCTAGCTTGGGAACTAGCGAACAAGCTTGTTTATCAACAAAACTGGAGCGAAGCGCGAAGCTAACACATTAGCTCGAGACCCTAAAAACACGCACAAAACAACAAGTTGCTCACTGCGACGATTTAAAAGTCCAAAATGTCCAAAGATTGAATCCCGAAACTGAACGCAAAGTCAGCGCATGTCCTTACTGTGCCTAGTAATTAGTAAAGTACGTTGCTTGTAATTGTAGAGCTCGTTTGATAATATTTCACGATTGTTGGTGTTTGACAACTCCGTCGTCTTTCTACTCCCATCCCACTGAGTCCGCCCACATTTGAGTGGCAAATTAATGAACCAATGGGCATGCACGCTTGTACACGTGACAATGTTGACCGTCTGAGTTTGAATAAAATACTTATTTACATTGAATTTAAACATTTTTGGGTTGTTAATAAAGGAAGGAATTAATTTAATATAAATTATAAAATGAATTTGATGTGAAATGAGTGTGCTTTTCTGCTAAATGAATGTAATTCTAGATGAGTGGTGGAGTTTATTGTTGATTATTTGTTGCCTGCTCGTAATCAAGTGTTTTTATTCTAGTTTCCAAGCTTTTGGTTAGAGCTTGTACAAGTTACAAGCCATAGTAGGAGACAGTTTCATGTTTGTATACAGAATGTTTTGTTCAAGATAATCATGGTTTAAAAAATAATAAAAATAATTTTCCTTTTAATTAAAACTAGTTGTGAGATGTTTTGATAAAGGACAAATTTTGTGTCATTTCATCCAGTATGATCATTAATTCTGGTCCCGGAGGGCCACTGACCTGCATGTTTTATTTGTTTCTTCACTTCAACACATCTGACTCAATGATTGAATCGCCTGTTCAGCATGTCCTCAAGTTCTCCAGAAGCCCCCAAGTTCTTGCAATAATTCTTCCATCGTCGTTGTGCATTTTCTGTATGGAAAAGCCAAAATAAATAAAAATGAAAACTTAAATAGGGAAAGTAAAGTCAAGTACTAATGGCCACAGAGCAAAATAAGTTGTTTTTCCAATTTGGTTTGATATCTCTCAAAGAACGATACATTATAGGCTAAAGCCTGTTCGTTGCTGTTATATTCAGTCTTGTTTTACACATACTTAAATGATTTCAATCAATTAATCAATCAATCAATCAAATTTATTTATATAGCACTTAATCCTACAATACATGCAACTCAAAGTGCTTAATAAATTAAAAAGGCCCCACATACCCACATTCCCTCCCATCCCCAGAATTTTAAAAACAGTCTGACAAGAAAAACCCCTTCACAACACTCCTCCACCGACACACACACACACACACACACACACACACACACACACACACACACACACACACACACACACACACACACACACACATGCCCCCTTCCCCATGGTAAAAAAAAAAACACACGATTGGCTGAGATCAGATGAGCCAGATCAGCTAAGATAAGGATAAGGAAATGCCATCAGGGGAGCCATCCACCCCGAAAGCAGCAGATCCACAGCAGCAGCCGAGGCACTGACACCGGGCGCGCAGGGCAGGGAGGGCAGAGACCCCCACCACCACCCAGGCACACATGGAAAGCACCCAGGCCACCACAGCCGACCACTGCCGCTGGGGCAGAGGGCTCCCACAGCGGAAGCACTGGAAAAAGGTTAAATTAAGGTTAAAATATAAAATCCAAAGAGCTAAAATGAGAATTGTAATATAAAAAGTTATATAGATATTAAAATAATGTTGAACATAAATCATGGTAAAAACTGTTTAAAAAGCACGTATAAAGAAAGAATACATTAAATAAATAAAGTAGATAGATAAAATAAATAAATAAACTAAGTAATTAATTAATTTAAAAAGTGAGAGTATTCAGTTAAAAGCTAAGCTAAAAAGATGGGTCTTGAGCCTGTTTCTAAAATCATGAACGTTCTCAGCAGCCCTGAGGTCCCCTAGCAGCTCGTTCCAGAGGCGAGGACTGTAGTACTGGAAGGACGCCTCGCCGTGAATATGTGTCCTGACTTTAGGGATGACAAGGAGAGGAGCGCAGAGACCGCGTGGGTTCATACGGTAAAAGCAGTGCTGAAAGATAAGAAGGCCCAAGACCATTAATACACTTAAAAACCGTTAAAAGTATTTTGAAATTGATCCTGAAACATATGGGGAGCTAATGCAGTGATTCTAAAACTGGAGTAATGTGCTCCCGCCTCCTGGTCTTCGTCGGGACACGTGCTGCTGAGTTTTGTAATAGTTGTAAACCTGAAATCCTCTTTTTAGGAAGACCAGAAAGCAGGGCATTGCAGTAGTCTGTTCCACTGGTAAGAAAAGCATGCATCAGCGTCTCCGTATTGGCTCGAGAGAGAATGGGGCGAACTCTGGCGATGTTCTTTAGATGATAAAAACCTACTTTTGGTGATATTTTTAATATGATGGATAAAAGTCAGCTCAGAGTCAAAGATGACACCCAGGTTCTTCACTTGTGAAGATGGATTAAGAGACAGTGATTGTAATTTTGGTAAAAGCTTCTCTCTCTGGGCCTCAGGACCGATAACTAAAACTTCAGTTTTGTCCTGGTTGAGCTGGAGAAAGTTTTCTGCCATCCAGGATTTGATATAAAAATGCAATTAAAAAGTGCGTCCATTGGCCGTGTGTCGTCAGGAGACACAGAGATGTACAACTGTGTATCATCAGCGTAACTATGGAAATTCACCCCGTGTCTCCTGATGACACTGCCAAGAGGGAGCATATAAAGGTTAAAAAGCACTGGGCCTAAAATTGAACCTTGGGGCACACCACATGTAATCCCATGAACCCTAGAGGAACAGGTATCCAAACTCACCATAAAAGTCCTGTCTGTGAGGTAGGATGTGAACCGTTGGTGAACAGCACCAGAGAGGCCGATCTGTTTTAAACGACTTAAAAGAATAATGTGGTCTACTGTATCAAAGGCAGCACTTAGATCCAGTAGAACCAACACAGTCACCTTCAGTTTGTCATAATTTACTCTAAAATCATTTAAAATCTTCAGAAGGGCTGTCTCTGTGCTGTGGTTCACCCTAAAACAAGACTGAATTTTTTCTAAAACATTATGGGTGTTGATAAAATCATTGAGTTGGATTAAAACAAGCTTTTCTAAAATTTTGCTTAAAAATGGTAAGTTGGATACCGGTCGATAATTGTTTAAATCATTAAAATCTAAATTGCTCTTCTTCAGCAGGGGCCTCACCACCGCCCGTTTAAAAGCGGCAGGAAAGACCCCCGTCTGAAGGGAGCAATTCATCATAGTTAAAACTTTTAAAAAGATTTTTAAAGAATCATAAAAATGTTTAAAAAACCTAGTGGGAATAGGGTCTGGGACACATGTGGTGGGTCTCACTGAGGAGAATACTTTATCAAGAGTCTCAGCTTCAACCAGGAAAAAACTGTCCAGTGTTTCCTCAGGTAGACACACACACTCAGATGTGCCTAAAACCGCGTTACGTTGAGAGGATAAAATGTTACATCTGATGGTGTCTACCTTCCCTCTGAAGTGGCTGCAAACTCCTCACAAAGAGTGTTTGAGGGGGGTTTCTGAGTTGAGTTTGGGTTGGAGTTGAGAATATCATTGATTGTGGAGAAAATAATTTTAGGGTTATTTTTATTGTCTGAGAGGATTTTGGAAAAATAAGCATTTCTTGAATTTCTTATATGTTTTAAGCAGTTCCAAACATATCTGATGATTTATTGTTAATTTGTTTTTCCTCCATCTCCTCTCCGCCTCTCTGCAGTTTCTCTTTAGTTTTCTTAGGTTTTCATTTCTCCAAGGTGATGTATGATGTGACTGTAAGTTTTTGGTTTTGAGTGGAGCAAGCAAGTTAAGAGCTGACTCTAGTCTTCTGTTAAATTAATTGATAATGGCATCACAAGGGGCGGAGACATTACTTGGAGGGATATTGTTAAAAGCTTCAAGAAAACCAGCAGCCACTTCAGGTTCTCACAGAGGGCCCGCACTGGATAACGCTGGTGATGTTAAAAAATACGCAATAGTGATCGGACACTGCCAAGTCGACAACAGAGGACACACCAGTGGACAGGCCATACGTGATGACCAACTCCAGGGTGTGTCCTCTGTTGTGAGTTGGCTGCGTGGCATGTTGGGTAAAATCCATATAATTCAAGATGTTTAAAAAAATCTGTGACTAAAGGGTCTAAAAGGTTATCCACGTGCAGATTAAGATCTCCAGCTAAAATAATCCTATCAAAGGAGTTGTGTAAAATTGATAAAAACTCTGAAAACTCTTGAATAAAAGGTGTACTCTGTCTAGGAGGCCTGTAAACAGTAACACATAAAACCTGAGAAATGCCAAAAGCGGCTGCAGTGTATTCAAAAGTGCTAAAATTATCAAATAAAACAGGTTTTGCTAAAAGTGTTGATGAACTTATAAAAGCAGTCCCGCCTCCCCTTTTACCATTCCTCGTTGAAAATTTGAAATTAAAATTGGATGGGGAGGCCTCTGTGAGAACAACAGAGACATCTGAACTCAGACATGTTTCAGTTAAAAATAAACACACAACTTCAAGTTTAATTTTCCATGCAAAGAACCTCAGAAACTCTCATTCCTTTTTTACCCATTTCAATTTTACTGCCACTGTGGTACTGATGTGGAGAAATTTAAGGCATATGTTTTGTTTGTTTAAGCAACTTTATTCTTTCAAACCAACTTGATTGCTTCACCAAATGTCCTGTGGTTACAATAACAACTCTTTGTTTATTATATTAAAAACAAGAAACTTACTGGCATAAGAATGAGCTGCATGCAAGTCATTTCTCTAACTAATGCCCAAGCCTTAATATAAATTGGTGTGGACATGTTTCATATTAAGTATATTTAAAATTGCCTATGCTATTATTGCAACAGCTCACAGTAATGAATTGGAGGTTTTTTCTGCAAGGGTCATAAGCTTGTGCCTGATTTCTTACATCTTATGGAAATGCAGCTTCCCCTGCTGGACAAACGTAGGTAGCATCAACTTACATTCGACAAAATACATCTTGTTGCTCTACACAAACTTGTGTCACTTTTTGGTGTTGGAATAGATTTAACGTTTTAGCAAAATGAAAAATTCAGTTGTTATTATTATTCCAACTTCATCTGTAGAACCGTTTAAATTTAAAACAACTTTAACAGCAATAACATGTTTGTATTAAATACAGGGATTTCCGTCTATTATTCCTTTTTTATTGGTGACAGTTATTTATAAAACAAATATGAACTGCTCTTTAACAACCGCCATACTCCTCCAGCAAAAATGTTGGCCAATCAGAAGCGCGGTATTTTCTCGTCACGTGACCACAGCCACTTCCTGTTACTATTGTACTACACACCCGTGGTTTTCACCTTTATCTCCAAACGTCAACGTGACCGTTGCTGTTTCTTGGTTGTTTGTCATCTCATACAGTAGGCTGGTGAACATCCACCACGTCGCTTCGGACAGCGTAGGCGCCGAAACGGGGCGACATGGACAACTGTTTGGCTTTCCAGAGCAAGTTAACCTCCATCATGGATGTGTTAGCCAAAGCAGCCGTTGTGGAAATCAGCAAACTGTGGGAGGACGGCTTTGCCTTCGTCCAAGTCGAGCTTCGTCGCAGAGAAAGCGAAATTCAAGCTTTAAATATAAAGCTGATGTCGATGGAAAAGGAGCGCTTAACGGCTATTTCTCAGACTGCAACTAATATGAACTCATCTTTTTCCATCAGAGAGCAACAAATCAAGCTACTGCCCCCTGCCGGTGATGGTAAGAACTGCAAAAATAAAAACAAATAACTACTTAACTACGTTAAGTTAAACTGAGCAGGTGTTTGTTCTTTTCACATTTGTTCTCCAGCCTACAATTTGAGCTTAATGTCCGTTTACTAAACGGAAGGGACAGATTGTTAATCCGTGAACATATTCCACTGTCGAAACGCCAGTGTAATAACCGTGCACAGTCCTGTCTGTGTGTGTGTGTGTGTGTGTGTGTGTGTGTGTGTGGGTGGGGGGGGGGGATACACAAAAATGTGTAAAAAGCTACAGCCTAGAGGCTTTTTTATGCAATGTCAGGAATGCAGAACTTACAAGTACACAGGTGGCAGGAATGGCCAATCAGACCTTAGCAAGTATCAGCAGAGGCAATAGATGAGCTTTTTGATGGTTCTAATGGCAAACAGGCTCCTACACAAGCGATTGTTTTCAGCTTGGTCCTTGTGCTCAACCAGTGTCTATTTAAAGAGGAAGTCACCCCCTACCAGAGTATTACTCCGCTCCCACTTCCTGTTTGAAAAATGCAACAAATGCTGTTGCCTAGCAGACCGAGAGGGCGGAGCTGCTAACAAATACATATACACAGGTCCACAACGACATTGTGACATCATATGGTACCAGCTAATGTTCTAGGGTACCTCTTAGCCAATAGCGATGGCAGATTTATATTCAAATACAGTGCAGAATTTTTACCTGACAACGACACAACACTGACAGTTTTAGGCTGAAAAATAAAAATTTAACTAAAATGCACTAAAGTGCAAAACTATTGACTACACGTGTCTGCAGCACGATTACCGTATTTTCCGAACTATAAGTCACACTTTTTTTCATAGTCTGGCTAGTCCTGCGACTTATATACCAAAGTGACTTATATATCAAATTATGTAGGCTATACCGCGCTGCTGCCGGCCGGCTCCGACCCAGCAATGAGCTCCCCTGTCCCACTGGAAGGGTTTGAAAAATCGCCATTCTCTGCTGGAGACTGTGGCGCGCTGCTGCGCATACCGCTGATGCAACAGCTGGTTGTTTATTCTGTTATTGTTACCGATACTTGTCTTGCATTGTGAAATGCTTGGTCTCAGATTTTGTAAGAAAAATAATAAAATGTCCCCCCAAAATGTGACATATATATGTTTTTTTCTTCTTCATTATACATTTTATGGCTTTTGGTGCGACTTATACTCCGGAGCAACTTATAGTCCGGAAAATACGGTAGACACGCATTTATATAGTTTATCAGTAAAAAAAATAGTTGATTTGGGGGTGACTTGCTCTTTAATAAAGCGTAATATTGTTTTTAGACTTTGGAAAAGTCAATCTCCCATAGATGTTACGTCCATGTATCAATGGGAGACACAACAGCTGAGAGGACCGAGATGCCGTATCTCCCGCTCAATGCTTTCCCCCTCCCAGGATTTACCCTGAAGTTCCGAAACACGCCAGAGCATGGATTCCTCTCCAAATTGGGTAGAGAGATGTGATTTCTGGAATTTTAGCACAATTTCAGTGGCGTCTTGCAATAATTGAATAACATGTACTTCTGAAACATCAGGCTCCATGCTCGAATACAGTTCCAGATGTTTCCAGCTAGGGTTGTCACGGTAACCGGTATAGCGGTAAACCCCGGTAAAAAAGTTGACAATAAAAATAACCGTCCAGTTTTTAAAAAACTATATTATCTCGGTGGGTTTACCGTGGCCGCGGTTTCAGCGCGGTGACCCTTACCAGCCACCGTCGCTTCAGCTGAAGTTCCGGCGGCGCGCACACGCACTTTTTAGTTTGCAACGGCACCAAAACTTTGAAGCTGAAATAATGGCCGAAGGAGGAGACGGCAGCGCCCAGGACATCCATCAGCCCTCAAAGAAGACTAAATCAGAAGTATGGGCATATTTTGGATTTCTGAAAAACGCTGAGGGACAGTTAATAGAAGACTGGTATCCCGTTTGCAGAACGTGCAGGAAACAAGTGTCTGCAAAAGGCAGCAGCACTTCGAATCTAATGGCACATCTGCGTGACCATCACCCACGTCTCCACAGCCAGTGCAAGGTAAGTCAACATTAGCATTTTAGCTTAAATGCATGACGTGAGGACTTTTGGTTGAGGGAGAATGCAACGAGTCACTATATACTGCAGCCGCAGCGTCCTCTGCCAGCATTTAAACCGTGTCACGGACACCCTGTTGCTGGATGAAGCATCTTATTTGTTGATGATGAAGAGAAATATACAATTAGTTCCTTGTCATTGATTTGTTTACTTATTCAATGCCATTTATACTTGAACATTTGGATTTGATTACATAGTGTAGTAGTTGTTTTAGTAATTTGTTTAAAGTGGCTATTTATTTTAAATACATATTTTTTAAGGTTGACTTGTACAGTGCTCAAGTCAAGTGTGGACTGGAGTTTTAGATTTTCATTTTGATAATGAAGAAAACAAGTATATGAGAAAACAAGTGGTGTTTCTTTGATTTGTTTACATATTGTTTATGTTTCGAATGTTTGGATTTGTATAATTTAAACCTGCACTGACTACTGTAACATGTTCCAGAAAAATAAGCTATTTGTTCCTTTACTTGTGAAAAGTTGCACTTTTGCTAAGGCTTTGTGTTATTTTAGGTTTAATAAACACTGTTAAACCTTTTCTAAACTATTTCAGTTTGTGTAGAACAGGACTATCAATGCTTTCTGAACATATGCAACACCGTTTAAAAAATACCGCGATAATACCGAAAACCGTGATAATTTTGGTCACAATAACCGTGAGGTTAAATTTTCATACCGTGACAACCCTATTTCCAGCTTAACTTGGGTGTCTTTTCTCCCTCTACTCCTTATCTGTATTTCGCTAATGCTACCATTAACTGTGCTTTCTCTGTTTAACTTCCATAGAAGTGGTGACTGGTCAAACCCGTTTGGCATCTTTCTGTTACTCAATGTGCTAAACCACAATTTTCACTCCTGACCATAAGATGGCGGTCCATTATAACTATTAAACACAGCTGTCAGTGGTGGACTGGAAACTTTGTGATGCATAAAATTTAAACATTTTTCTCAATTTTTGTTTTTCCTACTTCCTGTCTGGTTCTGATTTGCATGTATTTGATTTTGAATGTTATATCTGTATATGCTTTTAAACGGGATCTAGCCACCCAAACTTTAATTCTCTCGTCTCGTCTCGTCTTCCTCCGCTTATCCGGGTCCGGGTCGCGGGGGCAGCATCCCAACTAGGGAGCTCCAGGCCGTCCTCTCCCCGGCCTTGTCCACCAGCTCCTCCGGCAGGACCCCAAGGCGTTCCCGGACCAGATTGGAGATGTAACTTCTCCAACGTGTCCTGGGTCGACCCGGGGGCCTTCTGCCGGCAGGACATGCCCGAAACACCTCCCCAGGGAGGCGTCCAGGAGGCATCCTGACCAGATGCCCAAACCACCTCAACTGGCTCCTTTCGATCCGGAGGAGCAGCGGTTCTACTCCGAGTCCCTCCCGAATGTCCGAGCTCCTCACCCTATCTCTAAGGCTGAGCCCGGCCACCCTACGGAGGAAACTCATTTCGGCCGCTTGTATCCGCGATCTCGTTCTTTCGGTCATTACCCAAAGCTCATGACCATAGGTGAGGATTGGGACGTAGATCGACCGGTAAATCGAGAGCCTGGCTTTCTGGCTCAGCTCCCTCTTCCCCACGACAGATCGGCTCAGCGTCCGCATCACTGCAGACGCCGAACCAATCCGCCTGTCGATCTCCTGATCCCTCCTACCCTCACTCGTGAACAAGACCCCGAGATACTTAAACTCCTCCACTTGAGGTAGGACCTCTCCCCCGACCCGGAGGTGGCAAGCCACCCTTTTCCGGTCGAGAACCATGGTCTCAGATTTGGAGGTGCTGATCCTCATCCCAGCCGCTTCACATTCGGCCGCGAACCTACCCAGCAAGAGCTGAAGGTCAGAGCTGGATGAAGCTAGGAGGACCACATCATCCGCAAAAAGCAGAGACGAGATTCTCCTGCCACCAAACTCGACACACTCAACACCACGGCTGCGTCTAGAAATTCTGTCCATAAATGTGATGAACAGAACCGGTGACAAAGGGCAGCCCTGGCGGAGTCCAACCCTCACTGGGAACAGGTCCGACTTACTACCGGCTATGCGGACCAAACTCACGCTCCTCTGGTAAAGGGACTGAATGGCCCTTAACAGAAAGCCACCCACCCCATACTCCTGGAGCGTCCCCCACAGGGTGCCCCTGGGGACACGGTCATAAGCCTTCTCCAAATCCACAAAGCACATGTGGATTGGTTGGGCAAACTCCCATGCCCCCTCCATCACCCTTGCAAGGGTATAGAGCTGGTCCACAGTTCCACGGCCAGGACGAAAACCACATTGCTCCTCCTCTATCTGAGATTCAACTATCGATCGGACCCTCCTCTCCAGTACCTTGGCGTAGACCTTTCCAGGGAGGCTGAGGAGTGTGATCCCCCTATAGTTGGAACACACCCTCAGGTCACCCTTCTTAAAGATGGGGACCACCACCCCGGTCTGCCACTCCCTAGGAACTGCCCCCGATGACCACGCAATGTTGTAGAGACGTGTCAACCATGACAGCCCTACAACATCCATAGCCTTGAGATACCCAGGACGAACCTCATCCGCCCCCGGGGCTCCGCCGCTGTGTAGTTGTTTGACTACCTCAGCAACTTCTGCCCCCGAGATCGGACAGTCCATCCCCAGGCCTCCCAAACTTTAATTCACATAATAAAACAGTATGAATGGGGTTTTTTTTTTTGGTACAGAACTATTTTAACTATTGAAAGTTTCAGTAACTGAGGAATCAGTGAAAAACGATGAGATGCTTGGTCGCTTTGCAAATAAGAGCGTGACAAAAACAGGAAGAACAGCTTTCATGTCCTGCAGTGTGGAAGCCGTTTTTCTATTCCTGGTTTGTCTATTCTTGGTCCAATGAAGGAGCCAAATGTGCTGTTGTTACTGCTACTTTAGGTTGTCAGGTCTCACAGCAATAATTTATGTGAAGAAGATAATCATAACTATAATATTCCAGGAATTTAGATAAGAAAGCGTTTGGGTCTATTTTTGGCTCTTGAGGAAAATTGTCTTTCTAGAGACCTCCTGATCTGACTGAGTTCATTGCTGCCCTAGCATTTAATTTGGGACTTTAGATAGTTATATTAAACCTTTCACAAGACTGAAGGATGGGTGTCTAGTTTAAACATTCTGAGTTTTACTAAATTAATCTAATGCCCTTTGTTTTTGAGTGACTCACGGCAGTTTTATTTTATTTTGTAAATGGGTATGTATGTACGTGTGTGTGTGTGTACATGTTTGTATAAATATGCATGTGTATATGTATGTATGTATATATATATATGTATATATATTTTTTTTTTGTTTGTTTGTTTGTTTGATTTGTTTTGTTTCTTGGCTGCGCAGTAGTTAGAACTGTTGCCTTGCAGCGAGAAGGTCCTGGGTTTGATTCCTGGCCTGGGATCTTTCTGCATGGAGTTTGCATGTTCTCCCTGTGCATGGGTGGGTTCTCTCCGGGTGCTCCGGCTTCCTCCCACCATCCAAAAACATGACTGTTAGGTTGATTGGTCTGTCTAAATTGTCCCTAGGTGTGAGTGCGTGTGCATGGTTGTCTGTCCTGTGTGTCTCTGTGTTGCCCTGCGATGGACTGGCTCTCTGTCCAGGGTGTACCCTGCCTACTTGCCCATTGACTGCTGGAGATTGGCACCAGCCACCACTACCACCCCGCGACCCTGCGTGGACAAAGCGGGTTCAGAAGATGGATGGATGGTTTTGTTTCTTCTGTTATAACTAACTCTGCCAACTTACTCTATATTGGTTGTGTTGTAGGAGGACCTGCTCGAAAACTAGATGTTACATCTCAAGCAGTTTATCCTCCTGAAAAACATAAGTTAAATAAGTAAATAATCTAATCCAGTGTAAAGTTTAAAAGTACAAAATATTTAACCTTTTAAAGGTTAAAAAGCATGAAGTGCTTTATGTGAGCCAAAAGTCAAATAAGTAAACAGTTAACACTTTGTCCTTCCAGGGCCTTCAGGTGATTCAGTTCAGACATCGTCTTCTGACTCAGGCATCCAAAGGAAAGCGGACTCTTCGATGATCAACAGAACGCCTCCACCTGCTCAGACAGGGAAAGATCAAACCCAAATGAAGCATCTTAAATCTAAAATCTGTGAAGACGAGGACGATGATTATTTAGTCAAGCTTGAAGATGACGATCTTCAGATTGTGGAGCAAGCAGCAGATCTGGATCCCAGCAGCAGCGAGACAGCAGATCATTGTGAGATGGATCAGAGCCAACAGCCAGCTGAAGGTCTGCAGCAACAGGAGACACAGCCGTGGTTGTCCATAACGATGGGAGACAGCGACACAGCAGACGACTCAGACTGCTACTTTGAACCAAAGCAGCTGCCGCAAAACGTAGACTCTGAAATCTTGCTTATTCAGAATGCCTTGGACATCTTTGATAGTTCAGCAGAGGCGGTGCATTCCCACAGGGCTGTGAGGGACATGGGGACAGTCCACAGTGGCTCAAGTAAACCCAGAGGACCTGGAGCTTTCAGTCATTCTCAGCCAACGCAAGCGTTCAGTCACCCTGAGAGAGAGACTTGCATCGGGTCCCTTCCAGAAAAACCGCTGATTAAGAACACGTCAGCCTTTAACCCAGAAAGGAGAGGATTTCTGTTAAATGACTCTGAGTTGCACAAAACGGTAGCGAGTCACCGCGTCAAGGAGAAGTGGTACATCTGCCCGTTCTGTGGCAAAAGCTTCGATCGCATCAGCCACCTGGAGATTCACCAGCGAATTCACACGGGAGAGAAGCCGTACACCTGCGACACGTGTGGCAAGTGTTTTTCTCAGAGGAGTAACCTGCGCACTCATCAACGAACTCACAAAGAGAAACTTACTCAGACTGTCGTTTAACAGAAAATTCCCTCTAGTGTTTTTATTACTAAACATTGTAGCCGATTGATTTTAATGTGCACTTTTAAGGGACATCTTAGATCTTAGGAACTGGGATGGATGTTGAATAACAGGAAAGCTTTTAGTAATATAAACTTTATTAACTTAACTAAATACTGATTATGATTTGTTAAATAAAAACATCTCATGTTGATTATGGAATTGTGTGTATTTATTACTTTTAATTTGCAGGGAATGTTCCCTTTAAGCCCATCCAGCTAGAGACCAGAACTCTTATTTCTTGGAAGTTTAAATGTTTTGAATAACATTTGAGAGTTTTTTTCTCAGGAATGAAAAACAAAGCGATAAATCACTTCAGCATCAATGTTGTATTTTCAAGGTTTCAGTATTTACAAGTTTCACAGAAGAAAAAACAATTTACATGATTATATTCCACCTGACAGTGCTTTTATACAAAAATATTCACAGTTGGTCCAGTTTTTCCATCAGGTAAAAAAACATTTATGTTTTTCCTTTTGACCTTTTGGCAGTGGAAGGTAGTTGTTGAGGGCAAAAAAGTAAGCATAGTATATTACCACCAACATGCCATAACATTATGACCACTGAGGTGAAGAGAGTAACTGCAAAACTTGTTACAACGGTCTCTGGAGGAAAAATTAGCATCTTTGCTTGTTTTTTGCATTACTTGAAGCAGTGGTCCCTAGCCCTGGTGCTTTAGGGTCTCTGTCCAGCTTATAGAGTAATCAGAGTGTTGTCTGACCAATCCCAGCTCCCAGCAGAGACTGCTGCTGTTGTGTCCTTGGGCAAAGACTTCACCCACCTTGCCTGCTGGTGGTGCTCGGAGGGACCGGTGATGCCAGTGCTTCAACACATTTAACGAATAGGTGATTAACAGGTTTCTGCAGAGCTTGATTACCTGCTGAACAGCTGATTCAACAATCAAATCAGGTGCTGGGGCCGGTAAAAAACTAAAATATGCTAGATGGGTTGGACACAGTTGGTATAACTTCCCTTCAGTGAATCCTGACTGAATTTTAGCAGTTTTCTTCTTTCTTTCCTCCAGTTTTATTGCATTCTCTCTCTCTCCTTGTAACAAATTGACAAAAACAATTTTTAAAAAGACCCCAAAATTATTCAGATCACTCTGGTTTCTGAATGACCGTTTAGAATTTCCCCAAAAAAAGAGTGAAAACATTGGCAGTTATTTTTGTACAGTCTCTGAGAAAGTAAGCGCTTACTGTGTCCCAAATAAACATTTATTACTGTAACATGATGAAGGAGCCATTCCTCAGGGTTATTATCCTCTAACAACTGTTCCCTTTTGACAGAGTGCATGAAACAGCCTCAAAGTCATGCATTCGCTTCTAAACTAATAAGAATAAGTCCTCCATCGTTGCAGGGATGCAGACGGGCTTCTCTAGTTCTGGATGAGAGTCTGAGCTTTAGATAATTGTGGGTTTGGGGGACATCAGGATGCCATTGTGGGGCTTTGGCCTGAGGGAACCATTGCTGTAGTAAAAATGGTCGCTCATACACTTGGAGATCTGGACGTTGCCATTCCCATATCTTTCTCCAAGGTAAGGTGAGTCTCCCCCCACCATGTGCCCCAGGTCCAACCCTCTGGGGCCGATGTGGTCATCCTGCTGGGCCTTCGGAGGATCCAGAGAAGCCGGATGACCAGAATCCTGGATGAAGAATAAAATAAAACAGCATTCTTCATCATCCAGACAGAAATCCGACTTTATTTAACCAGTAAGGAGATTAAACGATCCTATCTGGACTGAAAACGAGAATAAATGAGACCGAATAAAATTGATGCCAGAAACACCTTTAAAACATCAGTAGAGTCACATAAAACAGCTAAAAAGAGAAGAAAACCAGAACCAAATCCCTTCAGACCATTAAACCATTAAAAAGATTCAGATTTTAGTGGCTGGATTGAGGACCAACCTTCAGACCACGCTGTTTAACAAGATGTCACTGATTCTGTTAATAAATGAAAAGACAAATTAGAGGAGAAGTCTTTAGCCAATCAGAACCACATTAGACTGAAAGGTCTTCACTGGAGTTTGTTCAAAGCTTTAGTCAGTTTAGAATTTTTAATAACATTTTGAGCAAATAATTTGCGGTTATTTGAATTAAATGTTTTTTCCGAACAATCAAGATGACATCTGTTTGCTCTCCGTCTCTACGACACCAGAAGCGACGCAAACTCAAGTGAATAAAAAGGTTTTCACCTTAAGAACCAAACTATAATACTACCTGGTGTGTCAAACACTAACATACCACCGATGCGTTGCTTTCCTTCAAGACCGTCTCTATTCCATAGGCATTCATTCTGTGTGCTTCTATCTTCCTCCTGTGGTAGTCCATCTCTGAACCCATATCTTCTGATGCCACGCTCTCCCCCTCGTCCAGCCCAATGATGGGACGTCCTAAATTATCCCGCTCAATGTCGTCGTCCAGAATGGGCATGCTGCCTTTCTTGGAGAAATTTCTCTGCAGACACAGAAGAAGAAAAAGTTGAAACTCCAGAGGAAATAATCTACAAGGATGCAGTAGAGCCCCCAATAATTTTCCACTGGTGGCCACCCCCCTCTTGGGGGCACCACAGTATCAATGTTACAGTTTCCACTCTGCAAACTGACTCCCAACATAATATTTTGTCTTTTAATACCACAAATCATGCTACTCTGCTGTGTATCAAAAGGTTTTCAACCTCTTAACTTTTCCTGTTTGGTCCAGAGTGCTCACTCCAAACCAGATGATTTACATCTTTTAGTCTGAGATCAGAAACTCACCGAAGACACACGAATGTTTCCATTTCGGTTGCTTATTCTTAAGGAGTCGCTTTCTTCATCCTGGAAAGTGCAGAGAAAATTTAATACAATCTAACGAGCATAAATGCATAAGATAAACCTCAGTCATGCATCTGTGATAGAAGTGCATAAACGATGTTAGGTGGAAGCTGCGGCAGCCTGCAACCCTGCTGCCCGAGCAGGATGAGTGTCAGCCTGATCTCTGTTAAACTTGCAGGTTACCGTTCTCAGAGGAAGAGTTTTTGTGTTGCTGTACCGGCATTCTGGTGTTGGAGCTGTAGGAGTACAGTCGCCTGAAAGAGCTCTGTCTTGAGAGGTTGTTAATTTCATCCCTGAGAAGGAAAACAAACAGAAAATTCAGATTTTCAGACCACACATGAATCTAGAAATGACTATTTTGGCAAAGGCTCATGCTAATTAACAGCTTTTAGCAGACGGGGTTGTCAAATTCTCAAAATAAGGCCTTTCCAATGAAAACTAGGAACTCACGTTTTTTCTTTGAGTTCACACTGAAGCCTTTTGGTTGTTTTCCTGTGGTGCCGTCTGACGAGCAGAACCACAACGATCAACATCAAGACCGCCGCTCCGGCTGCAGCACCAATAATGATCACCAGCATGTTGTCAGGAGTTCCTGTTTCTTGAGAACGTTTTGGTAGAGAAAAAAGAGTTATAAATGCATCACATGACCTAGGAGCCATACTCTTTATGCCTTTGACTTTGTAGCATCAGGTTATTCCACCACAAGGGGCAGCATTTCTAATTTAGAGGAAAGTTTGTCCTTATTTTTAGATTGTCAACAAAGCACCAAGTTACAGGATAGGATCCTATTTTATTTCAACCACCACCAAAGCTGGGCTTTCCCACCTGTTATTACTGATATTACGTAGGTCGTTTTTCGTGTTCCCACAGCGTTCGTGACCTCACACTCATAGGCCCCGCTGTCATTCAAGCGAAGGGCCCGGTCAAAGGTAAGTTTCTTTCCTGTCATAGACACACCATCGGGCAGTTCTCCTCCTTTCCTGCAGATAACCAGAGAAAAATGTCATTTTAATATGCTGCAAAGTCAACAAGAGGTGAACTAGAGGGGAGATATGACTCACTGCTTGAAACAATAGGTGTGACTTGTTTAGGCAAATCTGAATTCCAGTTTAAAGTCTTCTTAAGCAGCAGCGTAACATAACAATAGTTGGTTTGCATCACGGAAGACTTAAATATGCCTGAAGAATTACTGTAGGTTCACCTCTGAGTGAAACCATTTATTTACAGACACCTGAACCAAAACCCAGTGATCCAGATTAAACAAATAAACATGAAGTTTGGTGTTTGTGAGTACCAAAGCCACACAAGGTTATAGGTGTGCAGCTGAAGACATCCCCGGCCACACAATGGAGTCACATTCTCATCAGGTCCACGGAGACGGGTCAAGTTGCCCGTTTTCTCTGGTCTGGGGCTTTAACTGCTGCTTTACCCCCAGAACTAAAGCAAGCTCACATTTCTTTTCTCTAAGCCCCACCTAGCTTCTCAGATAAGCCTTTTCTGCTCCAAAGAAGGTTTTATCTGAAACGGCAGATCAGAATAATAAAAAAAACTCCACAGAGTAATTCTCTCTCTGCAGCTACAGAGGTCTGAACCTAACCTGTGCACTGATTAAATCGTTGTTAGTTAATTATCACCACATCAGAGCTGTGAGGGGGTGAAGCTAAGCGAAGCTTTACTCCACCTACACCAGTTCACAGCACAAACCGAAGCAGCTCCATGATAAAATAAACATTACAGAACTTTCTGGGCTGCAAAAGAATCATGTAAAAATACTAATATGTAGATTTTTGGGGGGGGGAGAATGTCAAATTCTCTTTTTATAAAGGCATTGATGTTGAATGTATATGCCTTTTTTGTCATTTGCAACTAAATGTAATTTGAATTTAGCTAAAACTATCCACATAAATATATGTACATAAAAATGTGCATCTATTTCACTTTAAAGTGACAACGTGTATTTTTTTTACCATTAATCTCTGGAAATATCTATCAAAATGTTGTTGAAAATGAATTAACTGATGTCCAGTCATTGAAATAAATTGGCTGCTTCTAACATATAACAATAAAATCGTGTCTAAAGTACATAGTGCGCGGGTCCAGCGCCTGTCGATGATGTCACACCAGATGATTAGCTGTACACACAAGTTTACAACGTTACCATGTTTGAAAACCTTTAGGTAGAAAGAAACACGAATAAATAACAAAACTGCTAAACTCTTTCCAAAACTCATGCTAAAGAAAATTATTGAAAAAGAGATGAAATATGTTTTGTCCGAGTGGTAATGCTGTAGTCTGATTCAATTCAATTCAAAAACACTTTATTAATCCCAGAGGGAAATTGATTGCTGTAACTGATTGTCCTGCACCTGATGACGCCATCATCAGGTGCAGGACCCCAAGCAGATCTGGAAACAGCACCAGAAAACTACAATCGCTATTGCATCCGAGGAGTCACGTCGAGGTCACATGCTTTCTGCTCCACAGGTAACAAGTTTACCGTAATGTTTTTGAAACTAGCGACAGTCACGGCGATATGGTGTTAAATTACCCTGAAATGTATGTACTGCCCCCTAGTGCTGGGAAACTACACACAGCCATTTTAAAGGCTCCTAAAACACCACATTAGTTCTGTGTTCTGCATTCCGTAAAATAAAAGTGATATTTCAGAGCTAGAACCCGTTCAACCGCATCAACGGCATGACGTACCCGACTTTCAAACCCAGAACCAAAACCAAACCAAACTATTCCTTCTGTTTTATAACTTTTATAAATGTGTATAAGTTACAAACATGAAATGTTTTGCTGTGTATTATTTTAACTAGAGCGCATCTAGCCAGCACGAGGGATTAGAAATAAGTATCACATAAATGCACCTAAACTGGTTAAATTATGAATAAACCCTTCCAAACGGGTTAAATGAGAGACCAGATATATGCTTGTGGTCTCTGAATCAGTCCTAAACACCTTTGTTGCTCATTAATGTCGAAATAAAATTAAAATGGAAAAGTAAGTCTAAACTTTTTAAGACGAGAGGATTTTCTGTAAACTTTCAAAGCAGGATGTGCCAAAGTGTTTCCTCATTCCAAAAATGAGGATTAAAACAGCAATAGATTTCTGGTATCTGGTGAGTAAACTTGTCGTGTGAAGACAGCGGGTTCAAGGTAATAAAATGACATTGTTGAAAAGATCAGAGATACATTTCAGAGACATGAGAACAATACAGAGGAACCACCAAAGCCTTGAAAGCATGCTGGGAATTTGCCATAAAGCTTCTGAATGACTCAAACATTCGGATGGGAGCTTCATTAGTGGAGAGGATTTTTGGCTGGATGCAATAAATAATTTCCAGCAGAGCCTCGGAATCTCAGATAAGAGTTATGTTTTAAAACAGAAATGTAAATTCTTGAATCAGGAAAAGTGAAATTTTCGAGGAATCCTGCCAAAATAAACCTCATTGTCTTTGCACTTCTGTCAATACAAATTTGTATAAAAGTGGAAAACATAGAAAAACTTTGACTTTAATCTATCATTTTATGCAGACCATCTTGTTGAAAAATGTTATTTTGATGCAAATGTACCAAAATTATCTGTGAATTTACTCACTGAACCCAGAATCGCTGAGATATCTGAAGATTGCCTCATGGCTGAATATTTTCACCAAACATTTGATCGGTGTGTGCACAGGCAGAGCTGTAATGGTTGGTGTGTCATCTCTAATTAAAACCCAGACCCTGTGTTTTACCAGACTTTAGAGTGATATTTAACACATGGCTCTATGATTAAATGCTTAGCATGTGTCTCATTTTCTCCCTCGTGTCTTTCATTCCCTCATCTGAAAAAAAAAACCTCCCTCCCCAAATTCTCTCTCCTCATTTTGCAACTCGACACCACGTCTTTTCTTCTGCAGTGAATCGAGTGGGCAGAAAAAGGCATCCCATTTTAAATCCAAGTGCACGCTCTTTGTTCTTTTTAAGTGTGTAATCCGTGTGAATCGAGAGGGAGGTTTATATATGTTTTGAGTTACGTTCCAGAGCCGTGCAAAGAGCAGGTTAGCAGCACAGACAGCAGAGCAGTCAGGTGAATTCATCGTCTCAGTTGGACACGGGGAGTTAAACAGCAGGTTTGTGTCAGCAGCAGAAAATGTGATGATGGTACCTTTTCCAGGTGATGCTCAGAGGTTCAGGGTTTCCCTTGTCTTCACACATGAGCTCAGCTTTCTCCATACCAGATTGCCAGAGTACGAATGGAGAGGAGATGGAGGGATCTGGGGGGTCTGACACAACCACACAGATGTAAGCATGCAGAAGCAGAAAAAAAAATGTTCTAAAATAATCTAAACTCATAACTTTAGCCTTTATGGAAGAGCCTCGGGTCTGATGAGCTAATGGCTAGGGGCAGCCAAGAACAACTGCAAATTTCCAAAAATCAGTTGCAATGTGTGAAAGATTATTAAATATTGATGGTCATCAATTTTATATTAGAAATTAGGTTATTTAGCAAAAATTGTTCAGAAATATCTGCAGGATTTGACCACTGGATGCACCAGAAATGCTGCATTTTGCTAGCCAAGAAGTCTAGACCCGTAGCAAAAAGGTTTTACTCTGCAGGTCGGTCTAGCCACGCTCCATTGTTGCCCTAGCCTGTCGACCATTTTCCTGAACAATTTTGTGTCTAGCCAATCACAAAACTGTTTGTTAAACGAGGTTAATGCTAGAGCTGCGAAGGAGAAAAACAACAAAGATGGCGTCAGCTCAGGAACGGCACTTGTTTAAATTAGCTTTGGCATCAACTTTGGATTATTTACAGTTCTTTGAGACATGAGCAGATTTTTAGTCATGTATTTAAAAAAAAGTATTTGCTTCTTCTTCTATGGTCTATGGGGGACTACCCCATATACTGAAATCCTATACGTCACGTTGCTTGTTGCTCCGATTAGTCCTAGTGCTGTCCAGGAATTCGTCCCTATGAGTGAGCTGTTTCGCATCAATAGGATGGCTTGGCAGGCTAGCATTTTGCAGCTATTGCCATATTTACACTTGAAATTAACTAGAAATGCCTATCCAGCTGAGGTGGCTCAAGCTCTGGTCAGGATGCCTCCTGGATGCTTCCCTGGTGAGATTTTCCAGGTACATCCAACCAGGAGGAGACCCAAGGGAAGACCCAGGACACGCTGGAGGGACTATGTTTCTCGGCTGGCTAGGGAAAGCCTTGGGATTCCCCCGGAGGAGCTGGTCCAAGTGGTCGGGGAGAAGGAAGCCAGGGCCTCTCTGTTTAGGCTGCTGCCCCCATGACCAGACTCCGAATAAGTAGACAAAAACAGATGGATGACACCAGAAATGGCTATTTGAAGAATGGAGCATACTGAGCAAAAGAATTGGATGTGATCTCACCATTGCTAAGGGCTAATTGGTGCTAGCTAGAATCATGATTATTAATCTGATTTTAGTTATTTGACATTAATATGTGGTCAGTAAGTGGGAGTTGTGCACAAATCAAAATTTGGTATCAACTCACAAAGCAGAATCGGTTTCATATCCGCCTCTAAAATCTTGGAGATCGATATAAACTTAGCTGCACTCAAACTAGCTGTTAGCTTCCTGGGTGTAAACTTCCTGTCTCCAAACTGAGGCGTTTCAGGAATTTATAGCAGGTAACTTGTCAATTATTCATACTTTTGCATAAGAAACACTTTAAAACAATTACATCTACATTTATTTGGATTTATTTTCCTCTTTAAGATAATCAGAGTTCATTCAGAGGTGAAACCCCAAATTTGTCAAGTTCACGAGTCAGGTCCACACCTCTGGACACCTGAGAGGCCTCCACTGTGTTTGACAAAGAGTTAACTGTTGAGCATTGAACAGAATTAAAAGCTCAGGTTAAACACACAGAAGGAGTCAAGGACAGAGTTACAACTGCACTTTCCCAGCAAAGGATTCAGTTTCTATTTTATCTGACCCTCACCCATTTACTGCCACAGACAGATAGCAGGGACGAGCAAATGTTGTGATGGAAGGACATAGGAATAATTCACCACAAACAGGAAGTTCATGACTGAAGTGAGGTGTCCCATAGCTGGGAGAAATCTAACAATAACAGTGTTACTTAGTAGTTTCTTAGTTTGGCATCTTAATGAGAAACGTGGGTAGTTCCTGGAAGTGTTTACAATCAGAAATCTGACTCAACTCATTATTTGTTTTGTGAGTTTACACCAAATTCACTGATTCATCTGCATAAAAACTGATTGGGTTTATGGTTGCTGCATGATATATGTGCAAACCATCATTATTATCATCATCATCATCAGCTGTACTCACACTGAACCACCAGGTTATGGGAGATCCTGCGAGGTTTCTCCAGACTTGGGTGTGACACCAAGCAGTCCAGCTTTTTCCCGTTCATGCTGCGCAGCGGCTTGAGCGAGAACTGGCTGGACACGGTTCCGCTTCCGCTAACAAGGAACTGGGATTCACCCTGCAGGTCGGTGTCCCAGGACAGTATGGGGGCGGGGCGCCCAGTGGCTCGACAGGTGGCCACAAGACCGTGTGGCTGATCCTCCACCAGAGTTTCAGGAACCACCTCAGAGATGGGAGCACCTGAAAGAGAGAAGTTGACATAAATGTGCTTTAGTTTGTTTCTCTATATTTTAAATGACCTAATTTTGCATTGGTTTGTTTTTGATCCTGTATTAATTGGTCAAGGGCTGCAAAGTGGCTAGCGCCGTTGCCTTGCAACAAGACGGTCCTGGGTTCGAATCACGGCCTGGGGTCTTTCTGCACGGAGTTTGCATGTTCTCCCTGTCCATGTGTGGGTTCTCTCCGGGTACTCCGGGTTCCTCCCACAATCCAAAAACATGACTGTCAGGTTGATTGGTTTCTGTAGATTGTCCTTAGGTGTGTGTGCATGCATGGTTGTTTGTCCTGTGTGTCTCTATGCTGCCCTGTGATGGACTGGCAACCTGTCGAGGGTGTACCCCGCCTGTTTGCCCAAAATCTGCTGGAGATAGGTACCAGCCCCCCCCCCCCCCCCCCAACCCTGCATGGACAAGCGGGTATGGAAAATGGAGGGATGAGTTGGACTAAATCACTTCTTTGACTCATTCTTTGACTTTCTTTTACAATTAATTTGATGGACTCCTGCAAACATTTATGTAATCATGTTAATCGGATAATGAATACATTTTCTTGTAGCAATCAAAGCAGGTTTATTATTATTATTATTATTATTTAAGATTTTAGCCTAATTTCCTCTAAATCTGCAGATTTAACCCTTTAGTTGACAGGTCAACTGCTTGGTTGTGCATTTTCGAGTTCATATCTTACTGAAACATGTTCTTAATCAAAATAAATTCAAATAATTCTAGAAACTATGGTCACCCGGGAAGGGCTCAAAGTAGATCCACTGCTCCTCCACATCAAGAGCACCTCCCTGGTGAAGTGTTCTGGGAACATCCAACCAGGAGGAGACCTAAAGAAAGACCCAGGACATGCAGGAGGGAGCTGGTTCCTGAAAATGTTCTAGGAACTACAAAAGGTTCCTACAGTCCGAAAAAGCACCTTCTCGTAGCTGGCCAGGGGACGCCTTGGGATTCTCCCAAAGGAACTGGCCCAAGAGGGAAGTCCGGGCCTTCCTGCTTAGGCTGCGGCCCCCGCGACCCGACCCCGGAGAAGTGGAAGAAAATGGATGGATGGATGAATTAGTTAAATATGAATACACAACTTAATTATTATTACCCTAATATTTATGTTATTGTTTTATATTAATATTGCTTCCATTATAGTAAAACACTTATTGTTCCATTGATTTTCTTCTCAAGTTTAAATAAAAACTCAAAAATAGTACAAACAAGATTTTATATGTAAATAGTTCAACAAACAACAGAAACATTTTAGTAAAGTTTTAAGGAATTTGAGGATTTTATCATTTGATGTAAGAGGAATAAAGCTTCAAATAATCCAGAGTTAATCTGATGCTTTTAAAATGGAACCCTAGCCCTTTAAAATGGAAAAGAATAAAAAAGGAAACACCATCATGATTAATCACACACATTATGTTTCATTTATCATTATTGCCAACAGTTACACATAAAAGAAAGGTTTTAACCACAGAGTGTAGTTTATCACCGTTTAAGAAGTCTCAGAAACACGGTCCTCAGATCATTTCTCTCACGCTGCAAAACCAAAAATAAAACCCCGAGATGTTGAAACATAACAGTTTTATTTTCTCATTTCGACGGTGATTCACGCTGCAGTCATGACAGCTGGAAACTCTGAACACCTGGTTGAATCTGATGAGGTGTGATTCGTCAGGACTCAACCTTAGCCACAACAATTAACCTGCAACTGAAACTTAATGAACTGAAACCCCAAAACAAATGACATTCTGCTTAAGCTCACCTGAAAATGGACTAAAGCTCTCATACCAAATAATTAATCTGTGATTTTAAATAAACAGATTTTTCCCTGCAGGTGAAGATTCAGATCTCCTGTAATTAATAAAGTTACTTCATCAAGGTTTGTTAAAACCCTTTGAAGTTTAATTACCTGAAGACCTAATTAAGTGCCGCCTCTGGTTCTGAGTTAGGAATCAGTGAACAGGTCGGTTCAGTTTCCAGGTTGTAATAACAGCTCTACAGGTTGCCTCCTGTTTGGACATTTCATATGCAAATGCACATTTTCTGACAGAATGTTTCGTGTTTTGGATGATTCAGAGCTACAGGTTGTCGGTTACTCGACTGTGTGCTTCACCTGATCCGAGGCAGGCCGAGGCAAGCCTGAGCCTGACGCATCGCCGCTGATGGCTGGAAGCGAAATGAGAAAGCCAACTGGAAGTGATAACATCACTCCTCTCTGAGAGGATCCACCCAAAAGAAAAATCCTCATTCCCACAGTCATGAATCCACCCCTTTTTCTCATTTGTGTAATTTAATAATTTGATTCATAACATCTTTCTGGTGAGTTTTGCCTTTTAAAAATTTGTTCATGCAAGATAAATTTGTACTTGTAATCTGTGAGACGCTAGAGAAAACTAAATTCTGCATGATGACAATACAATTTCTGTGCTTGTATTGCACATTTAAAAGCTGACTCTGTGCACCAGATTCGGTTGTTTTGCTACCATTTGAATACATGCAAGAACAAATTCTTTTAAATAAACCAAACACTTTATTTCTTGGCCTTTTGACCTCCTACAGAGAATTGTGAAACTTGAATTCTTCTGAACTATTTATTATGATTTCCACATTCTCCCAGCAGCTCTGATGGGATTAGGGAGATAATGGAGGAGTTCAGGGGTGAAACTTACTCCAGACTTCAAGGTTGATGTTCCTCTCAAAGTTTCCTCTAGGGAAGGTGGAGATTTTGCAGTTGTAGCTGCCTTCATCCGACACCTCCGTCTTGAGAATGAGGAGGGCAGAGTTCCGTGTGGGGACGTTGTTTTCAAACTTCACCCGGCCGGAGTAACGCCCAAACGCTGCCAAAAACAACAAGAACAGGTTGAGCCGAGTGACTCCAGCCTCTACGAGAGCTAAACACAACAAAATAAGTCTCTGACGGCCACGTGACGTCTAGGAGCACAAAGCAACAGATTCCTTTGGTGATCTTCATTAGACAGGATATGATTCAACGTGTGCCGCAAAGACGTAAAACAACAATCAGCTTGACTTATTTTGGCTTCACATGTATTTTTATCTTGTAAACATTTTCTGAATTTAAACTGAAAAGCCACTGCTGTGCATGTTCAGAATAGAGGTCACCCGATTTTGTTATTTCTGTAGCTGATACCGATACATCATGGTCAGTCAATGGTCAGTTTGGGCTGCTGATACTTTAGGCCGATTTTCACGGCGTTTTCCACCTTATTTGCATGCTAAAATGTCATTGATGACATCAGTTGATGCACAAAATTTCTAAAGCTGAATCAGTTTTTGAACTCTGAAATGAACTAACTGTTAACTCTTGATTTTGAGCACTGCTCAGTGTTAAAATCAGACATCTAACTTCATTTAATAAAACAACTCAATTAATTACCAAAAACTGACACAGGAAATAAGATCCTGTAAAATTGAAATAATGCAAACTTCACCTCTGACTTTAGTAAGGCGAGTCGGTTTCCTCCTGCTGCATGTGAGTATAGTTGTTAGTTTCACTTTTAAAGATGTGGATCACTCGTTTAATCAATACATTTGCAGTGGTCTCTAGAAGGAATGAATGCCTTGTAAGTCGTTCTCTGGGGAAGAAAAACACTGGTGCACCTTTTCAGGAACTAGAAGGAAGGCGCATCACAGCTGAGCTTCGGATGGCAGGTTTTGGAGTCTTATGTCCTGATATTTGGACACCTCCCCTCCAGTTGGAAAACAGCAACGCGACTCTACCACTGACTTGCAACGTGGATGATTTTTCTCCACAAATAGCACAATCCTGGAGAAGTTTAGTCGTGTGGTGGAGTTGCTAATGCTAATGGTTAGCTTCTACCAGTCGAGACGTTCTCTGCTGTTTCCTGAAAGCTAAACCAACAACAGCCTTCCCTGTTGTGAGTCAAGAACTCAGGGTGACCGATTATAATCAGAAATAAGATTTTAAAATATTGTTTCAGTCTTCCTCACCTTTAAATATTTTTTATCCTTTAACTTGAGTTTATAGTTTCAAATAACTGATTACTTTCGTTGCACTCATTGGACCTTTTATAGCTTTACAAGCTTTCTATATTAGACACTGAACATTTTAATTCAGTAAAAATATATTTATATGAACATCTGATCATAATTAGCAAAAAAATTGGTAATTTTGATTTTTACCTGTGAGTCCGTCTGTAAAATGGGCCATGATGATTAGGTCTTTGTCCCCGTTTGGGAGTATCTTGTTCCAGGTGACCTGCACCACCTGCTCCCCCTCCTTCACTTCATAATGGCAGGGTAACCGGGTCTGAGTCTCGGTCATGGAGTGCTGAGTGACGTCAGGTTCAACGGGTTCCAGGAAGTCACCCTGAACGCTTGCCACTGGGGAGGAAAAGAAGTCAAGAAAGGCTGAGTGTCATGATGGAGAATTTGAGACTGTTAGTTTGTGGTTTAATGTAAAAGAGAAAAACAAAAATCTTAAACATTCTATTGGACGTTTTTAGACAAAAAGCAGCACATTGGAAATGTAGGAATTCTATATTTTGAATTTTCCAGAGAGATTGTTGCCCCAGCATTCATGATATACAGTATGACTGTTCAAACTTGGATGAATGTCTAAAACATCTCTGCAACAGGAAGCAAATGAGCTTTTTGGTGTTCACCAATGTTTTCTTTTTTGCATTTAAAGACCAAATAACATGAGATTCACTTTTCTAATAAGCCTTTTGATTCAATTTAATTAAATAAATTAAAAATTACTTTATGACATATGGAGATGAACTAAAGTAAAACAATAACTTAAGAGTCCATTTGATCAGAATCTAATATTCATTAGGATGATGTTAATCGGTGATCAGACAGCAAGAAACTCAAAAATCAGAATGTTTTCAGGTCATGAATGCATCGTTCTTGGCTTAGGGAGTCTAATGCCCATCTACTTCTGGACCATAGGTCACCAACTGCCAAGAAAAGTGAATGGGAGTCTATGAGCCAATATAAGTTATTTTCTGATCCCGTTTGATAAGTGCCATGGAATATTAAAGACACATTGGGTTTTGTGTGAAAACACGTAGAGGACTCCAACTCCTCGTCTCACCAAATGTATGTCATCCAATCAGACAAGGAGAAGAAAAATGGCTGAGTTTAGCAAGCGTCATATCCTTCTTCTAGGATGAAAGGAGCGGTAAACGTGGAGAAAACCACTGATGCCATGTGGAAAGTAGCAGGGGGAGAAGACATTCTGCCATTTTATCCTATATGCAAATTCTGATTTGTAGTCTTTATAAATACTAATTTTTACAAATTAAAATTAAAGTACAACATATGTGTGACTCAGGGTGTGAGGCAAAGCGGACCAGAAAATCACTTTTAGCCCCGTTCACCCGTGAGCTGCCCAGAAGAGAGGAGACTTAGGCTCCCTATATTTTCCACAGAAAAAAATCTGAAATTTTAAAACATCAAGTTTATTTTAGATCAATAATATAACATGTGCATTTCATGAAACATTTCTACAAATTTGCAAATTTCAACAAGTTCCCTTCCATACTTCTAAGCACATTAACGTAACAGTGAGTTGTTTAGTCCTAATTAAACTACATGTTGTACCTCAAACTGAACAACTTGTTTTAGCATTTTTCTTAAATCCAGTAGGTCGTTGACAGACAATCTCATCTATAGACAGTCAAAAGTTCACCCAACCTGCTTTTCTTTTGAAAACCTGTCACAGAGAAAACATGCAGGCTTCACAAAGAACTCAGGAGATGCTTTTTCTCATGAGTCTAGGCATTCTCATGCAATAGTGTTTGAAAATTATATAGGATTGTAAAGAAAGGTCAGTCTTTCTTTGTGAGCAATAACATTATTGTTGATGAATTCGATCACTAATCCATATTCTCTTAGTCCTAAAGGGCAGCTTTTGTCTGCGGACTTCATCTAGGATCTGTTTTTGTCCGTCAGACTTCCACAAGAGTTCAGCGTTTCCGATAGATTTCTGTTTGTCTCTCATGGAGTAAGTATTTCCTTTCCAGACGGGAAAGCATCTGACTGGGCTACTCCAGAGAAGTAAAAAAATGTAAAAATCAAGTAAAGTCCTCATTGTTTACATGGAGGAGGCGGGGTCTTAAACTAGTACTGGAACCAGCCACTAGGGGGCCAATGGTTTTACAACATTTGACCACTAAAGTGTGATGTAATGAGAAAAATGATTAAATTTAGGTATTTTCTTCTTGAATTAAGAAACAACAATTAACTCTGAAGGATAAATAAAAACACCACCAATACCCACCAGGTTACAACTCTGCTTTAGACTAATTAGAAATAATTTAGGTTTTCTCTTTTATCAAACATTAAATCCATCATGTTTTCCCCTCATTTATAAAACAGCTGTTAGGTCAGCAGATGTGGTAACATATTTACATCCATGCATGATGAAAATTGTATGTTTATGGGGCAAATTTATCAATATTTGTCAGTTCATTATTACAATTGGTTTTATTTCCCTAATCAACATGATTATCAAGCCAGGCCACATCAACCCATCTCAGGTCGGTTTATTTAAAAAAAAAAATTTTTTTATTTGATGGCTTTAAAACTTCCTGAATGTTTCGTTGAACTGATTATAATTTTGATCTTAAACTGTGCATGTTTAAGGAACTCGGACAGCAAAAGGAAACCAACTTTTACTCCCATTTTTTTCTAATGCTTCTCATCATTTTGACCATTTCAACACCAGTCTTTAGACGCTTTTGTACAAAAAGGCAATGACGTCTCTCACAGACCTACATTGCACCATTTGTCACAATCAAAGCTGTTGGAAATCTCGCCACGGTGCTGACTAATGACTGAAACTCGTCTGATAGTTGACATTTAACTGCGGGGCACAAACAGAAATGGGTGTGAGAGCGCCGCGTCAACAACAGGAAAAGACCAAACACCTGCACTTTGATTTCTGGGGGTGAATGCCTTCACTTCTTCCGTGGTTACTGATTCACCTGCTCCATGAATGATAACGAAGACGCCAATATGGGAAACAAACTCCCCACAAGTCCTGCACATCCACATGAAGGACACATCGACCACATGGAAACAAGCGGCTGACGTGGATCTGAGGGACAGAGGCTGATAAGACACTGAGACTAGATCAGACTTTAGAGGAAGGCACAGAGTGGGAACAAGGATGATGAAGACCAAACTAACTCTGAACACACTTTAGGCAAACACCAGTTCCGCTGAGCGTCACAAGGCTGCTGTACAAGCTTTTCCTGCTCACTCAGAGTGACAGTAACCTTATCACACCTGTGATTATCACATGTTGACACTAAAACTTCCATCCATGATAAAAGAGGAGCAGCACTCCAGCTCTGTCCGTGGTTTTAACCTGCGATAACGTAATAAACAAAAGACGACCAGCAGCATCAGATTTTGTCACAAAAACAGGAAGTTGGGCAACAAGTGAAGAATGTGACTGAGCCACATTCAGTTCTGTCTCCTAAATCTTCACACCTGCAGACACTGAAAGGCCCCTAGATAAGAGGTATGTGGACACGACAGGTGGATGTCGGGTCTGGCTTTGTCTCAGATGGTCTCAAACTTTTCCACAAGATGCAGGGAGTGGATCCCACAAGTCTAGAAACATTGAAAGTCCCGACAGTTAATGAAGTCATTTAAAATAAAACCCCTTCAATCTTAAAAACCCTCCTTCCTGTTTGGGCTTCGAGTAGATCAGCTGTGTGCACAAGAACAGGTTGCTAAAACAAATTGGATCAATCAAGAATGCTGACACAAAGCAGCTCAGAGTTATTTTCGTATAGTTGATAAAAGATTGAAGTTGTGGATAAACTCCAAAAGCACCCAGGAAGACTATGATGCAAAACCAACAGAGAGGAAAGGGGTTTTATTTTCAGCATGAATGTTGAAGCTATACCTCATAAACAGAGTCTGCAGGAAAAGTGTATTTAATCGTGATCTTCTTAGGTGTCTGAGTGGGAAACGGCTGCAAGAAGCCCAAAGCTAAACTAGCAGAAATCTATATCCAACTAAAAGTGCACAAAAAAAAATCAGCAGGTAATCAAAATCGGCCTATATTCAATATATATCTGTTTAAAATCTGATGGGTTGTATTTCATGATAGCTCCAAACAGCTAGCATGCTTCCTAGTACAAGATATACACGACCTGATGTTCCAGGTGGAAGTCTTAGCAACCAGAAGTCAGAAAGAGAGACGGGGGGATCAAAATCTATCCGCTCTAGAAAATCAGTATTGGCTACCAAAACCAGAATCGGTGCATCGCTAGTTGTTTTGTTTTTTTTTCATTGTTTTTTATCAGGAAGCTGCAACAAAACCATAACATACCAAATACTCAACAACAAACTGTCCATTGTATATCATCAACTCACACCTTTTCACTTGTTTACACCAGTCATCTCACGCTAGTCAGCGAGTGCTTCGCCTTTCATGTTCCACCCATCTGACACATCTCTGAAACATCTCAGAACCAGTTTGTGTCTCATGCACTTTGTTTTATTACGGAGTCCTGTTGAACTTTGCACTTTTCTCAGTAGAGAAGGTGAAGTTTAGTCCAGTAACGGTGTGCTTTAGCGTGTCAGCGACCAGCTAACGTAAAGTTTTCATGTGTCAAAAAAATCAAAAAGTAGAGATTGAGTCGTTCTTTTTAAATAGCTTTTCTCACTAATGCCATGGGGAACAGGTGCTGAACACCAGTGGTGATCGAAAGGCGGGGGGACCCTGGACAGGTCTTCAGTCCATCACAGGGACAATGAGACAAACAATCACACGCTCAAATTTAAAGTTACTATTTAAATGGTAGAGGTCCTGTATTTGTATAGCACCTTCTTAGGGTTCTGCACCACACCCCACACCCCAAACACACCCAACCCCCCACCCCCAAGGCGCTTCACAAAACAGTCAGTCATTCACCCATACACACTGGTGATGAGCTACAATGTAGCCACAGCTGCCCTGGGGCGCACTGACGGAAGCAAGATTGCCGAGCACTGTTGCCACTGGTCCCTCCGACCACCAACACCAGGCAAGGTGGGTTAAGTGTCTTGCTCAAGGACACAACAGCAGCATTCTCCAGTGGTTGACAGGATCAAACCTTCAACCTTTCGATTACTGGACAACCCGCTCTACTTCCTGAGTAACTGCTGCTCAGTTAGTTAACCTTACATGCATGTTTTTGGTCTGTGAGAGGAAATGAGGAAACCCATGCATGCATGAGAAGAACATATCGACTCCACTGAGAAGGGCAGCAACTAGGATTCAAACCTGTGACCTTCTGCTACGAGGCAGCTGTTGAAGCAGCTGCTCTACCATGCAGCCTAAAAGCCTTAAATCCAGAAAATAACTGATCTGTTTGGATGTTTTTACCTCCAGAATCATACATAGTTCTTGGGGTTAAGAGTTGGACACCCACCTGCTATTTTTACCACTTTTACTATCATTTTACTGTATTTGTGTCTTATTAGTGTAATTTGGATCTTCTTGGACAATTAACCGAACAATGTCTATTTGAAGCTTATTAAAAGTAGATCTGAACCTTTGGGATGAATCTGCATCAGCATGTGAGATGAACAAAAATCATCAACACCAGTATTGATGCAATCTCTAATTTTCTGTATTTAGAGTAAAAGCAAAATGAGCAACACCTATAAGAGTTTTTTATGCTTTATAATCAAAACTATTCTACAGAAAAATGATGAACTATGATTTGGCTGCAAATGAGCTCCAGGAAGTTTTAGAGTGAGAAGTGATGGTGTATTGTTTGACAGTGAAGCCACACCTGAAAACCATTAAAATTTCTAGCATTCTGAAGACATAATTCACTTCTGACAGTTGGAAACGATAAGCTGAACCAGGAAGATGCATTTGGTAAACAGGTTCTGGAGATCAACGGGGAAATTGTGGATGATTCTGGCCAGTAAAATGTTTTTGGCTTTAGTTTTTTGGGGTGGGTAAAAGAACAGCTTTCGTTCCCCAGGTGGGCTACTAATGCTCTTTATTTCCAAAGAAAAAACAAAGCAGACCAAAAAAATAACTGATCAACCACACAAACCCAGATACTCGCAATAATTTGTAATCCACACAAAAAAACTTCTAAAGAAATCTTCACAGAGACATTGGAGCAGCAGTGAGAAGCAGAAAAGCTGACAAGATGAGAAACTAAAGGGTTAAAACCAAGAGCTGAAGCCTCTTATGAAAAACAGAAAACAGTTGTGAGCTCCTACAACCTAAAGATGCAGTTTCAAACCTTTTTTTTTAAACTAAACAACTTAAAAATTGTAATCTTGCTTCAAATATTACATATCAAGGTAAAAACATCCTCTAGTGTTTGAGACTGGGGTCAAGTGAGCCGTCGTTCGTTTGTCCATGGTCAAGTGAGCCGCACCTACACTTAACGTGCGCGTTTATACGGTAGTTTACGGTAATAGTTTACGGTAACACCGTCGGGCAACACCCGTCTCGCTGCTGGAGAGGAGCTGAGATGAGCGACAGAATGGGCTGACATCAGGATGACAGCTGCTAAATGTGCCTTTTTGATAAAGGATAGAATTGTGTTTAAAAAAAAAAGACACTAAGCATCCTATACATACATACTAAGTACCTCGAGTACTATGGTAACAAAGTATGAACTACTTTTACTGTGTACTTTTTCAGTAATTCTACTTCAAACTATGTCCAAAAAGCCAAAGTGCCGTGTTTGAGATAGGATAAAATTGTATTTTGGAAAAAGGACACTAGGTCACCTAAACATACATACTAAGTACCACGAGTACTACCTGGTACCAAAGTATGAACTACTTTTACTGTGTACTTTTTCAGTAATTCTACTTCAAAGTATGTACAAAAAGCTAAAAGTGCCGAGTTTGAGATAGGAAAAAACGGTATTTGGGAAAAAGGACACTAGGCCACCTATTGGGGCGACGGTGGCACAGGAGTTAAGTGCTCGCCCCGCAATCGGAAGGTTGCAGGTTCGAGCCCCGCTCAGTCTGTCATTGTCGTTGTGTCCTTGGGCAAGACACTTAACCCACGTTGACTGCTGGTGGTGGTCGGAGGGACCGGTGGCGCCAGTGCTCGGCAGCCTCGCCTCTGTCAGTGCGCCCCAGGGCAGCTGTGGCTACATTGTAGCTCATCCCCACCAGTGTGTGAATGTGTGTGTGAATGGGTGAATGACTGATTGTGTTGTAAAGCACTTTGGGGGGTTCCAGGACTCTAGAAGGCGCTATATCAAATACAGGCCATTTACCATACATACATACTAAGTACCGCAAGTACTACCTGGTACCAAAGTGTGAATTACATTTACCGTGTTCTTTTTCAGTTATTGTACTTAAAATTAGGTCCAACATGCCAAAAGTGCTGAGTTTGAGATAGGATAAAATGGCTTTTTGGAAAAAGGACACTAAGGCCACCTATACTCACATACTAAGTACCTCGAGTACTACCTGGTAACAAAGTATGAACTACTTTTACTGTGTACTTTTTCAGTAATTGTACTACAAAGTATGTACAAAAAGCTAACAAGCCGTGTTTGAGATAGGATAAAATGAGATTTGGAAAAAAGGACACTACGACATCTGGAGACTCATTCCAACTACCTAGTACTATAGTATTGTACCAGGTGGTACTATTTTTACTTTTATTGTTCCTTTAACCTGTTATTGTAATTCAAACTAAGTAAAAAAAAGTATTTTTTTTAGATACAAAGAAAAAGGTTTTCAAAAGCGATGTTATTTGACTAAATTCTGGACAATTCAATCATAAATGCAAACTTCTAACAGCCAGTATGGGTTCATAGGTGATAGTAACATATTGTTTGAAGGGGAGACTTTACAGGACCTTCTGAGCGATGTCAACTCAATTTAACAGAAGTACAATTACTGAAAAAGTACACAGTAAAAGTAGTTCATACTTTGGTACCAGATAGTACTCGAGGTACTTAGTATGTGTGCATCGGTGGCCTATTGTCCTTTTTGCCAAATACCATTTTCAAACACAGCACTTTTGGCTTTTTGGATATACTTTGAAGGACAATTACTGAAAAAGTACACCGTAAAAGTAGTTCATACTTTGGTACCAGGTAGTACTCGAGGTACTTATAGTATGTGTGTATCAAAAAGGCACATTTAGCAGCTCTGTCATCATGATTTCAGCCCATTCTGTCGCTCATCTCAGCTCTTCTCCAGCAGCAAGACGGTGTTACCGTAAAGTACCATGTAAATGTGCACTTCAATTGTAGGTGCGGCTCACTTGACCACGGACAAACGAACGACGGCTCACTTGACCGCAGATGTTTTGAGAGCTGGTCTGAAGTTGGACCAAAAGCTGATGGGAGTGTCTTTGTGGTAAAGATTTGATCCAAACACGTCAGATTAAAGTCGAAATTCAACTTCAATTGTTCATAATGATCTAGTTTTTTGATATTTTTCCATAGTGAGGATTTCAGACTGCAGAACAGCTAATCTATAATTTATAGCTAAATAATAATGGGTACACAATTATCCTGTATGTTAATTAGGAAATCACTCATTTCAAATCTTGTTAATCAAAAATGTTATTAAAATCAGATTTACAGCTTTATTCCAAATAAGGATTGTAAAAACAGTCAGAAACGAGTTTATTGAAGGAACATTTAATAGTAAATGAAAAAACTCACCTGTTATTAAAAGTAGCGTGAGAACAACTCGAGTACTGATTAAATCCATCTTTAAACTATCCTTGTTGTTAAAAAATCGTCATCGTTGTTTCTGGAATCAGCTTTGAGTTCAGGAGTCAGTCCTCAGCCAGGTGCGACAGGTGTTTCCTCACCACCTCTTGGTTAAAAGTGAAAATCCAACACATTTGTCCTGAAATAACAATAAAATCTGGCCTCAGGAGTCCAGAATGTCATTTCTGGTCATTTTCTTTCCCCATAAACAAAAACTAAACGAATTTAAATTGGACTGGTGATGAAAACGGAGCCGCGCTTACAAAAACAGACCTGCTCGCTTCTCACGCACAGGCGGCTCCACAGGTTTGGGCCGTTACACCTGTTGACTCAAGCCCCGCCCACCTTCCAAGTAAAACACGCCTTGCTGCACTCAGGTGAGACGGGAAAATTAATGTTTTGGAGTTTGAAAATTAAACAAAACAATCAAGTATAACATTATAGTTGATTGTTACAAAGTATTTTAATTGTTTTTGTGTTAAGTCTAAGTGATTTGAAATTATTTTCACAATTTATCTAAAATTCTTTATATTTCTCAGTTATTATTCTGTGTTTTATTAAATAATTTCCCTTTGGAAATAAATAACACGAATGATAAAAGTCTTGAAAAGGCTGGATGAAATAAATAATTATTTCATGTAATTCTGACCATCAAGCTCAACATTAATCTGATTTAATTCAACTGTATGCTGATTTATTCACATTTTAGCTGATTCAACAAAGACAAACACCTTTTACAACAGATGTATTTATCAAATAAAGCAAATGCACTGCATTTTATTTTATTTTATTTTACAGACCCTTCTCTTTTCCCTCAAAAGGCATTGCCTTTCGCCAGGAAACATTTGTAAATAAGAAATTCTGAATCTGTTTTGCCTGGTTAAACAAAGTTTATACAATGGGAATGTATCTTATTACAATGAAAAGTCTTTTCTTTTACTAACAACCTGAAAATTTATGATCAACTAACACATTTGAACGTTTTTATTTTCAAAATTTGGAGGTGCAAGGAGGAGAAAGAGAGAGAGAGAGAGAGAGAGAGAGAGAGAGAGAGAGAGAGAGAGAGAGAGAGAGAGAGAGAGAGAGAGGGAGAGAGAGAGAGAGAGAGAGAGAGAGAGAGAGAG